CTCTCTCTCTCTCTCTCTCTAGAGTCTAGAGAATGTCTAGCACAAGTGGGTAGTACTAGAGCAGTAAACACCTTCTTTCTGAAAAAATCAATTATTATTTTTATGTTTAGATTCGAAGCTAAGAACTTTTTTTTTTCTGATCAGTACGTATGTGCTGATTTCTGTTCTCAGCTTTATTTGTTTATGCTAGCGGGGCTACATGCATTGAGCTTTTGGGATGTTTTTATGTTCGGAGTAAGACAGCCAGATGACTAAAATTAATCTACTTAGATCAACATAACTTTATTTTATTATACAGTATAATCTTGTTAGCCTAATTAATTATTTTCTGTCTAGATTCATCGGGGTTAGCTAGTTAGATTAGCATAGCAAACTTGTGGTGGGTTGAATTTAGCTTGTTCGATTTCACAGTTTTGGGAAAAGTGATTTCATCCTCGAGGGATATCCATTCGTTTCGTGCACGTCACCTAAATAGTTATAAAAATATGAAAATATAGCAACATAGATTAATATAAAATATATCACTCCACAAACATGCAAGTTTAAATTTAACTTCTACAAGTTGTAACAAAAATAACATAATAATCTATGTTGTTAACATTTTTTTTAAAAAAATAATAACTATTTAGATGACATGCGAACAACGAGGCGATGCCCCCTGGAGGGATGAAAATCCACATCCACAGTTTTGGTGGTTTTTAGGGTGAGTGAGTGGTACTAGCCGTCTAAATTACTCATAAACATGGTAGAGCAGGTAACCAACCACTTAATCATTGGGCAATATATAACAGCCGGTTAATTTTAAGTAGAGTGTTTCATGGTGCGAGAAAGTGCATTAAAATTAATAAGTCTACTCTACGATTGAAGTATGAAATCGGCTATTCTACCCTCTAGAGTATTAAAAACACTTTTAGAAAACCTTAATGTCTTAAATGTTTTACTATAACAATACTGACGTGGCTATAACATAACAATAACTTATTAGACAATGGTTCAGTTTTTAATGTTCGCTACATGCTAATCTTTTTTTTAGAAAATGGGATAAACTCTACCGCTACATCAAAATCTCTAGTTAATAAAATTCGTCATATTTATAGTACACTGACATATTTAACATATTTAGCCACTAATTAATAACCGATTGACCAAAAGCAAGTGGCGATGTCAATTATGTTGTTTTTGACTCCCGATCATATCAACTTACCATCATGGGCTGCGTTTAGTTCCAAGTTAAAATTGAAAGTTTGAAGAAATTAGAATGATGTGACGGAAAAGTTGAAAGTTTGTGTGTGTAGGAAAGTTCGATGTGACGGAAAAGTTGGAAATTTGTGTGTGACCGAGTTTAGTTCCAAACTTTTTCTTCAAACTTCCAACTTTTCCATCACATCAAAACTTTCCTACACACACAAATCTTTAACTTTTCCGTCACATCGTTTCAATTTCAATCAAACTTTCAATTTTAGCGTGAACTAAAGCCACACCTGCAAAATCATCCGTAGGGTTTGTTAAACCGGCTTCATACTGTAGAAAATCTTTGGATATAATCACTTCAAAGTTGAGTAGCTTTTCCCTAGTACACCACACGGTGCTCGTAAAGGTAATAGAAGGAACAAGTGCAGTCTACACTGTCGCTCCACTCAATTCTATCATCATGTATGAGTTACGACTGAATGCTAGCTGAAAAACGGACTGCTACCACTACTGGTAAATAAAATGACAGAGAGCGACATGAATGCAATCAGGGCATATTCTTTTCCCAAGTCTAGCCATGCCCCCTTCTTTTCTTTCTGTAAAAATGCAATGCATTTTCTTTCATGCATGGGGACGATGAACATTTTCTCAGCCGTGCTGTGTTTATATTGCTGCATATGCATGTTGCATGCAGATGCAGCTAGCTATTCTACCACGAGTAGTAGACCTATGCATAACATCCAGTTATAGTAACTCATAAACAACTCACACTGTGTTTAATTAGATCCAAAGTTTTTCTTGAAACTTCCAACTTTTTCCATCACATTAAAATTTTCCTACACACATAAAATTCAAACTTTTCCATCACATCGTTCCAATTTCAACCAAACTTTTAATTTTGGTATGAACTAAACACACAGCCTTAGAGATATTCAACCGTGGATCAACCAGCTATAGAGCATGTATGTTCATATTATTATAGCTGTTGATCAAATTTAGTGATACGTGAGTCGACGGTTGAGTCGTATGCATATAAATTTCGTTCCACCACTTCTCATCCATTTCGGTGTTCTCCTCTCCCCTCGCTTGTTGAGTTGTTCGCAGCAAAAACTTTTTTTAACAGATTTACTCGTACACTTCACCTGGTAACCAATCGGTAATATCACGATGCGTACGTGTGATCGAACTGATAAAAAATTCCTTGAAGCTGCCAGTTTTATTGCAAGTGATTAATTCATCGCCACATTAGCCGGGTGGTACTACTGCTGCCACCATGCTAGAAAATCTGAATACTAGAACATTTATGTGTTATCCTTTGCTGTGGACCTATATATGCATACTCTGCTCATCATGGAACTCGATCGGGTGTGACCACCCCTGACTGATCTGATCATTCATGCATTCCCATCAGCAGCAGGGTAGATCTATAAATGAACATGTTTAGGAGAATGACGACTGCACGGCTGCAAGTTGGTACGAATACGTACCCGATCACGTTTCCTACAGAGTTATACTTATACGTAATAAATGAAGTGATTGATTATGTAAGGAGATTGTTATGTACATGTCTCAACTGTTCGACTCTCGTGCAACTGAATTTAATAAATAGTTGTAAACGGCCGTAGTGCATATGAACCAGGGTTTGCAATTTCGAAACCCTGGTTTTTGCCCGTGGGGGCCGAAAGAACAAAAAATTCAGTATTTTTTTACAGATATTTTTGAATTTTTAACCTATTTTGACTGAATTTGACCAAATTTATAAATATTTGATTAAAAAAACCAAAAATTTCGGGGAGATTTGTGCTTGCCGGTGGGGACCAAAATTTTGGAAATTTTCGAAATTTCGAACGAAATACCAAACACTGATATGAACATGTTCTCCTTTTAGTTGATATATGGTTACATGTCTCTAGTTGTGTACGGGTTATATAACTGGGTCATACGTATAGCAGTACTCGTTACGCAAATCGTGCGTTTTAATTTGTTCCTCACCGACGGTGACGACGATGAGCCCAGCCGGTGGCGTTTTCAGCGTTTAATTGCAGGGAAACGGACAATCCGCTCTACTAGCTAGCAAATTGATTGTTGCACGCGTGTGATTAGTGATTAGTTTTGCACACGGGAAACAGCTTGCTCACTGTGCATCACTTGGATGAGCTGAGTGCTAAAGAAAACGAACCTGAAGTATACTGGCCAACTACTCGTACAGCCGCCTCCTCTCCTTAACTATGAAGTGGGGATCAGAGTTTCAGGTTAGCATTGCAGTGTTGCAGGATTGCAGCTTGCGCAGCAGCAGGCATCGTCGTGCTTTGCTTCGCCTCCCGCGGCACGCAGACTGACGCGCGGCTGGACGCCTGGACCGGGGCTTATTGGGGGAATCCGCCGATCGAGCTGGAGCTGGGGCTCGAGTGCACTGGAGCACTGAACTTCTGACGAACGGGTGCAGTGCACTGGCTGGGCATCCATTCGGTGCAGCTGAGGATCAAAGAGATATGCGATTTTATGCCCTCCTAGAAAACAGGCTTCGTCGCCCAAATGTCGTTCCGTAATTTATTTATTTATTTATTTTTGCTGAAATGGCATTCTTAAACCGAGGCTACACGTCAGAACGCTTGCCCTCTTTTGAAGGAAATTCATACTCCCTCCGTCATGTCCCACCCAGTTTTAGAATGCTATATCATGAGACGGAGGTAGTACCTTTTGTGGCCTCTTTTTCTATTTCGCCTCCGGCGACGGTAGCGGGAATAGCCACACCAGCATCAACGCCAGTCATTTAGCCAACCTAGCCCAGGGAGAAGGGAGTGATTACAAAGAAGCTTCAAGTAAAATGCAGCAGCCATGCCCATGCGTGTACCCATGGCATTCATGCAGGTGCTGGCCACTTGGTCAGCAACTTTTCGCTCAAAATCCGTCCACATCATTGTGGTACTGCAGCACGCTGCTACTCCCTCCGTCCAAAAAAAAAAGATAAACCATAGGTTTTTGTGTCAACGTTTGATTGTCCGTTTTATATGAAATTTTTTTATAATTTGTATTTTCATTGTTGTTAGATGATAAAACATGATAAATACTTTATGCGTGACTTATCTTTTTAATTTTTTTTATAATTTTTTCAAATAAGACGGACGGTCAAATGTTAGACACGGAAACCAGGGTCTGTCTTTTTTTTTTAGGACGGAGGGAGTGCTACCGTGACTGTCGAACAAGGTCAATGAGTACCACTATGGTACTGCTCTTTAATTTGGGTCACTGATTATGTGGACCTGCTGACTCTCTCCATTATATAAGGTGTTAGGATTCTAGGGAGGTTTATATATCAGCTACTTAAAATTAAAATTAGAGGATAGTATTGCAGAAGATCTGTACTATCGTATCGAAACTCTCCTATAGTCGATGTTTGGCTCCTGCATGGTGTAAGAAAAGAAAGAGGCACAAGCGCAAAAAAAAAAAAAAAGACATTCCGATGTGTAAGCCCCTGTTTGAGAATGTTATTTGGATGAAACTCCTTTTTTACCATGGCATAATCCCAAATTTCTCAGAACATTGCTTCAGCATATTGATTCCAATCCATGACTTAACCAATAGTCTAGTAGCATTCTAATGAGTTGTATTTTGTTGAAACCACACGAATAATGACATATTGTCCTTTTTCTTGTAGTATAACGTAGTTAAACACCTGAAGACGCAACTGTTGAGGCTGCGCTGTGGAAGGGAGCAGGGCTCCTCCCGGAATAGATCGCCCCACCTGGTCGTTTATTAATATCGCGAGAGATAGATTCCTGTTATTGTTTTTTTTTTCTGTTTTCAAGGGGTGGCTGTTGTAATCTCAAACTTCTCTAAATCTTAATACAAAAGATGAGTAAGCCTTTTGCGCATTCTCGAAAAAAAAAAACGTAGTTAAACACGAGTTGGTGCTATTGGAAAGCACATCTCATGCGAACGAATGGCAGTCCAAATAATCTGAACAGATATCTTCCGTACAATTACTACTGTTACGTGTGTAAGAGTACTCTTTTGAAATGGTCAGGCAAAGCACCAGGTCCCCAACCTGGTTGATAGTACTCCCTCTGTTGGATGGAAGGATCCACGGGAGCAAATGGACGAACACCTTGTGTGCGACATCACCGATTCACCATTCAACGGCAAGCACTGGAGTCCTCGCCATCCGATTCCAGCTTCCACCATGGCTTCCCCTTGGAATTCCTCGTCAGCTCATCGATCCCATCCTCGTCACCGTCCTCCTCGAACACCACCTCTTCGTCGTCGTCGTCGTACCTCCATTCCAGCCTCTTGAGCACGTCCCTGTCCCGCCACTTGCCGGACACAGACGGCGCCGCCTTCCTGGCCTTACCGGCGATCACCTCTGCCCAGCTGAACCCAACGTCAGCCCACCTCGCCGGCCCGGACTCCCCGCCGACGACCACGGACCGGACGCCCTTCTCCCTCGCGAGGCGCAGCAGAGGAGCGAGCTCGTCGCGGGCCGAGACCAGCATCAGGCACCGAACGGACCCTCCGTCGAGCACCTCGTGGGCGCGCTCAAGGAGGGAGACGGACGGGGTCGGGGAGAGCTCGACGGCGACGCGGGCCCTGCGGAGGTCGTCGGCGGGGGAGCAGGGGTCGGCGGCGGCGGTGAGCTCGCGGGCGGCCTTCTCGTACTTGGAGAGCTTGAGGGAGAGCGCGGCGGCGAGGCGCACGCGTCGGTCGCCGCGGGAGGAGTCGATCCGCGCGAGGCGCTTGGCGTGCTCGCGGGCGTGGATCGCGTCGAAGTGGCGGAGCAGCGTGTCGCGGGCGCGGAAGCGGCGGCCGCAGACGCGGCAGAGGTGCACGGCGGCCGCGGCGGCGGACGGAGACGGGGCAGGGAGGCGGTGGCCGGGGTGGACGAAGGCGGCGGAGAGGCGGACCCGGCCGAAGGAGGTGGCGGCGAGGTGGAGCCGCACGGCGGCGTCGTAGAGGGGGAGGGTGGAGGGGGGCCGGGAGGCGGCCAAATCCCAGAGGACGGCCACCGGGGTGGCGGGGGCGCGGGTTGCCGGCGTGGTGGAGGTGGAGAGAGAGCGCGACGGTCGGAGGAGGAGGTTAGGGTTAGGGATCGCGGCGAGGAGGCGGCGGCGGAGGTGGGAGAACGGCGGGAACATGGGAGTGATTTCAGGCTAAGGATCGTGTGTTCCTCCACCCGGAGACTGGGCTTTGAGCAGCTTTTGCCTTTTGGATACAACCATCAACCACGTAATACCTTAATTTTGAAACAGACTACAGCACAAAAATGATCTTACCTTTCACTGGATTTGTGGAACAAATGCTGTCATTGACAAAAACAGGGGCTATTCAAGTCAGAAGTTGAAATGAACACGAATGATTTGATGATATATCTCGATGAACAGTTAACAGCTTTTCAAGCAACAATTAGTCAGGATCAAATTGAGGCACGACAGTTTGTTGCAATTCAGGTAATTACTATTAATAGGATTATGAACTTCACTGATGCCACTTAAAAACCGACATGGCTATTGTTATCGTCTGTCTGTCGATGAAACCAGCAGTCTGGTTCGATGCAGAATGTATTCCAGTACAGTATCTGGCATGATAATCGACAATTTAAGGACACCGGGTTCTTGTTTCAAAGATAGCATATGAGACGTGCCCCTAGGCCTACATCTTCTGAATGATGACAGAGTTCGCCAGACCAGCTTGCTCGACGGTCTGTGCTGGATCAGCCAGCTGCTTCGGCGGGAAACCAGTCTGCAGCTGATAGGGCCTTGTAGCCCCAGGCCGAGAGGCGTCGATGAAAGACCTGATGTCGCCCACCGTGTGGTGCATGTTGAAACGGGCAACCATGCGAGTGCCATCGGCCAGCCTTAGCTGTATGGATGTAAATGGGAGCGAGTCGTCCACAACTATTCCAACGGACCTGCGGGGTTCTTGAGTGGCAGGAGCTGGTGCCTGGCTCTCTTCTGCAGAAGATCCACCACCAAGGGTTCTTCCAACACCCTGGAAGGGTGATGGAGGCCTTAGAGGAGCCTGTGAATAAAGCGATATGCAAAGGTTAATATATCGGACTGAAAACTACAGTCAAGTTACAGCCATACAGGAATGAAAGGCTTACCTGATAGTCTTCCAGTCGTTTGATAACATTCACATGAACAGGTGTTCTTCTATCAGCTGGCTCCAACTCCTGGGGGCACTGGGACTTCTTGATGCTCTGAAAAGCAAAAAAGAGGCACAATGTGTTACAATTACCCCAATGGTCAACCATTCTGGTGTGTACTCCATTTTTATGTGTTCTATGAAGGACTAGGAGTCAAATGTTGGATTGTTGGTAACTAGGACTGTCACCGCATTTAACAAACACAAGACTGGTTGTCTACACAATGAGCAATGATAAATTTAACTCCCCCTGTTTCATATTATGTCGTTTTGACCGTTTTCCTAGTCAAACTTTTTTAAAGTTTAATCAAGTTTATAGAAAAATATAGCAACATTCCCAACACAAAATAAACATATTACTAAAATATCTTAAAAGTTAGTTTTGACAAAACTAATTTTGTATTGTAAATGTTGCTAAATTTTTCTATAAACGTTGTCAAACTTAAAGAAATTTGACTAAGAAAAAAGTCAAAATGACTTATAATATAAAACGGAGGGAGTGAAAGATTTGAAGTCAAGCACCTGGGTCCTGGAGAGGGAAGAGAACAAAATACATATCTCACAAACAAAAGACAATCTTTAAAGGGAAAAATTAGCGGAAAAAAATAATACATGCTTGGCACTAAGTAATAGAGGAAGTACGTAACCATATTTTGTTCTGGCAAGAGCAGGGCTGGATCATGTATTGAGTTAGGGAATTATGGATTCTAGCTTATTGGCTCGGTCAACAGGAGTTTTCAGATGCTGCTCATACCCTGCCAGCCTGCCTTGCCAAGAACTAACTGGGAGCTAAGGTGTAGCACTGGTTGATAATTAGAAACTGGGTCCAGAAGAGTGTCCGTTAACGATTAGTAACTTATGTAATTGTCAGTTAATCATGACAGTCCTTGAGCATTACTCATTTTACTACAATCCTATGAAATCATCTGGTGGGTGGACATAGAGCTATAGTAATTACTCCTTTTCAGGGGAAAAAAAAAGAAGGGCAAATGAAAGCAAGAAGGTAAGAGTAAAGCTTGTAACTGATGTAATTTTAGAGGATGTCTCTCAATCCAATATATCAATTCTCAATAAAATTGAAACATCAAAAGTTATGCAAAATTAATGGCGGAAGAGAATCAAAATGAGTTCATATTGACACCATTGGATTGATGTATGGTAAAATTGGCCTAAATAACAAGTCAAGAGAAATCACCTCAATGAAATCAGCATTTGCAGGATCATCATAGTCCCTCAGCGGACCATCATCTACAGTGAATCCATTGTTCCAGAATTGTATATTGTGAAGTACATTCCCAGGCGGTGGAGGTGCAGCTGGTGCTGTCTCTCCTGAAAGAAGTCGACCAGTCCCTGTAAAGCTTCTTGAACTGGAAGATTGATCCTCAAATGGAGGCGGTTGATCTTGGAGAGCACCCATCTGTCTAGCTTGTTCGAAGATTGAGTCCACAGTGTTTCTTCTTGTTGGGTCCTGAACAAGCATCCCACTGCATATATATACATAAAAATACATAAGTAATAAAATATTAATATAAGATCATCACAAGAGGTCCTGCACAAAAAAGCAGAAGAGTGGACCCAAAACTATATTACTATATTTGTCACTTAAGGCAAATAAGTAAAACATAAAAGCACATCTACTAAGTCACGGATAACTGATTAGGGAAATTGCTGTTCCCCAATGGTCCTTAACTCTGTAGCCATATCCACTTATACAGAACATATAAAAGTCAACAAGCTCAGGTGTGTTTTATTCATGATGCATGATTAGATGGGACTTGGTGGATGAAGAAAAAAGGGAGGTGGGTGTGGCTACGAACTACAAAGGTTAGGTTGTTATGCAAAAGCCTGCACTGGCACACCAGAATCTCCAGATGTTGGAATATCAGACCACAACAGATGCTCATCTCATGTTAAACCATGATTAAAATTTAAGGTGTCCTTTAACGAGTCTCATATATGGTATAGCAAAAGAAAAGACAGTAACCAGATTAGACAAGCAGGCCATGTGATGTCAAATCCTTCATCAAATTCTCACTATTTCCCTTGCTTGTCCTACAGCTGATATAAGCCATAACTTTTATACATAATAATTTGTGGGTAAAACTTTTACATATGTGTTCTTAGCAATTCAAAAGCCAATGCTATAAAATAAAATACAAAAAAAAAACGAAATCAACTCCAAAATTATGTTTTAAAATTCAAATTTTGGCATCGGGTTATAAGCTCGAAAACCATTATGATGGGAGGCACTAAAAACAGAGCACTTTGCTGAGTACAACTGGAGCCATGAAGCATTAGAAGAATATGTTCAATGAATTCAAAACTGTGATGTTCTATTGGCATCAGTGATTGTGAACCTAATGGTTGCCAAATGATCTCAACCCCTGTTGAAACCACCTCAGGGGGTTATACAACAACAAGATAAACTGAACAGCAGCTTCCCAGATCCCACAGCTGGCACAGCAGCAGCAGTAGTACATCAGAGTCTGTTGCTGCTAGAAACATTATATGGCATAAAAGTACTGACGGGTAAAATGTAGTAACAGCATGGAGCCTAAAAAAATAAAGAACTACTGAGGAGAAAAAACTAGCATTAACATTAGCACATAAAATGGAACCTACTCAACATATATTGTTTGCAAACCACATGGTATCACTAAAAAGAATGAAGAGCTAACCCACTCAACATGTATTAATTGCAAACCAAATAACAGCAAGATCCTGTGCGATTTTGCTAGCTATATGGACACCATATACAAAATAACAGTACCATAGGAATTCATTGTTGCAGCAAGGTGGACGAACAAAGAAATACTTGACAGAATTGGAAGTTTGAATAAACAGGTTCAGGACTAAAGGATGATCTGGCAAACCATTAAATCCGGAAATTTCATTTCAACAAATTAATGGTCAATGTTTGCTGCAAAGTACCGCTGAACGTGGGGGTTACTATGTGCAAAAGGCTAAAACATTCAAACTATAATATGGGCGTTGGGTTTGACAAGAGACCAGACTTTAGGAGTTGTTCTATCGCATGCTTATTATGTTCAATTCCTCATTAGTAAACTTCATGGTACGTGAATTGGCAGACGACATGGTCATGTCACAAATGTATCACATTCCCCCAAATAAAAAAATGTAGGATAGGGTAAGATTTTAGGATTGGATGATCCAATCATTCCACAAACTGATCAAGAACACCACACAAGTAAAAAAATATTTTGCAGAAAACACGAGATAACTGAAATGAAACCATTTGCATGAATTGTCTTTTGAGTGGATGACTCATATTTTGTCATCTCATGGATTTTACAAATCTAATCTAAACCTATAAGTTTATCTCTAGTTTCAATAGTACAATGATGAAAGTAATCTATCCGATCATAAAAATATTCCACACTACCAAGTAGCAAAAAGCAAAACCAAACTAAAATTCGTAACCATTACACCTGAGTTGGTCGGAAATATAGTCAGAATTCTGCGGGCAGCGGAACAACCGCCCAGTATGCGGCACAATTCCTGAACCAAATGAAACAAACCTAATCCACACAACATGGACAGATCAACCGCTCAACAAGCCCAAAAACTAACGAATCACTCCCGAGACTGTCTAATCGGAGGATCAAGCTAGGTCGTAACAACAACAATCGAGCGGTGGGAAGGGTTCCAGCGCGGCAGTGCTCGAACGCACGACGCGATCACCATCAAATCGGCAGCGGAAACTAGATTGATCCGAGGAAAGTTATATATACGGGGGTATCAATACCTCTTCTCGCCGCCGGTGTAGTACTCCTGGGGCTCGTCGGAGTCGCTGCCGCCGCCGCCGCCGCCCCCAGGGAAGCCGGACGGGCCGCGGCTGATGTCCGCGAGGGTGCGGATGGTGGGGCCCCCGCGGCCGCCGGACGCCGGCTTCTTGTCGCCGCCACCGCCGTTGTTGGAGGAGCTCATCGCCGCCGAGGGGTGGGGGTGGGGGGATCGAGGTCGCGGGGTGGAAGGTAGGGTTTGGCTCGCGGGTCGCGTACTCGGCGAGTCGACGAGCTCCGCTCTGCTGGGGTTGGGGGGGTTGGGGGGGTTCGGTTCGGGGTCCCTTCGGGATGTGCGGGGTTGCGGTTGCGGAGGTATCACGCGTTGACAGGTGTGCATGACGTCAGCAGGGGGTTATCCCTGGGCCACCATTTTTCGGCCTTGTGGGCCGTCCAGTACCATGAGGGTTAGGCCCAATTAAGGAACTAGGGGCCCATGATTCTTTGAGCGTAAACCCTGCCGCACTAGCATTTCTCGACTTCAATGAAATCTTTACATTCCCCGTCTAGTGGGCAGTAGCACTACATTGCAGATTGCACACGGAGAAAGGTAACTCGTTGCTTCCAGGAATCTATGATGCATCCAGATGTTTTCTGCGCAGAGTGGTATCCAAGATTTACCATCACACCACCTTTTAACACGAAATATGGACTATGCATATGCTGTCATCAAGAATTCAAGATTAGGCTAATACTCTTACTAATGTTCTTCACCATGAAGTAGGTATGGCAATGGGTCGGGTCGGGCACGGGTAGAGCAAAACCATGCCCGACCAGATGCCTAGTATTGCCCGTCCAAACCCTACCCAATAGAGTTAGCAGGCAAAACTCTGTGCCTGTACCCATGCCCGGCAGACGCGGGTATGTCCGGCGGGTATCCAATGGATCTCATATGAATAATAACTTGAAAGATATATAATTTAACAAAGAAAAATAAAATCAATAATTTACCAAATTATCGGTTATCAACAATAATTTGAATTACATCACAACTTAGTATCAACTAGCATCACAAATGAACCAATAGAAAGGGTATAAAAATTAAGAAATGAGTCAAAATTAGCTAATACATATGTATCGGGTCGGGCATGGGTTATCCACGGGTAAACAATGAAACTCGTCTGTTGCCCATGACGTCTTCGGGTCTCGGGTGAGCGTACCCATGAGTAAAAAATCACACCCACACCCATGCCCATCGGGTCGGGTATCCACGGATAAAAAATCACAATCACACCCACACCCATGCGTAAAATTGCCATCCCTACCATGAATGGAGAAATAGGATACCTGAAAAAAAAAAAGGAGAGAGAAGGAGAAATAGGAGATTCGCAGCCTAGCAACGGCCCCACCGTAGCACGAGCCAAATCGATCACAATTCACAAATTGTCACATGCGTGCATCCAAAATAGCTGGGTATATCTTGCCTCGCCGCCGCCCGGTAGAAACGTCCACGCCGCCGGGAGCCCCACCCGTGCAGCACTCTTGCAACATCGTCGAGAACACAAAATAGCTGGTATACGTAGCAGGAGTAGTAGGATTTTTGTTCCATCAAATTTAAGCACGGTACGGCTTGCATGCATGCGTGCGTGCGAGCATTTACTGTTTCTGGAAAATTTTAATGTACGAAGTATTTCGGGGAAAAAGAGTTATGCCACGCTACAATGAGTTAATGAGAAACACGGCATGACAGTGAAACAGACGGCAAGACAATCACCCAGAAACTCAGAAAGTAAAATTAAGCAGTAGTACGTGTTTCCATTTAGTTCCAATCATTGTTCACGAACGCTGAACGCACGTTACATATATTCCGTAAATATATATGCCGTTTCAAAAAAAAATCAGTAAATATGCGCATTACAAGAATTAAGGTCTTATAAGGCAAAGCACATATAATAAATTCAAATTCTTCTATCAGTGGGAGTTGGGGTTGGTTCCATCACCTTATTTATTTTTTTTCTAATCTCTTCTTACTATAAAATTATAAAATTATGACCCACTAACACCATCGTTAATTCTCAGCCGTTTGATCAGTAGATTTGATCATCTCTGAACCGTTGGATAAAAAACACATCTCAATCCATCTCACACGTCACCACGTTAGGCTATATTTTCCATCACGGGAGGCCCATCTAATTTGATCGTGGCCCAATTCAATGGTGAGGGATTTTTATACCACCTCAATTTATCAAATGCAACCACCAATCTCAACAAAATATTTCGCTGCAACGAGCAGGGTTTCCACTAGTTTTAAGAGTAGTTGTGTGTCCATAGTACAGGGATACAAACCATTTTTATTATCTTAAAAAATAAATTTAAATTCAAAATTTGGTGGTTAACTCTCTTGATGCAGGTTCCAACTGCAAAAACAACAGGCAAACGTTAACTACACTGGGGTGTGAGGAGAAAGAATCCAAACGATGGCTTCAGTTTTCTCTGCCCACCGATGATCGGTCCATCCGTGCTTTTCGGTTCTAACACCCCCCCCCCCCCCTAAATTTTGACAAATTAACCTTTTTGGAAAACTTATTTGGCCATGGTGTCATCGGGGTTGGCGTTTAGGTATCTTTTTAGCGCCATGGCAACATGGAGCTGTTAGTACTAATAAAATGTGATGCATGATCTTTTTCTATGCATGTGCGCTTATGGTGGAGTGGTGATATGAGCAACATGAGTTTCGAACCGGCACCACAATGAAAATCTAAGACTTTTGCCACTACACTAGCTGAGCACATGTTTGTACTTAGGGCCTGCAACATTATTGATGTTGTTTGTTGCTCAGCGCCAAGTAATATGGCAATGGCATTGATCTCCTATGGCATAAAAAAATAGAGCCACCTCAGATGAAATGTCGGTGCCAATAACCATGGTGTTAAAACCTTACACTTTAGTGCTAACCCCGATGATGATGAGCCAATAGTTTATCTTTAGGATAAGTTTTTTGCACGATCTATTTTTGAAATAAGTTTTCTAAAAGGGTTGATTTGTCAAAATTTCAACTTTCTCTACTAAACCTTGCGTTACAACTTACAACTTGTCCTCCAGGGCAAACTTTAGTCGCCATTTCCACTTCTACTTTGGAGCATTTCGTAATCATTTCCACTTGTCTTGATCTACCGGAAACCCGGAAGAGGGCAGTAATTAAAAGCAGGAATAAAATGAGACGAGGGAGAGTAGAGAACGATCACACACACTGCAAGAGTGGAATCGAAACCTCTCAAGCACTTATCTTTTCCCTCTGCTATATATATAGGTTCATTCCTCCCTTCTTACAGGCCAACCTCGCAAAGTTGCTGCTCCTCGCCCTCCCGTGCGCAACATGGTGCGTCGTAGTAGGGAACTCGATTAAGACGCTGATGCGTGATGTAATACGCTTAGTAGAGTAAGTCGATGCTTATTGGATCTTTCTTTAACTGTATGCGTGTACACGCTGTAGGTTTCTGCCGGCGTTCATGGCGGCGACGACGGCGTGGTGGTGGATTTCAGGGGAAACCCGGTGGACAAGGACCGGACCGGAGGATGGCTCGGAGCCGGTCTCATCCTAGGTATGGCATGTGTGTGTGTACGTTGTGCACTTGTGCTTGGTCACGCCGGCCTGTTGGGTGTACTTTTTTTTTTCTGTTAGTTTTTGTTTTTTTTTTTTTTGCGAGAGCGTGCGACTGCGACGACGGTTTTTTGTTCATGGTTGTGATGATCGAGTTTTTTTTTTTTTTGTCGTGATAAGGGACGGAATTGGCGGAGCGCGTGTGCGTGGTGGGCATCTCGATGAACCTGGTGACGTACCTCGTCGGCGACCTGCACCTCTCCAACGCCAGGTCGGCCAACATCGTCACCAACTTCCTGGGCACGCTCAACCTCCTCGCCCTCCTCGGCGGCTTCCTCGCCGACGCCGTGCTCGGCCGCTACCTCACCGTCGCCGTCTCCGCCACCATCGCCGCCATCGTACGTACCGCAGCTGCGCAGCACACAACACAGCATGATCTCCCTTGTCTGACGTCTACACGCGCAGGGTGTGAGCCTGCTGGCAGCGAGCACGGTAGTGCCGGGAATGCGGCCGCCGCCGTGCGGCGACGCGGTGGCGGCGGCGGCGGCGGCGGAGAGTGGTGGGTGCGTGGCGGCGAGCGGCGGGCAGATGGCGATGCTGTACGCGGCGCTGTACACGGCGGCGGCGGGGGCGGGGGGGCTGAAGGCGAACGTGTCCGGGTTCGGGTCGGACCAGTTCGACGGGCGCGACCGCCGGGAGGGGAAGGCCATGCTCTTCTTCTTCAACCGCTTCTACTTCTGCATCAGCCTCGGCTCGGTGCTCGCGGTCACCGCGCTGGTGTACGTGCAGGAGGACGTCGGCCGCGGCTGGGGCTACGGCGCGTCGGCCGCCGCCATGGTCGCCGCGGTGGCGGTGTTCGCCGCCGGCACGCCGAGGTACCGGTACCGGAGGCCCCAGGGGAGCCCCCTCACGGCGATCGGCCGCGTGCTGTGGGCGGCGTGGCGCAAACGGAGGATGCCGTTCCCGGCGGACGCCGGCGAGCTCCACGGCTTCCACAAGGCTAAGGTGCCACACACTAACAGGCTCAGGTCAACACACTTAACTGTTCACATTGATATCATTTTCAATCATATCTTTTCTTTTTTGCAAAGTTATAAAAAATATCTACATTTAGTTTGTTGTTAAAATTTGGTAAATACATCATAAATCCTGAAAAAATTAGTAATATTACCAACTTGTTAAAATTTTGGTATTACCAAAATTAATTTGGTAAGATTTATTTTGGCTACAATCTAAACAACCCTAAGTTACTAGTTGTCAAGCTCTGTACCGTGTCATGTCAATGTGTCATATACTCATATGCTAGATATATAACAGAATGACCAAAATTCAAACCACGCTATAAAATTCTCCGATTTTCGAAATTAAATATTTGAAGTGTTCGTCTGAAAAAAACTTGCTATTTTGACATAGACTGATAGACATGCACATTTTTTACTTTTTTAGGTGATACAGTATAGTCATGATTTATATGATTCCAGCGGATGAAACGTAGACGAAGAGTTGGCTTCAAAAAAGAAAAGTAGATAAAGAGTTCGATACAAGCAGCTATTCAGTAAAGGCGTATATTAGTAGAAGTGTTTTCTGTGTTGCGAGTGACTATGACATCTGAAACGCTTGAAACGAACAAGAGAAACTGGAGACGACAAATTTTGGTAGATTTCTTGCCTGTACAGCACGTAGAACCATGATAATTAGGAAAAGGAAACGAATGAAACCGACAGAGTTTGATACCAAAAATACACGGAAGAGAACCCTATCTGATCCGATGCTAGGATTTCGCATATGCTCCTATATATCGGTAGATCATTGCTTAAGTAAGCAGAGATTGATAAATTGGCAGTTGTACGTGTAATCCAAAGCCAATTAATCCTAGCAAGGCCACCACACCGGATACAGGTCCTCTACAGTATAGCAGAGGACTGTAGCTACAGTATTCTGTGTCTGCTACAGTGAATCAATGCTGCAAACATTGTTCTATTACTGTAGCAAGTACTCTGTGAACAGTAACCTTTTTACTCTGTTCCTATTTACTGTTTGGATCTACTGTAGGAATTTGTTTTAGACGGTTGGATGTAGATCCAACAGCAAACAACACAACCTAATGCAGAGGGAGCTACAGCGCTCTGCATTAGGTTGTGTTGTTTGCGTACGTATTACTACTAGGAAGCTACTGTTTGGTAGTAACTGATTTTAGATGCCCACAAAATAAGCTCATATAATTGATCTATAATGAAATCCAAGGTTATATGTTTGCCCTGTTATTGAGAAAACAAATCTCATGCAGTATTAAGTGTTGCTTGCCACACTAAACACTCATAGTTGGGAGCCGAAGGATCTAAACCGGCATGCTAAATCTGCAAATCATCACCTCCATGCAAACGACCCGTCACTAAAGATTTTGTAGCAAATGCTTCTGAACATTTTGGGGAGCACTACAATTTTTTTTTGCAGAACACTGAAAACTGACGAGGAATGGTAGAGAGAGCTCAAAGCAGAACCGTCCATGCCTTGCAAATTGTAGTAAACTTCATCAAACTGCGTTGCGAACGACCAGCGTTAGCATACTATGAATCCAAAGTTGTCCATCATGCATGAATCAAACTTGACATATCACATATAGTGATAACAAAGTTTGCATCTTAGCACGTGTTGTAATATGGCTGGTGGATCGTGATCTGCCCTTTCTATTTTATCATAGTATTATTAATGTGGATTATTTGCTCCATATGTCTTAAAATATCTTTTCGAAAACAAAATCTATTGCATTGCTAGGAACACTTGCATGTAAGTCATTATTTTCTAAGTTTATTTTAAAATAATCGAGACAATCGGCAGTGACTTCATCAATTGTTTGCCTAATCTTTTAAATGTACTCCAAGCATAAGGTATACGTGCGTGTGTTTATAAGGGTGAGTATATGCACGTTTTGAGCACCTGCATTTATATTATATTTGAAAAATATATTTAACTTTTATAATAAAACAGATAATCCGTAACAATAATAATCCGGCGAATAATTTATTTTGAATGGCCCCGAGATCTTTAGCATTCTCTGTTTCTTTGTATTTTCGTCTGAGCGTAGGTGTCTGGACAAAGCCGCAATCGTGGAGGCCGACCTGGCGGCGGCGACGCCACCGGAGCAGCCAGTGGCGGCGCTGACGGTGACGGAGGTGGAGGAGGCGAAGATGGTGGTGAAGCTGCTCCCCATCTGGTCCACGAGCATCCTCTTCTGGACGGTCTACTCCCAGATGACCACCTTCTCCGTCGAGCAGGCGTCGCACATGGACCGCCGCGCCGGCGGCTTCGCCGTGCCGGCGGGCTCCTTCTCCGTCTTCCTCTTCCTGTCCATCCTCCTCTTCACCTCCGCCAGCGAGCGGCTCCTCGTCCCGCTCGCGCGCCGCCTGATGATCACACGCCGCCCGCAGGGGCTGACCTCCCTGCAGCGCGTCGGCGCGGGGCTCGTCCTCGCCACGCTCGCCATGGCCGTCTCGGCGCTCGTCGAGAAGAAGCGCCGCGACGCGTCCGGCGGAGCCGGCGGAGGAGGCGTCGCGATGATCAGCGCGTTCTGGCTGGTGCCGCAGTTCTTCCTGGTGGGCGCCGGCGAGGCGTTCGCGTACGTGGGGCAGCTGGAGTTCTTCATCAGGGAGGCCCCCGAGCGGATGAAGTCCATGAGCACGGGCCTGTTCCTCGCCACGCTCGCCATGGGGTTCTTCCTGAGCAGCCTCCTCGTGTCCGCCGTCGACGCCGCCACGCGGGGCGCGTGGATCCGGGACGGCCTGGACGACGGGAGGCTGGACCTGTTCTACTGGATGCTCGCCGCGCTCGGGGTGGCCAACTTCGCGGCGTTCCTGGTGTTCGCGAGCCGGCACCAGTACAGGCCGGCGATACTGCCCGCGGCGGACTCGCCGCCGGACGACGAGGGCGCGGTCAGGGAGGCCGCGACGACAGTGAAAGGGATGGACTTCTAGCTCGAACTCGAAGTATGCTACTGCTGTGTACCTGGATGGCTGGAGAGCTTATGCCGGGTTAATTTGTGTTTTGACTCTCTAATGTTTTCTTTTCTTTCTCCTTGGAGCATCCTCAAAATTATTCAGCAACGTGTAATGCTGAAATTACCGAAGTCTTGCAATTATAGACTCTGAATTGTACTCGCTCTGCCCTCTGGCGCATAATGTAGGTCAATGTTACCTCTCTTCTACAAAGACTACAGCGACTTACAAGTTACAACCCGTAGCAAGAAAGTCACATCTATACATAAATACTACTTCCTTCATTTCAGATTATAAAACGTTTTGACTTTTATCAAAGTTAAATTGTTTTAAGTTTAACTAAGTTTATAGACAAATATAATAATATTTATAATACTAAATTAGTTTCATCAAATCAATAGTTGAATATATTTTCATAATAAATTTGTCTTGGATTGAAAATGTTATTACTTTTTTCTACAAATTTGGTCAAACTTAAAGCAGTTTGACTTTGACTAAAGTCAAAACATCTTATAACTTAAAACGGAGAGAGTACTAGCGGCATCCGATGAATGCAATGCAGTCAGCAAATGGATACTCCCTCCATTTCATATTATAAATCGTTAAACTTTTTTTCAAATATTTTAAGTTTAACTAATGACAAAATATGATAACATCTTCAATGCAAAGCAAACATTGTATCAAAATACATTTGATGTTAAATTGTATTAAACTAATTTAATGTTATAAATATTACTATTTTTAACTTTGACTAAGAAAAAAACAAACCAACTTATAATATGAAACAAAGGTAGTAGATTCAAAGGAGGCGTTTTTATTTGGTAGTAACGTCCATTTGCGAATGAGATCATCTACCTTAAGTTATATTAATTTGGGTAACTAATATATGAGCCCACTTTACTACAAATCCATATATCAGTGACTTAAAATCACCTAACATTATGGTAGAGTATCAGCGTCCATTCGTTTGTTAACCGTAGATATGCTATATATTCTTTTTCCTAAATAAGTAAAATGTATGTTAATTTGGTAGGGGTAATTACCAACGTTGCACTAGAAGATAAAAAGAGGAAACAAGCTTAGTGGATAGGGTTTCAGCGAGCTCATCTTCTTCCACACCAGAGAGGGAAAGAGCATGATGGTGTTGACGAGCTCATGGAGAAACAAGACCATGGGGATAAGTCGGCATTAGTCATCCCCAACTCCAATGAGCAAATCTAGAGGGCGGGATGGTACTGGGAGATGTAGGGGATCGAAAGGGCTCGAGCTCTAGCTAGCTTTGGGGTAGTAGAAGGGTTTGAGCTCGAGGATGGGAAGAGCAAATGAGCTTAGGCTCAAGGGAAGAGGCGAGTGTGTAATGATGGTGGCGGCGTGGGGAGTCAGAGGGGGAGAAGGGAGAGGTAGAGAGAAGATGGGGTGGTCCAAGGTGCAAGGCGTTACCTTTGATCTTATATAAAAACACTACATGACGGTGTCCTAAAGTAAATCTTTGGTAATTATACTGCGCTCAACATGTAATGTACTATGTTTTTTTACATATGAACACCTTTTTTCCTTTCTAACTTTATACTATCAATGATAACCATGTCTTACTACCCTCTATCTTTAATTTTTACAATGTTGTTATTATAGTTTTAACAAATTTTGAAAAAAAATATCTATTGATCCTCTTCGATGTACTTCCTCCGTCCCAAAAATCTTGATGCTTTAAGGTTTCTAAGACAAACTAATTTCATGTTAAAATGACCAGATTACCCCTAATTATTTGATTCAATTGTCATTTCATTGATTACATGAAGTACTGTAGTAGTACAAAGAATTTATAAAGAATCTCTGCATACAATTATATAATAGATTTGTTTCAAAGCTCATCGAATAGAAAAATAGTCCCACTTCTCCATCAAATTTGCTACTCCCATAACACTTTTTGCGGGACAGAAACTCTTAAACGATTTTTTTTCACGGAGGAATTTTTATTAAGTAGCCATGTTAGTGTCGAACTGCTGATGGCGACGCTCATGCTGCCATCCACCGCGCCACCACCAAACCAAGTTCACCAACACGTTTACACGTAAGCCGATGCATTCTCAGCTCGCACGGCAGTTTCCCACAGTGGTGGCGCACTGGTGCCATATGCCCACCCATCACAAAGCACAAGCAGTTCGTAGCGTCGCGACGAAACGCCACGCCACGCCACTATCGCCTTTCGCGACCAACACTAGCGGAGGCCATGTCACCCCGATCAAAAAGGTATCACGGGCTCAATAAAATAGTGGCGTTTTTCCTTTTTTTTTTGCTCTCATCAATCGGTGAGAGAGAGTGCTCGTCGTCGATCGCCCAAGGTCCGGGACAACCCAAAAGGCCGCGGCGACAGCGGAGCAGCAGCAGCAGCAGCTCGCGCCGCCCCCCAACCGGAAGCCATGGCCGCGCCGTCGGCGATCCCCCGCCGCGGCCTGTTCATCGGCGGCGGGTGGCGGGAGCCGTCCCTCGGCCGCCGCCTCCCCGTCGTCAACCCGGCCACGGAGGCAACCATCGGTACTCCGTCCCTTTGCTTTTGCCCCCCATATCCCCTTCGCCCGCATTTGGTTTGCTCCATCCCAAGCACGGGATTCCGGTTAATTTGTTTGTGGGTTTTGTGATCGGTGAAGGTGACATCCCGGCGGCCACGGCGGAGGACGTCGAGCTCGCGGTGTCGGCGGCGAGGGATGCGTTCGGCCGCGACGGTGGGAGACACTGGTCGCGCGCGCCTGGGGCCGTGCGGGCCAAGTACCTCAAGGCGATCGCCGCTAAGGTGCTCAGCTTCTATGCCTCCTAATCCTGCTATTAGTTTGGACTTTGGAGCTAGATGAGTTGTTGAGCAGAGCTCTCCTATGCTGCTAACCTGCTACTTCCACCTTGCTGTGTGACTGAAACTTACTTTCGGGGATTGATTAAAGGACGCTCTTAGTGCCGTAAACTGCTTCTCAAATTAGGTTGATCAACTCGGGTTTAGTATTGAAAAGAAAATTCATACTTATGTCCCATTTTTATTGCAAGTCGGTATTTTACTTCTGTTGTATATGATCATAGGAAGGGGGTGCACATAACAATATATTAGGAACAGTAGGAAAAATTGGAACAACATATCAGGAACAGTGAAAAATCATGGCTAGTTTAGTCTAGCGGAAATTATGTTTACTGGAAGCTGTCAATGGGTAGCAGATGAGATTCTCCACTAAAGACAATGTTGACTTGCCCTTGCTGTTACAACGAGTTCACTGTTGATTATCTTTGAACAATGGGTTTCTCAGACTTCAGTTTTTACAGATGGAAGCTTTCTCAGATTGAATGTTATTTCCAGTATGTTTACTTAGTTTACCCTTTTTGCTGAACTTTAAATGGAAAGCCCCAAGGCTGAAATTTTTGTTATGATGAGAAGCCCATAGTATAACTTGATCGGTGCTTTTAACAATTGGTGCCCACCCTGTCATTAGTATTTTTGTTTGTTATAACCGGCAGTACATTTATTGAAATGTTGTGAACTGGCTGCAGATTAAAGATAAGAAATCTTATCTAGCTTTGTTGGAGACTCTTGATTCTGGGAAGCCTCTGGATGAAGCAGCTGGGGACATGGTATGCATTATTATTCACACTATGGTTTTTAGCATGACACAAGATTTTCCGTGCTTTATTTGATGCCTTGGCCTTGTTAATTTTAGGAGGATGTCGCTGCATGCTTTGAGTATTATGCTGATCTGGCAGAAGCTTTAGATGGGAAACAACGGGCACCAATCTCTCTACCCATGGAAAATTTTGAGTCCTATGTACTCAAAGAACCCATTGGGGTTGTTGGACTTATCACTCCCTGGTATAAGAAATACATACCTTGCCTTGAAAAATTGATACTGTTTAATTGTATCATAGTATATTTTTTTGGCTTCTGGGATGTTGTAGTGTATCGAAATACTTTGACACGTCCAATTTCCCTCGTCTTATTAGACTCAAGGTGTTTTGTTCACACCGGAAGCAATTGTTCTTATTTCAGTCTTTTCATGCTTTTGTTGGTTCATGTTTGATAACAGAAGACCAATTGGAAATTTCAAATTCCTCATGTTTTGCATCTGTAGTTTTGTTTTCCTGTCAGAGGAAAGACTATTAACAAAATATCATGATCCTTTTGTATTGTTTACCTTTTGTACGTGATCATCCAATAACTTTGAAGTTGATCTTCCCAAGCCCCCTTCAGGTATTCATACCAATCTAAAACTCTAAAAGTGCTATGTTGATCCATAAAAAATAGTGGTGGCGTTCATTGCCACCTGTTGATTCCTATCACATGAGTACAGACATGCACCCCTATAACATATTGATGTTTTCCGTGTTTCATTGCTTTGTGTAAATGCGCTTTAGGCTTATGAGATAAAGAAATTTGAGTTATAGTAAAAGGCTAATCGTTTGGATTATTTTCTTATTCATGCACACATGAAGGAATTATCCTCTGCTGATGGCTACTTGGAAGGTTGCACCTGCCCTGGCTGCTGGGTGTACAGCTGTATTAAAGCCATCTGAGCTTGCTTCCCTGTAAGGATCTAAGGATTGATCATTTACAATTCATTTATGCAAGGTTTGTACCCCATGACTAAAAATATGTTTTTAAACCAGGACATGTTTAGAGCTTGGTGGAATATGTGCAGAAATTGGATTACCTCCAGGAGTCTTGAACATAATTACTGGTCTGGGCACTGAAGCTGGTGCTCCATTAGCTTCACATCCCCATGTGGATAAGGTCAGACCTCTTCCTAATATGTACTACATTCATGTGCTTACAAACACACTGACAGAGTATCACATATTTTTAAGTGACTACCCTAAGTTGTTTTTGAATTTTATGTGGATCCTTTCTGTAGATTGCTTTTACTGGAAGCACAGAAACTGGTAAGAGGATAATGATTACTGCTTCCCAAATGGTCAAGGTTTGTTCTCTATATATGATCATGCCCTGAAGAGAATTTCTAATAACTTCTGACATTGAATGCTTCTGTCGGAGCAAGAAACCTGTGCATTATGCCTTGATGTCCTCGTAAGTCTAATTATATTGTGCTTTTTTTTTCTTGAACAGCCTGTTTCGTTAGAGCTTGGTGGCAAAAGTCCTCTTATTGTCTTTGATGATGTTGATATTGATAAAGGTATTAGGTATCTTCCACTCTCCAGCTTTCCCACGTCAACTATGCTCCTAATTCAATTATGCGATGTTGTCAAACCACTTGTTTTTTGTTTAATTCATTACCTGCAATTCTGTAGTTATTCAAGTAAGTATTGCTAGCTAATTGTATGTGTATGTGCTAAATTTGAAACAGCTGTTGAGTGGGCCATGTTTGGGTGTTTTGCGAACGCTGGTCAAGTCTGCAGTGCTACTTCTCGTCTACTTTTGCATGTACGTATGTTCTTCTGCTTATTTTACAGCTTAAGTCATGTCCTCGTACATGACATGAAGATATGCACAGGAGAAAATTGCAAAGCGATTCTTGGATAGGTTGGTTGCATGGGCAAAGAGTATCAAAATCTCAGATCCACTAGAAGAAGGTTGCAGGCTGGGGTCAGTCGTTAGTGAAGGGCAGGTAATGTAAATAGCTTATTGCAGCTCCTGAAGTTCAGTTGCAAATATTCATTTCTCTTGTGAAGTGTGAACCTGTGAACTTTGATGAATATTTCACGTCATTCAAAACAAAATTATTGCTCAAGATAATAGTGAAATACTAAAAATGCATGTAACAGTAATAGTTTACTTCTTTGGAAATTGCTTTTCTTGCAAATATTGTATTCTGCAGCCATGCCTTTCTATACAGCCTTAGATACCTTGTCATCTGAATAACTGCATCATTATGTAATTCGGTAACTCGGACGACTTAAGAACCTTTTTCTCATTTCAGTATCAAAAAATAATGAAGTTCATCTCAACAGCAAGATGTGAAGGTGCCACAATTCTATATGGGGGTGCCCGACCACAAGTATGTATCCTTAGACTTCAAGTTACATTAGTCCTTGGTTCCTCAGTATTTGATCCTAACCAAGCTAAATTGGTGTACTGACAGCACCTCAAAAGGGGGTTCTTTATTGAGCCTACTATTATAACAAATGTTAGCACATCAATGCAAATTTGGCGAGAGGAAGTCTTTGGACCGGTCATCTGCGTTAAAGAATTTAGGACAGAGCGTGAAGCAGTAGAACTTGCAAATGATACTCAGTGAGTTGCTTTATGTGGAACTGTGGAAAAAAAAATTAAGCCTGTTCTTGTCTTTTTAATCTGCTTCTTTTCTCAGCTATGGTCTAGCTGGCGCTGTGATTTCCAATGATCTAGAGAGGTGCGAGCGCATTTCAAAGGTAATTTTGGGTTGAATTACGACGTGCCTATCAATTTTACCCTTGACTAAATAGCTGGGACCCTGGGATGATGATAACCTGGTAATGAAATGGATGTATTTGATCTCATAAATCCACAATACATGTGAAACCTGCAGGCTATCCAGTCAGGTATCGTTTGGATAAATTGCTCGCAACCATGCTTTGTTCAAGCTCCATGGGGAGGGAACAAGCGGAGTGGTTTTGGCCGGGAGCTAGGACAGTGGTGAGTCTATTACTATACTTATTTAGAACAGTAAACTCATACAAATGTGATAAGCAGTTAATCCGCAGTGCTTGATGTCACAAACTGTGGCCAACTGAACAAGCATTGGCTGTGCAATCTACATCCTCTGAAATGTCTTTGCTTATGCTTCAGGGGCCTCGATAACTACTTGAGCGTGAAGCAAGTCACCAAGTACTGCTCAGATGAACCATACGGATGGTACCGGCCTCCATCCAAGCTGTAGATTTGTCATTCGTGTCAAGAGCGACGGAGCACGTCATTACCTGAAAGCAAGATCAACCCTGTACATTCAGAACGGACGGACAGAATCTTCTTTACAGTTGCTCTTACGGTCTTACAATAAGCCTTGCATGGCAATAGCAACTTATGAATTACAGTATATGATACTGCGTCATCAAGCAAGCCATGTGTGTGCTGTATCAGACTATCATTCGCTTTGTCGAGCACCTGCATTTGTCACCACTCACCACTGTTAAAGCAAGAATGCAAAATGCAAAATGAAAAAGAAAACTGCAGTATGCTGTGTTTATGTGGTTACCTGCTAGGCTGCTACTCTGTCTATCTGCATTTTTTTGAACCATCATGAATTGAACGAGCATGGCTTGAGGAGGTCCCTGGAACACTAGTCCCGCGGGGGCCGGAGCTCAATTCTCCGAACCCCATTGCACCGTCATGAATTGAACGAGCATGAGTTAGCAGGTGATCTAGCGACCTGAGGTCGCGTTCCCGTTCCCTGAGCTTTGCAGTTTGTACCTCTCGTGAAACGTCAGTGGGGGTTCGGCGTTCAATTCTCCGACCCCCGTGAAATCACGAATTGAGAACACGCCTTCTTCTCGGGCGATCTGAGTGAATACCAACCTCGCTATTCCCTCCGTCCCAAAAAAAAACTTAACATAGAAGAGGTCGGCTCCTCCTAGTACAACGAATATGAACTTTCATTTGTCCAAATTCGTTGTCTTAGGAGAAAAAAAACTCAACCTAGAAGAGGTCGGCCCCTCCTAGTACAACGAATATGAACTACCATTTGTCTAAATTCGTTGTCTTAGAAGGGAGTACCAGCTATATACAGTAGAGATGATGAATTGATGAGTGCAGAAATGATGAATTGATGAGTGCAGAATCCTTGTTGGTTGGACTGCGTTGAAGTGGGCCTTCAGCCATGGCAACATGATCGAGCACTGAGTTGTTCTTGTTCATGTTTGAGATAACTTCATATCCAATACATTTCTTGAAACTAGTGTTTATCTCCAAAAATCCATTAATTTTTCTAGAGCTATGAATACATATGTATGAGTCATTAACAATACTTGTATGAGTCATTTTGTCCCCGCTAGGAAGAAATACAAAATTTTAAGCCATTTTAATTCAACTTGCAAACTCTATATCCAATGTGAATATGTAATCTGGAATTGTGTCAAACAGGATATATGTAACAACTAAAAAATTTAAACACATCATATTTATCCATGAACTTTCTTCTTTTTTTTTAATTCATAAAAGATAGATATGCGCGCACACCCCAATACACCACGTACTATTACATATGAGCAATTTTACGGTCCTTGAGGAGATACTATGAGGTATCACTTTTTCTATTATAAATTTAGTATCTCTTGGTACTTAGATACTAAATTTTTGGTACCTCATGGTACCTCCTCAAAGACCGTAAAATTGCTCATTACATATAGGCGTCCGCCTGTATATCTGTTCTAAAAATAAACTGAACTGTGGCAAGTGTTAGATGAAATCCAAATGAAGTGAAGAAAGTCGCTCAAAGATGAACAATTTCAGGTGGCAACGACCTTACACAATTCGAGGCTCTTGCGAGAAGTTGTCTGATTCTACTAACTAAGGATAAAACTTCATCTAACAAGAAGGTTCTGAGCAGTTTAAGAGCCACTTAAAACACCCGGATTTCACTAGCTGCAGGTTATTAGTCATAGTTTACGACTTGCCTATCCGATGCTTTGCTTTTGTTGCACGCGCTAACACCGTAGAAAGCGTGTTGGATTTTCGCCAGAACAAGATAAAACCGTTGTTGATTCTTTGTTTGTAGTTGTGCTTGAATTATTGACACCATTATTCGTCTGAATGCTGCATCTCTCCGTCTTTGTTAAAAATTTGCTGGAGGTTAGTTGCCAGTCTGACACTCTGACTACTACTTTGACACTTGGACTTGTTTTGCATGATCATGCAAGTTGCACAAGACAACAGAGAGAAAATTGGAAAAAGGTACAGAAAGAATTGGGAAAATTGTACAAATCAATAGGTGACATGTTACTTCCTTGATTGTGGACATTTATTTGTCAGTGTGCGTGATTTGGATCATTATATATTCAGCTAAAACTGTGTGTGAACACCAGGCTAATTAAGAATTGGAGCACGCTGAATGATATTAAGGCTACAGAATTCTCAATGGAATCATAAACAAAGAAATTCATGACTAGGAAACCAAGGGAAAATAAGAGAGAACTTAACACCATGTAAAGAGAAGTTACCTTTCGGGGTAGGTTCTTTGGCTTGGACAGGACATTTAGTTCATGTCTTTTCACACGCCCAGAATGACTGACTCATATACAGCACAGAGTGGCGTAATTCCTTATGGCCAAGCACAAGGGAACTGTACAGCAATAAAATCTGATTAGTGCTCTAAGCACTTTCTGTTAACACCTTTAATTAAGTACCTGGAAATGTACAAGGCTACTTTCAGAAATCAGAAGGTGCAAAATATGAACATGGCAACCTTCGATGTGAACCCGCCCGTTTAACAAAGCTCCCACCTTCCAGTGACATTAATTATCACCCATACAATAATTCAACTTGCTATGTTAATTAAATTACTTGACCTATATAACTATTAATTGTTGGTTCATTCTGTCTTTTGGTGGATATGATGGTGATGTGGTCAGCACTAAAATTAGTCTGAACTCTGAAGTGCACATGCCCCTGAACTTAATATACGTAGACAAGACATACAAGGGGCGTGTTACAAGCTGGAAAACTGTTTCTTACAACGCTAGTACCTTTCAACCTATCTGGACACTACTAGTATTAGTTAAACTAGTTATTATTGGATGAAAGCACCTAGTCAGATAACAGAACAGGCACGAAATGGAGTAGGAATACACACTTTGGGCAATAGTATCTTAGCGAAAACGAACCGTATATACATATGGTTTTCAGACATGCCGTGGAAGGTCGGTATGACCGTAGAACAAGGCACTGGATTTTATTTTAGTAGTCATAATATAATGCCGGTTTGAAATCAATACTTTCTATAAAATTATAGCCTACTAAATCTAAAGCTCAACATATAACCATACCACATCATCAGCCACTAACAACAATTACATATTTAACCTCATATAAACATACAACATCATCTACAATTTATTTAATTCTACAAATCAACATGTAAGCATATCCAATGATCACCCTCACATCATTTGCATAATATTTTAACATATACTTGTCAACATGTTTCACATCATTTGTTTGTTTCATGATAAGTACTGATAAATCCTGTTATTTTTTTCCCTTTTTACATTATCGAAAAAGAAATTTGAGAATTGCTTAATAATTCCCGCAGCAAAGTGTGGGGAATCACCTAGTTATAGAAATGATTAGGAGTGAGTTCATAGTCAAAATGTTGATAAAATGTCGATTCACAAAAACAAATGGATGTATAGATCTTCTGGACACCCACCCATTTACATATTAACGGCTCAATATGAGAATATGAGAGAGAAATTGCATGAAATTTCTAAAATACCACTAGGCCCGTATGCTAGGTCTTCATCTCCTTCTCATCTTTCTCACAAACGAAGGTGGCTCTAGTGCTCTACCAACGAGCACCAAGGCCGCATAGATTCGCGGCGCGGACGGTGACTGGGTCCAGTGTAGTTCCAGGGAGGTAGTGCTGCTGACGAGCATCGGGGCTTTTTACAACATCTGTTCCAAGGAGGTGAACGTGGCAACGACAGCGACGCTAGATAGGACGACACTATTAGCAGTAGGGAACTCAGATGGATTGCAACCTTCGCGGCGAGCATCTGCAGATCCAGTCGGCGAGTTTGCATGGCATGGGCACAGATCCAAGCATGAAACTCTGCTCTCCTCCACTCCCTGTCGACTTGTCTCGAGCCTCCTTCTCCAGCTCGCAGGTGGAGGTGGCTCTGGTGACAAGCACCGAGGCATCGAGAGAGGAGATGGAGACTTGACATGTGGGCATGGTGGCATTTCAAAACTTTCACGTAATTTCTCTCTCTTATTGAATTGGAAATAAATATTCTAATGGATACAGTGTCCAACAGCAAGTTCACATTCTAAGAATGTCTTCCCCTAAAACTCACTTCATGCGGTATCCTACTATTAAAATTATGAAGTTACGATGTTATTATATAGTAAAATTTACCTTATAAATATGAGGATTGGCTTGTCCAGAAAGTACATCGTGATGTACTTCTGCTTGTCCTTAAAGAAAATGAGTATTTGAATATGTTAAATTTACTATAATCTTCATTCTAAAATATAATAGAATTTGGTAATATAAGTGTATAGTCAAAATCTTTTATATTTTATATTTTAGAACGTTGGTAGTACTACTAGCATGGTTGTTGGTTTGCTCGTTGAAATTTGACCGACTCATGACTTCAGGAGGTCTAAGGCTCGATTTGACTAGTTGTTGGTTTTCAGCCTTTTCCCAACTTCTCTCCCTCGTTTTCCGCACGTACGCTTTTTAAACTGTTAAACGGTACGTTTTTTGCAAAAAATTTATATACGAAAGTTGCTTAAAAATATCAAATTAATCCTTTTTTTTGACAAAAATAGCTAATACTTAATTAATCACGCGCTAATGGACAGCTCCGTTTTCCGTACCCAGGGATCCAGTTGGGACTTGGGATCTAGAAATAGCGGTTATTAGCGAGTTACTCCATCCACCCTAATTTGATTGTTCCCTAAGCAAACGATATCAAGATCAAGAAAAACAAAATATTTATCATTCTCAAATTAATTTTCATCGGTTAAGGTGGTTCACATGTTTTAAATATTGCATGTCATTACACCAATAAAAATTAATTTTGGTTGATTGCATGCAACACATTCAATGATGCACATTTACTACTTGCACAAATATATAAAGAAACACTTGTTAGATGATGATCATTCTGAGAAAACCTCAAAAACCTTAGGGGATCGATGATCAAAATGTGATGGAGGAAGTATTAGCTGAGTATTAATTATTATAAATTTAATAAAATAAAATAATTTGATTTTAAAAAGAAAATTTTTTATAGATCTTTTTTATATAAATATTTTTAGCAGTTCGGAATATATATATGATCAATATTAAGGATGTAATTTAGCCTAGAAGATGAATAGAACATAACTCATGTGTAAATGACACAGGGTGTAGTTAAATGTTACTTAGATGTGGCACCAACACGTCAATTTCATGAGTGACGTTGCTGTACTATTTCCAAGTGACGTTCTGATTGCTTACACGCACGTTGATAATTTGGCTCCTCAGTCGTGTCAATGATTGGCCTGCTAGATTGATTGGCTTGCCATGGATGTCTGATAGCTATTCCTAGATGAAATGCGTTTCTTTAAATAAAAGCACATCCATATCCGAACTTCCGAAGTTCATGAGTACTTAATCATATGCTACTGAACATTGAGATATACAGCAAGCGAGGAAACAGCAAATGATATATCCAAGTGTTGTAGTTTTCATTTCCAATTAAGTGAGGAAACAGCAAATGATATATTTCGTTCACTCGATCGATGTACTGTACTACTGATCAATTGCTGAAGAAATTACTGCAAAACTCGATCGATCGAACTCTATGATTGATTTACATGATGGAGCAGGGGCTCGGCTCGTCGCTGCAGACCACCGTCGCCGGCGGGTAGTAGCAGGGAGGAGCTGGGTAGTAGCATGGCACGGGCTTGGGTGGCTCCGGCTGCTTCTCCTCCGGCTTCTTGTCCTTCACCTCCTCCACCTGAACGATCTCGGCGTAGCCGATCTTCCTGCGGAGGCAGGCGACGAGGCAGACCGGGTCGACGCCGTCGCCGACCACCTGCAGCCGGTCCTTGCCGTCGCCGGTGACCTCCATCGAGTTCACGCCGGACGCCCTCGCCACCAGCGCCATGGCCTTGGACCGGCTCTTCTCGCACGGCATGCTCACCTTGATCACGATCTTTTGCTGCATTATTCAACCACGCCCCCAATAAGAAACTGATTCATCAGTGGATCATCAAAACTAATTAAGCTGCATGCATGCGAAGCAACTAATCGAACAGTTTCCCTCACCTTCGTCATCGTGTTCAGCGTGAAATGCCTCGGCCGATTCGATTCGATTCGATCGTTTGCAGTGCAGATGCAATGCGATCAAGATGAGCTCGCTCGCTCGCTGCAGATTTCCTAGCTGCGTGCGTTGCGATTTCTAGCGGTGGATGCAGGAGGCCACGACGGGGGCGCCTTATATAGCACGCGCGCACGCGCAAAGGAGTACACAGGAGGACACAGCCCAGCCGCGCGCCGCTACTTCTCGGCACCGTACTAGCAGAGACTAAACTAAACGGCGAGTTGACGATGACGTAATTAAGAACATTCGACGCAGCTAATTAAAGCAGCCAACTAAACAGAACAGTGTATGCTAACCTAACCCTGACGGAACGAATTGAACGAGCTAGCTGCTAGGATCGATCGAAGCCTCAAAGGTCTGAATTTAGTCAGACGGCTGGGTCTCCTAAATCCTAATTCCTACAGGAGGAGCCAATCAGAATGAGACTGTATGAAGACGACGTCGATGACGACGAGTCGACGACTTGATTTGGTTCTTGGTTAAATGGTTGAGGGTCCAGATATGAGCCTCACAAGCAAAATTCTACTAATTGTTGATTTGTTTCCATGTGGCTGCCGCGGCAGCTCGGCTTAACGGCAAGCATGAGCGAGCTTAGCTTGCTAGCACGCCTGAGCTGAAGCTGACAGTGGATATATTTACCAATATATACAATTACTGCCAGTAGAACTCAACTGTGACAGAGTCAAATTAAAGGAAACAGTTTCCAGTTTGAGTTTTTGACGCACTGTTTGTTTATAGGAAAAGACAGTGAATTGAATTTTGACAGCGAATGGGGATACAGCGAAGTTACTGTGGATGGGATGCCGATGGTTAGTTCGCTCTAAAGGTCAGTTTTGGCACGCCGGCTTTTGTGAACGCAAGATCGGGTCAACCCGCGAGCTAAAAAAAATCGCGGTGATACGTACAGATGCAACACGCGTGACACCAATGAGCGAATCGGAGCGTAGCATATATAGGATGGCGCCGTCGCGTTCCTTCTCATCAGTTTGGCTAAGATTTGGGACCGACCGAGAGAGAGACTTGCGACGGGTCGCTGCTAGCTCGAGTGAGATGTGCGTGCCGTGTCTGTCTGTACGCGCGTGCAACTTGGATTTTGCCCGACTCGCACGGCGGCTATTTTGCGATAAAATTTGGCTTTAATCGATTTTGAAAACGTCTAGCAACGACGCGTCGTCTCAGGCCGCTGCCGATTTATATTCGCGAGAGATTTTTATACATGGTTTGTGTTTTTCTCACTTTGGGTTGGGGACGTCGGTTTCTGATCGGAACAGGGCCGATCGAGAGTGCGAGTACTATCGTCACTTGACATGCGCATGGCTTCAACTGAGTCCGTGACACTGTAGTGTCGTTCTTGTTAAACACTGCTCCGGTCAATGGATCGATACGCTTCCATTATTAAAGGCGTCAGGCTTTGACTTAATATAACCACCACATTTGCCTTTTGACTTTTCAACCGCAAGTCCGCAACCGAAATTTTCAATTTTGAAACATAAGGTTACGGTTAATTTTTAAGGGGTTTTCACTTGTTGTTTAATTCCCGATATTGGCCTTTAAATCATAACAATGCGTCTATATAAATTTTAGATAAATTATTTTTATCTTCATTTTTTTTACTGTTTATCAGCTGTAAAGGCAAATGATGACTCGTTTCAGATTCTTCACAAATAAATCAGCCAGTAGGCGTGATGTCCGAGATAAATGGGCCTAAATGAGGCCGTGCCATACAATGGCCCATTTATTACGGCCTACTAGCTTCGGCCCTCCCCATCCCGCGTAACCGCCGCCGCCGCCGACCTCCCTCAACTCCGATGTGGGGAACCACGGCCGCAGCCGTGCGCCGGCTCTGCGCGGCCGGCGATGTCCGCTCGGCGCTCGCGATGCTCGCCCGCGGGACCAAGTCGGGCGATGCGGCGCTGGACGTCACCGCGTGCACGGCGCTCGTCAACGGCTGCTGCAAGGGCGGCGATGTGGCGGAGGCCCGGAGGGTGTTCGATGAAACGCCGCTCCTGGGGCTTGCACCTAACGAGGTCACTTACACTGCTCTGATGCATGGCTACTTCACTCATGGCCAAAGGGAGAAGGGTTTCGCCTTGTTTGAGGAGATGAGGAGGGGTGGAGTCGAGCCAAATCTCTACACCTACAACTGCTTGATTGGGGAGTGGTGCAGGACAGGGGAGTTCGAGCGCGCTCGTAGCTTGTTCGACGAAATGCCTGTGAGGGGCATTGTGCGCAATGTTGTCAGCTATAACACCCTCATTGCCGGCCTATTGAATTCATCTTGGACGGACGGATACTGACTACTAGTAACGATGAGCTTGAACAGCAAAAAATGTGAATATTAGGAAATGACCTAATACTAAATAATTAGAAAGGGTGAGGTTTTGAACTCAGGTCGTCTAGCCCATCACCTTGTGGAGCTGGTCGGAAGATCCACGAACGTTTCTCTGAGCTTGGACGGCTTAATTTCATTCACTGGGGTGTCCAGAACGAAAATGGCTTGTCATGTGGGTATCACGTACACTAATTAATTGGCATACATAATGCTTCAATTATCAAGCAAATGTCGTCTATTATTGAAAGGGATTGTGTGTTTATCAAGCATGTGACACCATAAGATGTCTTATGGTGCTTGAAAATTAGTAACAGAGGATTTACCGATATCAATCAGGGTTAAGGTATACTTCCTCCATCCTAAAATATTTGACGCCATTGACTTTTTTTAAAAATGTTTGACCGTTCGTCTTATTCAAAAAATTTAAGTAATTATTAATTCTTTTCCTATCATTTGATTTATTGTTAAATATACTTTTATGTATTCATATAGTTTTACGCATTTCACAAAAGTTTTTGAATAAAACGAACGGTCAAACATGTTTAAAAAAGTCAACGGCGTCAAACATTTTGGAAAAGAGGGAGTATATTAGAGATGAGCACTTCTAAAACGCTCTAGTAGATGATTATTGACATATTTTCTTAATGAAAAAATTTCTCCTCAGCTAATCAATCTATCATAGCACCATAAGATGTTGCTTGAAAATTAGTTTGGCAGCCACCTCAATTTATTCTTAATTTTGTAATACGTGAAACCAACGCTTTTATGACTTAAATATGGTTCAAACAACCATCAGGTTCGAAATAACAAAAAAAAAAGTTTCATGTTCTATCTGTCGTTTTTTATTCGTAGGATTTCACTTAATTAGGCCTTACCCTTTCAAAACAAAAGGTCTTTTCAATTCAAGAAGGTCACCAAAGCGAGGTTAAAATGACACAATAACGTTTTTAATAGAATTTAAGTGAGACTAGAAATTTGCCACTAGTTTATATCTTTTTAATGGCGTGTTAAAGGGCACATTCACCAATGCGTGAGTGTGGTGTGGTGTGTATGTGCATACGTGTCTTTCTTGTAACTAACCTGACGCCAAAAGAGACCGAAAGCACTAACAGTACCGATGGGCAATGGCAAAGGGGGTCTTTTCTTTGTCAAGGAAAGACGTGGGTTGCATGCATAAACACCCACAAATCCCTTTCAAAACGCACAGCACTTCGTCGTGAAAGAATGAGACGACTCGCATGGCCTCTAGCCCTGCCGCCGTGTCGATCCTTCCATATGTACACGTACGGGAACGAACGAACAAACGAACGTTTCGCCGCTTAGCTCGATCGACTTTGACACGGCTGGTATTATGCATGGATTTCGCGATCGAATCCCTGATGCTAACCCGGTAGTCGGGGGCGTCGGATCCATGCCCCACGGGTTCGCCGGTAATCCACCGCACAGGTGTCCGGGCCACGCCGCGTGACGGGAGGACGTTGCGAGGAGCTCCAGAGTTCGGTGGGGTGGCACAGGAAGTTAGGCCTAGGCCACAAGACAAACCCACTAGCCATCTTCTCCTGAATCTATACTTTCTGTAGGGGAGCTGCTATATACCGGTATCCCGTTGGGATACTGTCCCAACGGGATCGCCCCCTGTCCACCTTCCTCAGACGCGAGAACGAAGGCCACCATGGGAGCAGCGCAGATGAGGCTGACGTCGGCAGCACGGACGCAGCCGCCACCGTCACCGAGCTCCGGCATGGAGGACGCGGCTGCCGGCGAGTTCCGGCGTGGGGCATGGTCGCATGGACGGCGGAGGATCCTGCGTGTGGTGACAGAGACGGCGCCGGCGACGAGCTCCGGCGTGGGGCGTGGACGGCGGAGGATCCTGCGTAGTGATAGCGGCGGCACCGGTGACGAGCTCCGGCGTGGAGGACGCAGCCACCGGCTGAGGCGTGGACGATGGACGTGGCCGCCGGTGACGAGGTCCCGGCGGAGGACGCGGTCGCCGGCGACGAGCTCTGATGTGGACCGTGGACGGGGGAGGATGCGGCTGCCGGTGATGAGGTTCGGGTTCAGTGTGGAGCATGGACGGGGGAGGACACGGCCGTCGGCGACGATACCTCGACGCCTCGACGCCCAGCTCCTGTATCTAGTAGGTATCATATGATACCTCGCAAGTATCACCCCGATACGTCGTAGAAATCGCGCGATACCTGATAGGTATCACATGATACCTCGCGAGTATCGCCTAATACGTGATAGGAATCATCTGATACCTGATACGTGGTAGAATCACATGATACCTGGTAGGTATCACTCAATACCGGCTAGGTATCAGGACCTAATACCTCGCAAGTATCACGCTCTACGTGGTAAGAATCGCATGATACATGATAGGTATCATCATATATCTCGTAAGCAATCACCTGATACGTGGTAGGAATCACCTGATACTTGATGGTTATACCTGATGCATGTTATGATACTTGTGAGGTATCAGGTATCTATAAGGTATTAGGCGATTCCTATCACGTATCATGTGATACTTGTAAAGTATCATGTGATACCTGTAAGGTATCATACGATTCTTACCACATAGAAGGTGATACTTACGAGGTATCAAGTGATACCTATGAGGTATCAAGTGATACTTGAGTAGGATCATGTTAAACTTAGGAGGTATCATGATCCCCCTTAGTATCATGTTCGGTTTCACCAGGTTTTATAAGTGATACTTTGGGAGGATCATGTGATACCTGGGAGGTATCATGATCCTCATCTGTATCATGTCTGCTATCATCAGGTTTCACATATGATACCCTAGAAGGATCTGCATGACCCTACTTAGGTATCATGTCTGGTAACATAATCCTATGAATTTCACAGATGATACTTTAGTAGGATCGTATGATACCCGTGAAGTATCACATCCTACCCAGGTATCATGATACATGATCCTCGAAATTATCACATGATCCTATCTAGTATCATGTCTAGTATAGAGGTTTCATGCGGGTTTCACAATTGATACTTGAGTAGGATCATGTGAAACCTGGGAGGTATCAGGAGGTAGGATCAATTGGAGTATAAGGAGTACATCATCCTCCTGAGGCCGCGGTCGGACGCCACCACCGTCGGCATGGACGACGACGGCACGCAGCAGAGCTAGTACTTACCCTTCCTCCCCGGCAACACCACCACCGGCGGCAAGCCGCGGCTGGTCTGCTCGTACAATCACGCCGTTGACGGCTTCACCGCCGTCACCGTGTCCAAGAAGCCCAGCTCCGACGCTGCTTTCAGGACAGCATCGCTTGCTTGTATTGCTGGTTTAAGCAGGAAGGAGGATGGCAACCTTGCCGGATTCGGCCATGGCGACGACGCGCTGCGCGCGGCGGCGAGAGCACCCGAGGCGGAGCTGCTGCGGATGCGTCGGGGCAGCGGCGATGGCGACGCGCCGCCTGCGCGGTGGAGGTCAGCGAGGTGGGAGAACGCGAGGGACGACGGCGCCGCCATTCTCTCTCCAAGCCAATCCCTTCGTCTCGCGCTGCAACGGTGGATGACGCGGTGGACGAAAGGGGATCCTGTCCCGTCCAGACGGGATCCCGTTGTTTAGCATTCCTCTTATGTAGAGTTATAACCCACTAACTCTAAAACTTCACATGCAACTATATCACATCATCACCCACTAACAATAATTACAAATTTAACCTCGTGCAAACATGTAACATCATCTACGTATTTAATTACACAAATCAACATGCAAGCATATCTAATCATTACCTCACATCATTTTCACAATATTTTAACAAATCTATTTATTGTTTTTATAATATTTAACATACAGTTATCAATATGATCCACATTGAAGTGCGGGTATCATTTGTTTTCTTTTTTATTTCTAGCTTGATTGTACGAAAATTATATATTAAAAATTGTTTAGTTATTCCCGCAGCAAAGTGCGAGGAAAGCGTGGGGAATCACCTAGTTTTCTATATAAAAAAAAAAGACACCGGCTACTCCTAAAAGAAAATATCTTCATCCCAAAATATAACAATATAAAGCTGATTGTCTAAATTTGTAGTAATATGATATGTCGCTTTTAGTGTTAGATTACTATATTTTGGAACGGATATTAGTAACAAGAGAGCTATATGGAGGTGGATTCTAAATTTTTAATCACCCAAATAAATGTCTGTCAACTAAATAGTTGTAAAATAATTAATTTTTTATAGGATAGTAGATTAGTATGTACTCTCCCCGTCCAAAATATAAGAGATTTTGGTGGAATGTGACATATAAATTCGTTTCGTTTGAGAAAGTTGCACACCTTGTTCCCTATAAATAAAGAGATTCATTCTTTTTTTCGCAAAAATTCCCTCTTCTTCCTCTCAATCGCCTTAACAAGACCAAGCAGATCTCATCCTATAACTCAGAGCGGATCTATCTAATGGCATGGCTGTTTGTCGGATGTAATCTAGAATATGTCATATCCCTCCAAAATCATCTATATGATGGGACGGAGGGAGTAATATATTAGTAGCAGTCAAATTTACTATTTTAAAATTTATTATTTTATTATATACTACCACCATTTCAGGTTATAAGACTTTCTAGCATATGAATGTGGGCAATGCTAGAAAGTCTTATAACCTGAAACAGAGGAAGTAACTAGTAGAAGTCAATTTAAAATTATTTTTTAAGTGATATAATATATATTAATAATATTAACTTTTTTATACTTAGTTGACGTGTAATAAACACGGGCTATCAAAAGAGTTTCCCCAGTTATACACGGTTACACCTGAGTTTCGAACCGGCGAACAAATGCCGCCAACTCCTCCGCTCGCCGCCCTCCACCGCTTCCTCGCCTCGCCGTCCCCGCCGCCGCTCCCCTCGCTGCTCACCCTCCACGCGCTCGCCGTCACATCCGGCCTCTCCCCGCGCCCCGACTTCGCCGCCAAGCTCGTCTCCGCCTACTCCTCCGCCGGCCTCCCCGCCCTCGCCGCGCTCGCCTTCGCCGCCTCCCCCTGCCCGGACGCCTTCCTCTGGAACTCCCTGCTCCGCTCCCGCCACCGCGCCTCCGACTTCGCCTCCACGCTCTCCGCGCACCGCCGCATGCGCGCCTCGGGGGCGCGGCCCTCCCGCTTCACCGCGCCCCTCGTCGCCTCCGCCGCCGCGGAGCTCGGCGCCCTCCCTGTAGGCGCCGCCGTCCACGCCTACTCCGTCAGGTTCGGCCTCCTGGAGGGCGATGGTTCAGTCGCGGTCGCGTCGTCGCTGGTCTACATGTACGCCAGGTGCGGCAGCGTCCGCGACGCCGTGAGGCTGTTCGACGAAATGCCCGAGAGGGACGTGGTCGCGTGGACTGCCGTGATCTCCGGGTGCGTGTGTAACGGGCAGTGCGGGGAAGGGCTGAGCTACTTGGTGCGAATGGTTCGGTCTGCAGGTGATGGCGGTGCGAGGCCGAACTCACGGACGATGGAGAGTGGGTTGGAGGCCTGCGGGGTGCTAGGGGAGCTCTCTGTTGGGACATGCTTGCATGGGTTTGGGGTGAAGGCCGGGGTTGGACACTGCCCGTCGGTGGTTTCATCGCTTTTTTCTATGTACACTAAGTGCGATAGCACTGAGGATGCACGGATTTTGTTCCCGGAGTTGCCGGAGAAAGATTTGGTTTCCTGGACCAGCTTGATTGGAGCATACTGTAGGGCAGGCCATGCTGAGAAGGCTGTGGAGTTGTTCCTGGGCATGGAGGAGTCTGGTCTGCAACCAGACGAGGTTGTTATTAGTTGTTTACTTGCAGGGTTGGGTAATGATGCTAAGGTGCGTGGAGGGAAGACGTTTCATGCAGCTATAGTGAGGAGAAACTTTGGAGATAGTGTTCTGATTGGGAATGCTTTGATCTCGATGTATGCAAAGTGCAAACAGGTTGATATTGCAGCCACGGTTTTCAGAATGTTGCATCAACGAGACACAGACTCATGGAGTTCAATGGTTGTAGCATATTGCAAAGCTGGACTTGATTTGAAATGCTTGGAGTTGTATCGAGAAATGCAGTTCAGAGACAAGGATGAGTTTGAATATGACACCAACAGTTTGATTTCCATTATTTCTTCTTGTTCAAGGCTTGGTAGACTACGATTAGGTCAATCAGCACATTGCTATTCAATCAAACACTTAGCCGGTGAAAATTCATCAGTTGCAAATGCACTAATTAGCATGTATGGAAGGTGTGGTAATTTTGACGTTGCACGGAAAATATTTGGTATGGTCAAAACAAAGGATGTTGTCACATGGAGTGCATTAATTTCCAGCTATTCTCACCTGGGGCATTCAAAGGATGCTTTGTTACTGTATGATCAGATGCTCACTGAAGGTGTTAAACCCAACTCAGCAACCTTGGTCTCTGTCATTTCATCTTGTGCAAATTTGGCTGCATTGGAACATGGAGAGCTCATACATTCTCATGTGAAAGATGTGGGGCTGGAGTGTGATTTGTCAATTTGCACAGCACTTGTTGACATGTATATGAAATGCGGACAACTTGGCATCGCAAGAAAAATGTTTGATTCCATGCTCGAAAGGGATGTTGTTACTTGGAATGTGATGATATCAGGCTATGGGATGCATGGTGAAGCAATACAAGCATTAAAACTTTTTAGTATGATGGAAAGAGGAAATGTTAAGCCTAATAGCCTCACTTTTCTTGCCATTCTGTCTGCTTGCTGCCATGCAGGACTTGTTGACAAGGGCAGGGAGTTGTTCACTAGAATGGAGGAATACTCCCTTGAGCCTAACCTGAAGCACTATGCCTGTATGGTGGATCTTCTAGGGAAATCTGGGCATCTTCAAGAAGCAGAAGATGTGGTTTCTGCAATGCCAATAGAACCTGATGGTGGAATATGGGGAACTTTACTTGGTGCCTGCAAAATGCATGACAATTTTGAAATGGGTTTACGGGTTGCAAAGAAGGCGTTTGCTTCTGACCCAGAAAATGATGGGTACTACATTTTAATGTCAAATTCGTATGGTAGTGCTGAGAAATGGAATGAAATAGAGAAACTAAGAGACATGATGAAGAATCATGGAGTGGAAAAGAGTATAGGTTGGAGCACAATTGATATTTGTGGGTAAGTTTAATTGGAGCTATGCCTTTTCCTAGGTCCTTGTGAGCAGTTGTGATCTAGTTCATCTTCTCTATGTCAGAAATGTTTGTCTTACAGGTTTATGAAAAATCAACTGACCCAATGGCAGCATTCTCTCTTTGAACAATCTGAATTTAGAAGTTCAGAGGATATGTGCATTTCTTTTGTCTCTGGAATCTGGAGTGAGTCAATGGTCAATGGATTGACAGAATGGGGGAATGAGGTAGTAGATTCATCAGAATTTAGGAACAAAGCCCAAAGGGTAAATATGAAATTGGAGTTGGATGTAATGTATGCTTCCTGATGTGTCATGGTTTCCACCATAAAAGAGGGTTACTCTATTGCGTGTAGACTGGAGAATATTCTCAGTAATATAATGTGCAACCATATCATAAAAAGAGAAAATTGTCATGATTCAGCTTAAGGTGGCTGCCATGCTTATGTTCTTACGTCATAGCACTGAGCCAGGTGAACTGGGACATGGCAGTTGCAGCATTATGGCAGTGAATTTCTGTTTTGTGCTGATGGTTACATCATCTTGGTAATTATAACTGTGCAGAATACTGCTTGACTATGGGCATAGGAACATTATGTGCAGTATTCTAAAAGGACTATTGTGTTGGCTTTTACAGCAACAAAATACTGAAATTGTGTCCTATGGCTCGTGGTATGTTAACTCACTGAACCACTTGACTGGCATATTTGATGATATGACATTTTTGTTAATCATCATTACTTCCATTTTCTGCTTCAACCTTCAATATCTTATATACCTTTCAATGTTTGCTCTCTGGACAGATTAGAAATGGACGTGCTGTGGTGGAGTAAAGACCTGTACAGGTTCAGCAAATTCAATTTCCTATATTTCCTTTCACTCTAGTGCATCACTGCTTCCCTTTATATCTACTACTAATGCAATTTTGCCTTTGATATCTTAAAATGTTCAGGGAAATCTTCATTTGAAGAGTTCTTGTGATAAAATATTAAGGGAGCTGGATAGCTGGTGTTTTAGCAGCCTATGCTGCTAGGAACACACAGGTGCAAAGTGCTCTTGAGAATCAAAACATATTATTATTACGATCTCGTCTGCTCACGTTGAGTTTATTTTCCACCAACAGGTATGTAGTGGCCATCAGTTGTGTTCTTGAAGAGTAACTTAACAACGTTTCTGATTTTTGCTTTATGATTTGTTTGTTCATCACACTATTCTGGCATACCTGAAATTGTGGTTGATAACTTGATATTGACATGCTATTCATCTTGTTCTCGTTTCCTTCTTGTGTCGAAGCACTGAAACCCCCATACCAAGGGCACTCTAGATACCTTGTACCCAATCTGTGGTGTAACCATGTAAGGTCGGATCACTCTGTTTCTTGGAGCTTATGCTTAGTTTTTACTGACCCACTCTTCCAAGTTCCATCTATACCATGGAAGAGAAAATTGTTCACTTGTGTACTGAAAAGTCAACATCATGGGGAACCAAGCTAGAAAGGAACATTGAGGAGATCATCCTTGGTAGTTTTCTGTTTGGTGCTTACTGAATTACTATATTGGTACTGTAGCTACACTGGACATTATTTGGCAATGACTGTAGTGAACTAGGCAGCTTTTCATATAAGTACTGTTATATCGCCACAATTGTTGATTCTAAAAGAACTACACATATTTGAAGATGCATAACCCACAGTTCATGGTACGGTACCTCGCACGTAAAAATTTGATACGTAGCTCACTCTGCACTTGATCAGGCATTTGTAAATGCAATGTGGAACCAAGTATTCTTTTCGTAGAGGCACATTTTAGTGCTTCCACTTTCATTATGTTATATCATGAACGGGTTCTTCTGTGGGCAGGTTCATGATCTTTTTGTAGCGAGGACTTTCACAGGTTCAACAAATCCAATTGCCCACTCCCACATTACTTGCGATGACTTCCTTTTCTTCTGCAACCAATACAACTTTTCCTTTTAATCTTTATTATGCTCAGGTTAAATGTTTTAACTCATGCACATATACATAACCTTTTTCTCATCTGCTCATACAAATTTTCCATTGGCTGGTATGTATGTAGCAGCAATCATTCATTCTTGGATTCCTGAGGAGCAACCTAACAGAAGACCCAACTTTTATCTAGCTGTAGGTTTGGTTCTTCATCACTAAATTCTGGTTTGTGCAACATGAATGTGTGGATAATGTTAGCATGATGCTTATCTTGCTCTAACTCCCTTGTTACGTCTGCACAGGAACTTCCCATGTGGAAGGACATATCTCGTACCAGAGCTATGAGGTAGAGTGGGTTATCATACCAAAATCTCCACATGCTTTTGGTGCCACATACCCACAACGATCCGAGCTAGTGGCGCTGGTAGCACTTCACTGGAGCAAATGATAGTAGCCGCATATGCAGGTGTGCACCCTCTCTTCTTTTGGATGTGCGCACCAACTGTTTTTGCAATGCATTCGCCTGGAATGGGTGTGGGAAATAAAATTTATGGACCTCATATAATTTGGGATTCTTTGGTGTCTTCATGTCATGTACTCACGTCCCTTTGCAGTGTACATGACGTCTAAAGGATTAGGGGCACCCGTGTATACGAGTGTAACTCTAAACGCAGTCTCTCTCTCTCTCTCCCTCTCTCTCTCTCTCTCTCTCGTGTGTGTGTGTAACAAATCATGTTCATTTTTTTGGGGGGTGGGGGGTAACTTTCTAGTAATGCGAATATAAACTTGTTTGTTGAACTGCCATTTTGTCAAGCCGGATAGTCGTACAAAACATGAAGCTGAAACGAACTAGCAGTTTTTGTCTCGCTTGCTTTCACATTTATGAGCCTTCTGTTTTAACTGAATTTTTATCCTCTCTCCCTGTGGGAGGCAGAAGTACGTTTCTTATCCTCTCTCGATGTTTATATTGCAATTTTGTAGGTAAGAGTTTTTTTCCCCCTAATATGAAGGTAAGAAGGCCACGAAAGATAAACAGAAAATCATTCCCATCTAGAAACAAAGAAATGAACTCATCATCATCATCTTATGAAAACAAAACAGGGATAATGATGGAGACATGATCGTTTGTTGTGGCGCTTTAATAATCCTGTTAGAAGAGAGAAAACATAACATTCTAGTAGGTTCCTTGACCTTTTCCTTTTCGCAGGATATCCTTGTACCCCAAAAGCTGGACAATATGTCTAGCAACTGATGTACGAAAAATCGATTGTCACAATCAAAGAGTTCTTTATGTACAACTTACCAAATATATATAGAAGCAATTTTTTTTTCTCAAAATTACTCCTATACTGTACCCTTTGATGGTCACCGTCTCACCGAACAAAAAAGGATCTCGCCCTTTGATGATCACAACTTCATTAGGATAGAAACAGAAAATGTTTTATAAGACAGGCTGGTGGCCCGGCCTGAAAGGGACGGCGCAGACACGGTTACAAACAGTACTTGTATTTGGCAAAAATATTTTAATATTCTACTCCCTCACGCTGTTCATTTTAACTGTGAAGTTTGATCATTTGTTTTATTTAAAAAATTATGTAAAAAACATTATTTATTTATTTTATCATTAAATATATTTTAAGCATAATTAATATTAAGACGGACGAATCAAATTTCATGGTCAAAGCAACCGTGTCAAATAAACATAAGCAAGGTAATACCCATAATTACACCCGAACACACTAAGATATTTACAAATGTACTCTCCTGAGTGTATGTTAAGCAAGAAACGGATGTATCGATATAGAGTGATTTGTGCACATATTCCCTGCAATTAAGAAAAAAGAAACAGACATTTCTCCAGTTAGGTTAAGGTGGTGTTTAGAGTTAGGACTCTTTAGTCTCTATATTTAGATACTAATTTAGTATAATTTAGTCTATTAAATATAGACTACTTATAAAACTAATTACATAAATGAAAGCTAATTTGCGAGACAAATTTTTTAAGCCTAATTATTCCATAATTAGAGAATTTTACTGTAGCATCACATAGGCTAATCATGGATTAATTAGGCTCAACGTTTAAGCTTTTAAGTCAGTTTTTTTTCTTTATAGGTGTTTGGTGGCTTAACGTTTAATAATAAATGTCTAATATAAACGTCTTCTCTCGATAGATCGTGGAACCTTCCTCGAATTAACGGAGAAAATGACGCAGCTGGAGTGTGCGTCCCTGTCATGCTTTGCTAGTCTTTTTTATAGAACTATATAATTTGTTAATTCTTCGAAGTGGAAAAAAACCATAATAATAATAAAATAGTAGTACAAGAGAACGACCTCGTATCAATTGAACGGCCGAGATCTGCTCCCGTCCACCGACCTAAACGCCCTAGCCATCCCATAGGCGAGGGCAAAATCGTCATTTCCAGCCACCCCGCTTTCGTTCCTTCCTCCTCCCCTGCTACTTGTGCGGCCCGGATTAATAAAAGCAAAAGCAAAACGCAAACGCCAAAAGCACGAGAAGATTTCCATTAACTCCGCCCTCGTGTGTTATCTATCCATCCATCCAGCCATCCGTCTCATCACCCCCACCTCTTCGCTCCGTCGCCTCCTCTCTCTCTCTCTCCTCGCCCCGCCGCTTTTTAGGGTTTTTGTTCGCGCCGCCCCGGTGAGAGGTAGACGGGTCTCCCCGGCGAGATGGGCCACGTCGACGCATCGGCCGCCGCCGCCGCCGCGCGCGACGCGAAGAAGAAGAGGGTAAGGGGTTCGTTTTGCGCGGGGATTTGGGGGGTGGGGGGGTGATCTGTGTGATTCGATGTTGGATTCGGGATTGCTGATCTGCGGGGGGGTTTCCGCGTGTTTCGTATGCAGGGGAACCGGTCGTCGGCGAAGCTGAAGCAGTGCAAGCTCGACGCGCGCCGCGAGCAGTGGCTTTCGCAAGGTCTGATCTCGTGCCTCCCTTGTGGGGATGTTCGTCTGATTTTTTTTTTTTTGGGGTTGTTGCTCGGGCGTTTTCTCAGGTTTGGGGGTTGGGCGATGCGCATGCGGAAGTTGGAATATCTGTGCGGATCATAGTTAAATCTCTTACGTTTCAGCGTAGGAATCCGTATTATCTATTTGTGTATTGGGTTTGGGGATGATTCTAGGTGGGGGAATTGGTGTTTTATTGAAGATTGTTCAAACTCTGATCCTCCTGCCTTTTGGATTGGTATAGTCAAGGATGGAAAGGAGGCTAAGGCATCGACTTCGCCGACAGGTACAGAGCCAAATGCTGGGTCCATGACCGTTCCTTCGCCACACCCTCCGCTCCCTCGCCGTCGCTTAGATGTGAGGTCGAAGGGAGGGGATCCAGAGGAGGACAGGGAGGAGAGGGGTGCTGCCAGGCAGGAGTTAGGCAGCAGCTATCTGGACTCTCCTGTGCACAGCCCTAGCTCGGACAATTCTGGGAGCGTTGGCGGCATGCACAGGAAGCATTACAACAATGGTGGTGGCCTCAATCTCAGCAGCAGCAGCAGTGTATGGTCCAGTTCGAGAAGTGTGAGCGAGGCCGAGGATGATGATACTGGTGGCCCTGAAGAGGAGAATGGGGTCTTGGATGACTGGGAAGCTGTTGCTGATGCAGATGCGCTTACAGTTGATGATTGTCATTCCCACCAGAGTTCAGGTCATGTGGCGCCACCAGCTGCTCCAAATGTTTGTACAGCTCCTGCCAATCAAACTGGAAGGCAAGATCCCATTCAGAGAACAAAAGCTTGGGCGCCTGATGATATATTCCGTCCACAGAGCTTACCCAGCATCTCCAGGCAGGTCAGCTTCCCAGCAAGCATCGGGAATGGCTGGATGGGTGCTGCACAGCAGGCCAACCTCTCTACGCCTTTGACATGTCCAATATGCTGCGAGGATCTTGACCTGACAGACTCAAGCTTCTGTCCTTGTCCTTGTAAATTTTGCCTGTGTCTCTTCTGCCACAACAAGATCCTCGAAGCTGATGGACGCTGCCCTGGGTGCAGGAAGGAATATGTTGCTGCGCGGCTATCCCGGTCTTGTAGCATGGGTCCAAGATACTAGGTTGTGCCAGGGTTTATAATAGCTCTCTGTCGCAATTTGGTCCTTTGCTGTTGCTGTCAGATATGCGTTTTGTCTTGTGTTGTCCCTTTTTGGTATAAAGAAATGTGAATATTGGATAGGTGCTAAATCCATATAGAACGTCTCCAGAAACTCGGTGTCTGTTTTTAGACTGTTTGCATTGTATGTGATGCGTATGTTGCTGGAGAGGACTCCTTATCGTTTTGTGATATCATATATGATAGCTATATAAGATGACCTTTGCAGCTACTTATCTACCCATTTATGAGCAATGAAGTACATTGATCTTTGCGTAATATTTGCCTACCTCTGAATTTTTATATATATATTTTTTACTTTTGTTAAGATGTTTTGACTCCGTTCATCATAAGTAACTCATAAAATATTATGCAATCCTTTCTTGTCCTTTAAAGCATATTCTTCAACATTTAATGCTGGTATTTGCTCTGTGGGTGTACTCCATTTTATCAAATGCAATAGGTGTGGTGTTCTAAGAGTGGATTTACATTTGTAAACCAAACCTTCATGTTACTGTATTATATTGGTTTTGCCCTGTAATTGGACCAGATATTCCCTACAATCACTCCTAATACTAAATATTTTAAAGAACATACAACGGTTGCAAGCTGTTTTCAGAATTATATCTCTTAGAAGGTTTCCTGGCCACTTCCACCATTAAGATTTGAATTTTTTTTTTCAATTTTTAGTATATTTCATTGGATTTAACCTTCCATGTTGTGGTTAATCAATAGTCTGCCAGGGTTGGTTTTATCATCCTGACTTTGGCAAGGAAGGAATTGACTCTAATTTCGGTTAAGGTGTGTTGTCTTGCTCTCTGTATTTACCTTATTTTAGTTCTTAAAATTTATGTAATATATTTCAGTTCTGCCAGGCAACTGCTACAGGTAAAATAGTAATGGACCTTACCATGCATTACATTGTACTCCTATCTAGTTTTCTTCCTACCCTATCTTAATTTTTTGCATAATCCATGAGCATTGTCAATGAAACCACTCAAACTTGTAAGTATTATATTGTAAGGCTTCTGGTTAGAGAGTTGTATTGTCGGGCTGAGATGTCTGAACCTAAGCTAGTAATAAGATCTTTATTTAGAGTTAACTCAAGCCTGTATGGTGAGAGAAGTGTTAAAAGCTTAAAGCTAGGATGGAAGTGCCACAAGGCCTAAGCCCTTCCAAAAAAGGGGAAGTGCCCAAGAATACCAAATCTAGTGCTTTCTTTGCACATTGGCACAATATCACATTTCATAATATTCTCAACCTGTGAGTTACCCTGCCCTGAGTTAAATCCCAAGTTGGGTGACAGTGTGACCCTACCCTGAATTATTAATGTTGTCATTGCAATACTAGATTTCCGACAATGTGTTATTGCTCCCTTTTAGTGATTTGAGCATCATCTACAAGTTATTTTGTTTGATTGAAATCCCGAACAGATCATTCCTTTTAATGGTCTCTCCGTTTATATCATGTTGTATTTAATCTTATAAATAATGGAGCAGAACAATTCATGGTAGAAATAGAACTGACCCAATGCCTACCAAGTCCCAGTTTCGAGGAAGAATTTGTTTTCTTTTGAGTGCTAAAGTTATCTTGTCTTGGCAGGATACAATTTCCCTGCAGGCTGTATTCAAATTTGTCTTAACAAGTTTTTTTGTTTCAGAGTCAGTTAAGTTGAGCAATGAATCAACATTACCCAAGAACCCGGTACAAGTCGGATTGTTCTTTTGCTGGAAGTGACTCAGGCGTTAATGTCTGGTGCAAACGTGCAGGTTGTCCGTAGTTAAATTCTTTGGTGCCTGTTTGTGTATCATTAGCAGTATATAGAGTGTACTGGCCTCATTGAACGTGAGAGACCTGTGAAATATGGAACGTTTGTTGTTTACCAGTTGCAAAATTTTGTTGTTTGCCAAGTGTTGCAAAGTATCACAAGTGCTCGGAAACCCTTCGTGGCATGTTAGCCTGCATCGAGTTCTTATTGCAATAGCCCTGCGTACATTCTTGTTCCATGACGGCAACTACAGTGTGGGCATTTGTAACCGTTTTCCGATCTACTTATGTTAGATGTTAACGGAGTGCCTGCCATGGAAGAGCGTGCGCAATACCATGGCTTTCCTTTCTACCGATTAGAGCAAGTATAATAGTAGGCTATAAGCCGGCTAAATGCTGAGGTGGAGGAGAGAAGAGAGGAGATAGAGAAGCACAAGAACCAATGGATAGGTTGAGACAAGGCTAAAAAAAAATCTTATAACTAACAGGTCGGTTGTATTATTAGCCCTACTCTTACTGTAACCAGGCTTACCGCCACCAACGGGGTGTGGAATTTAAAAGAAATTTAAATAAATATTTGAGTTTTGAATGAATTTTACTCGGTTTTCTTACTATTAAAAATTGTACCATGGTTACTGGGATTAAAAATTGTACCATGGTTACTGGGCTTACGGTAGGGGTACAAAACCCCCCTCCTCCCTGCTAATGTAAACTCTGCTCAATACATACTTCTACATGCTAATGATAATGAAACGCTTGTCCTCTGTTTGGATCCATGATGTTCTCGTGATAATGAAACGCTTAGCCTCTGTTTGGATCCATGATGTTCTTATTCCACCTGGAACGAAGTCAGTTAAATGTAGAGATCCTGCATGTATTGCTTCTTTTAAGCATCGTCATCGAACGCCAATAGTGTGGCCAAAGCAAGAAAAAACATCGCTAAGACATTAGTGAAGCGCCAACAGATGAAGCAAGGGCCATACCAGATAACAGGAATTGACACGATCTAATTTTAGCAACCACCAATCAGCAAAACTACACTATTACAGAGCATACGAAATGATCTGGAGGTGTTTGTGGGCAAGCCAATGCCACTAAGCACTGAGCATAGGGAAAACGAGTGCTTGACGACTTGCATGACTCCTAGGTTCAGATCTGACCCGATCCATAATTTTAGCAAATCGATCAGTTCATGACTTTCAGCTGATCCATAATAATTATAGTTTCTACGTTCATCTAATCTTCCGGAGACGAAGGGCAACAAGATGCGGCAATCCACTTGATCAAGTGAGTAACCTGTTGACTTCCCTCTTGATCCACAGCGTGCGAAGCCTGAGATCGTAGGAAAGGAAGATCTCTCGGTTCGCTGCATCCTTGAAAACATCAGAGGCTAGAATCTTGACCTGATCAGATACGTCGGTCATTGAATGCAGTGCCTTGATACACGTCGAGATCGAGAACGGCTCACCATCCTTCTTCTCCTTCTTCGCTTGTTCCTTCAAGCGAGCTTGCTTCATTCTGAACTCCAGAAAAGCCTCCATGGTTTGCTGGATGTCAGGGACCTTACGCTTCTTTCGCTTGTCCTTTTGAGGTTCTATGCAAGAGCTTGAGTGCGCCGGTTCATCAGCACTTTGTGGTTTTGGGTCGGCACCGTGCTGTGGTCTTTCCAGTACCTCTTCTGTTGGATTTTGCAGAATATCAACATCATCCAGACCTTGTTGCCCTAACTCTGGAGTTCTCTGAAGTATGCCGATGTTGTTCTCCCCATCATCAATGCCGGCAATAACTGTGCTACAAGGTCTTCCAGGTATGCTCGGAGCTGTGCTCATGTTATTGCCTCCCTCATCAACATTCCTACCAGCAAGTTGAGGTTTGCTCGGCATTAAGTTGTGTTCCCCTTCAGGAATGTCACCTTTTCACAGTAGAGCACGTTAGTTTCAGAAAAGCAAAGGCACACATAACAATGTTTGTCCTGATCCAATTTGAGTGGACAGAAGGTACCTTCAAATAACACCTCAAGTGATTGAAGTAACGGAAAGCTCTTAAATTGGTACTTCCGCGCCTTGGGCATCTCCTATAAAATTGAAATAAATGATCAAATTCACACTTGATTACACAAATAACAACTGAAGTTGAAGAGTTCGAAGCTCACTTCAATTATCTCATCCCAGATTTCATCTGTCGTTCTAATCATGGAAGCATTTTGATCCCAAGTAACACCTTCCCGCTGGAGAATTAATTTTACCAATCTATAATCTCTCTTCAGTTGTGTCTCATGCTCCTGAATTTGAACTTTAGTAAATTTTGCATCTGGGTACCTATCATTGAATTCGCTAACAATTTTCCTCCACCCATCGGTTCTCCATCCATTCTGGGTACGGTAGTGTGAAATATTGTTCTCATGAAGCACATCAACAAGACCCTTTGTATACTTTGCTACCCACCTTGCTCTGCCTGCCATTTTACCCTGGGAACATAAAAGACATCCAAGAAAGAATTGAGCAATGAAGGCAACTAAAATGGTTACGGAGCTAAAGACCAAAAATATACGATCGCAGTTAATCCTGCAGTAAGCGTAGCTATCATTCCAAAGAAAAGGTGAATCTCCCTCCAATTTCAACAGTTCACGACAAAGTAACTAATACCAGGTTCCAACTTCTATGACAATTCACGACAAAGTAACCAATTTATATTTCGCCTTAAATTCAAGCGAACCTGTTCAAACCCTAGGCCGAAACTGGCTTGTAAACCAGGCACGAAGGCGGACAATCCAATCAAACAAAAAATGAAGAAATTATATTGAATGTATAACGTCTGATACCTAGCTACCAAAGTCACGTGCAAGTATTCAACCAGTGCGCTCCACTAGCACAGCAAATTTCAGGCAAGAAGGGATCGGAAAAAGGTGTTACACAGCAACGAAGCTTTACCTCCAGAAGAGAGGAACAGCGCGCGGCGCGGCAAATCACATTGCAGCCATGTCGACACGAAGGCCAGAAGAGCTAGCGGAGGCAACAAGTCAAGCGTCTCCCAGCTACAAATCGCGCGCGCACACCGCACACCGCACACAGCCCACGCCGCCGGCAAACTCAGCGAGCGCCCGGAGAGGAGGCAGGCGACAACGACGACGACGACGACGACCTCCGACCCCCACCTCGCGGGGTCGGAGGAGGAGGAGATGCGGGATTGGGAGAGCGCAAGGAGCGGAGCAGGTTGGGGGAGATCGGGCTTGCCCGCCGGCGATGAGCTGAGCTGCAGCCTCTCGCCGGGGCGGGGAGCGGAGTGGATGCGGAACCTGATCTGATTTTTTTTCCGCGACGGGTTGGGGAATTTTGGGACCGCGGATTTTTTTCCCGTGGTGGCGAGGGGGGGTGGCGACACGATCGATCACGCTCACACGACGACATGGTCAGGCCCGAACTCTTTGGGCTTGGGCCTCTCATCCATGGCAGAGCCCATCAGCCTCGACACTTCTTTTTTTTTTTCTCATGAAACGGCGTTTATCTTTTTCAGAAATACTATTACAAAACAATATAGCGTTCCAATTATCAGCATGATAAATATGTGTATTGTTTCTGGTACCGTGGTACCAGATTACATAGCTGTCTTGTATATCTGATACCGTAGGTACTGTGCTGACAATCTGACATTAGCACACATAAATTATTCCGTTCGAACGGTATAGCGTTTATGCCGTTCTGTGGTAGTTTTCTTTTTTCAGGCTGCTCGACTGTGACGGCGACTAGCAGAGGCAGAGCAACTTTTCCTTGCCTTCCTGGAACTTTCCCTATCTCTACAATGCCGGCGATGGCCATCCGTTTCGTTTCATCTTGGATATCCAAATCTGCCCATGATGCAAGATCATGAGACAGCAGGTGGCAGCAGCATTCGACCGCGACTTGGTAAACGGCAGTGCTTACTGGGAGTCTGGGGCATAGTACTTGTGCCGATGGCGGCATAAAATGTTTGTTTTGGCTGGCAGTCTTCAAGCGAGCTACGTACGTACCACCACATTTTCAAGCGATTCCGATATATCCTTGTCCCGTCCCGAGAATCGCCATCGATCTCCAGCATATATCGGAATCGAACGTCGTTTTCTAGTTAGGCAGAGATCGGTTCGGGGCTTCGGGCGGCACATGCAAAAAAAAATAGATCGAAAGCAATTACAAATACGCACCCTCTGAGTTCGCAGGTTAAAGTAGCTATAGTGGTCAGAACTCAGAACACAGGATGCAGCACGACCCAGCCAGATTGAAAAGTAATTTTACAAAAATATTTTTCTCTCTTTCCGGGTAAGGTAAACGTACGCAGTACGATCAAACAGTTGAAACGGTTCAGTTCCGACGAGCAGGAACAGCTGCTGCTGCTGATCAACCCACTCACCGTGCGAAGTTTGAAGCCGAAAATTTGACCCCCCACATCCCTTCTGAATTCCAACGTTTAGACCACGCAAAATCCATTCCATCCAGTCACAGCCGGCGGACCGGCCACCTACCAACCCATAAACCCAGTTGCTCTTGCCATCTTACGTACACAGCGGGGCATGACCGGCATCGCCTCGCCTTGCCCCATCCGCCCATCGATCTCCCGACTCCCGTCCTCTCGTGCAGCTCGTCAGGCTGCACGCTGCAAAATGTGCGTGGGCCATCAGCATACAGTGATTGCCTCACTCAGGGGTCTTCCGGTTAGCTTTATAAGTTAACGGACTAGCCGATCTGAGTTTGAAGTCCCATCCCTTTTAATTATTTGAGATTAAGTCCTTACCTACTATTCGCGTCTTGGCTCACGCACGTTTTGATGTTTTGCGGCGTGCGAGTGGTGCGGGAAACCGGGAGGAGAACAACGAACGGGTGAAGTGACATGTTAAAGGCAAACGATGGAAAGGGATCGACGGGTGCGAGGGAGCGCGGAGCCGCCCGGGCGGTGGTGGTGCGCGCGCGCAAAGACGAGTAAAACGCGCAAAAAGAGTAAAAGTCTCCGCTCCGCTCGGGGCGGACGCGGACGCGGGAGTGCGTGACGACGACGAGTCGATCGATCCAGCCGCGTCGGGCGCACGGCTGTGGCCTGTGGGCACGGAGCCACGGACGGGCTCCCTACTTTTCTCGAGTTTTTTTTTTTTGGTTGCGACTGGGAGATGTACTCATCAACATCTAAAACGGTCATTTCTACAGGAACATAATAATACAACAATAGCGCCACATCACTTGATAAGATAGGAATTTATTCTTGCGAGCCTAAAAGATTACAAAAGAAAAACTGACACTTTTTTTTGAGATTTAAACCAAAACTGAAAAAAATTGAGTGTTTTACTACTAGTCAGTTGGTTCCACGAGGACCACGGACAGCAAAACGTTTCCCCGAACCCATCCAAAAAAGGATTGGGATCCTTTACAGTTGACTGCACCGTGTCATTGTCACTAACATGTGGACCCGATGTGTCATAGGATCCACATGTCAGTGACAATGTCACGGTGCAGTCGACTGCAGAGGATCCCAATCCTCCAAAAAGACCCAAAACCCAGCAAACGGGGCTTATATAACCACACTCCCAACCCCTCTCCCCCCTCGCACATCCACTCCTCCCCCCCAAAACCACACAAACACCCGCTGCGCCGCTCGCTTCCTCCTCCCCCTCCTCGTGCTCGACATGGCGTGCTCCCACCTGGCCGCCGCCGCCGCCGCGGCCTCCCCGGCGGCCGCGCGTTCACCGGCGGCCTCCAGCGCCGCAACCGCGAGCGCCTTCGCGCGCCTCTCGGCGACGCCCCGTACGAATCGCGCGTTCTTCGTTTCGTTTCGTTCGCGTGCTTTGATTTGGCGCATCTCGTGGTTTTTATTGGACATTTTCGTGCTGCCTCCGCAGGGGTCGCGAGCGGCGGGTTGGCCGTTAGGGGCCAGAGGGGTGTAGCCGCTGTTGTCGCCGCCGCCGCCGGGGCCGCCGCGGCGACGCCCGTGGCCGACATCGAGGAACGCCGGGCCACCGAGAAGCAGCCCATCATTGTCATCGATAACTACGACAGCTTTACCTACAACCTCTGCCAGGTATATATATATGGTTTCACGTGTTGTTCGTGGCTGGTACCCTTTATTACCTGTTAAATTACCTGATGATGTGTGAATATGTACTGTTTGGTTTTTGTGATTTTGATCCATTCCTGGATCAGATAAGTTTACCATTTTGAGAAGTGTTGCCCTGACATAAATTTTACTTACTTGCAACCTGTCATGCCTTTTTTTTAAAGAATTCTGGTTTATATTCATTGTTAGAACAATTTATTCTGATCTTTGATTATTTTTGGTGTTTCTCCTTGTATAGTTGCAGTTGAAGTTGCATGTTTGATGGTTTTATATATTTCCAATAACAGTTGGTCATAGTCTAAGATTAGCTTATCCGATTGTATTGGTCCTTTGAATCTATGATGACATGATGAGTATTTGTTCACAAGAATGTTTGGAGTCCTGACTATATTCATTATCTGTGCTATTGTCAGGGCATATTAGCCTCTCTTTTTTGTACATTTTGGAAGATGGATGAGTAGGATTAGTTCAGCCCATGTCCCACCCCTCCTGTTCCTATATGCAAACAACGAATCGTACTTTTTTGCAAGTAAATAATGTCAGCAGGAATCTGAGTAAAGTGCAGAGAGGGATTTCAGATAAATCTATCTATATTGCTTATTGAAAAGAACAATACCATTTGTATGCATTGTTCCAATTCTATAACGGCTTTAACATATATTGGTTGGTTGTTTCCAAACTAGAATAACGAATAATAGATTTGTTCGGTAGCTAGCTGTCGGAATAACGAATGCTAGATTTGTTCGGTAGCTAGCTGTCGCCTGTCGGAATTTATGACCGTTTTAATAGGCTGTCTTTAAGTGCTTGCAACCTTTCCTGGTATTTGCTATTTAGAATGGCTTTATAAAGCAACTATTTTAATCCAAATGTGCCTGCCTCGCCATTTTACATATATGTACTAATAAGGTTGGACCTAAAAAATTGGGCCAGGGAATTGTTATTCATTAATATTGAAAGAAGGTGGGTAAGTATACTTGGATATAATGTTGAGACTAACAATAGATTTGAATGGTTATGAGGTAAAAAAGAGACTCTTGGAGATAATGCTTTTGCTTATCCTGACCCCTGAGCAGTCATCTATATTGTTACATTAATTGACAAACACAAGAGGTGTATTCAGAGTGTGCTGTGCATGTTCTGCGCCACTGGTTAATGGCTTAATGCCAGGCAATTTTATTTAGAGGCATGTTTTTAAAATGGTTCAATGCCAATTGGATCTTGTATAAATTTCCTTGTATTTTGTTCAGCACGTCTCAAGCTTTATGGCATGGTTTGTAACATCATTTCATTAATGCTAACTAGTTACCAAACTAATTATATTGTGCATTATGTACCACCAAATTATTCTGTGGTGCTCTTGTTATACTTTTTATGGAGATGAGGCCAAGTATTTTGCGTTTGAACTTTTAGTAGTAGTTGGATCAGTTTCTATGACATTCACAAATGTTGTTCCACTATTGAAATATGTCATGCAATGAACCTGTCATATGAGAAAAGGATGCCTTGCTGACGTAGAGTTTTTTGTACTGAAGTATATGGGGGAGCTTGGATTGAACTTTGAGGTATATCGCAATGATGAACTTACCATAGAGGATGTAAAGAGGTATTTTCTTGGAGCACATATTCATTTGTGATTTATTAGTTGCTTCATGCACCAAAGGAAAAGGATTATGCATGTAATAACTTCTCAGTGTTCTGATGGTAATCTCATATTTAATCTTCTGTAGGAAGAACCCAAGAGGAATACTTATTTCTCCAGGGCCTGGTAAGTTTGTCTTGTGAATATCATGACAGTAAATACAGTATATAGGCCTGAGTGTAACAATTACTTTCATGTTTCTTCTTCAGGTGAGCCACAAGATTCAGGTATATCATTGCAGACTGTTCTGGAACTTGGACCTACCATCCCAATTTTTGGTGTCTGCATGGGTCTGCAGTGTATCGGGGAAGCTTTTGGAGGTTAGACTTACTTTCATATTGGGTTGCAATAATGGTTTTCCATGACCTCTGCTATCAACTTACTGAAAAGGTGGTTCATGTAAAATTCAGGAAAGATTATCCGTGCTCCTTCTGGTGTCATGCATGGAAAAAGCTCTCCAGTTCGCTACGATGAGGAGCTAGGGAAGGCCTTGTTCAATGGCTTGCCAAAGTATTGTTTCTACACTATTTACTCATTTTTTTTCATTTTCTTCCAAATTCTCATGGTGTTTTAGTCTGCATTAAGTTCCATCTTGCTGCATAGCATCAATTGATGGTCCTGTGCCTGCAGAAAGCTATTGCATACTACATGCTGTGATTAAATCTGTTGTATGGTTGGAAATCAGAAGGCTATTCAGCTCATTTTTGCTAAATTATAGCTTTATGTTTACCTGGCGAATTCTGCAGCATGTGGCATCCAATTGCTAGCTAACTCATGCAACTTTCCATGTTCACGAAGTTGTACTGAAGAGTTGTAGAAAAGAATTGCTGTGTACATATCATAGTGTATTTCAGTGTGCTAGTGTTCATTACCTTGGAGCATGGAAAAAAAATATGCTCGTTTCCATTTGAGATCATACAACTTTTATCAAGTAGTTTCTCAATCTGACATGATCCTCACTTCCATGAACAGCCCATTTACCGCTGCAAGATACCATAGCTTGGTGATCGAGCAGGAGACCTTCCCCCATGACGCTCTGGAAGCCACCGCGTGGACTGAAGATGGCCTTATCATGGCTGCTCGCCACAAGAAGTACAGGCACATCCAGGTATATATCTAAATCAAATGCTTGGCGCCACAGCTTTCGATGTACACCCCCCCCCCCCCCCCCCCCCCGAGTTGTTATTGATGTCAATGGCATCATTTCAGGGAGTCCAATTCCACCCAGAGAGCATCATCACCCCAGAAGGCAAGAGGATCATTCTCAACTTCGTGAGGTTCATCGAGGAGCTGGAGAAGCAGCGTGCCGGAGAGAAGAACTAGTAGACGCTAGCTGTTCAGGCAAAAGTAGAAAGGGGCTTAAGCCGGGTAGATTCAGGGCAGAAAGTGAAAAAGGGTAGGAGTAATAAGGGAAAAAGAGCTCTCCTTTTGTCACATTCGTTTGGTTCGTTGTAATATATATCCTTTGTGGATCTTGAATAAGCTCTATCCTGTCCTTAAATTCGTGGTGCTAGTCGCCTCGCTTCCGCAAACGGGGCATGAGCTCCTATGGCCGGATCGGCCCGTGGGCCGTGGCACCCTCCTTTCACCAATCGGGCTTGGCCCGCGCCGATGTGCACAGGCGTGCGCGGCCAGATGGACGCGTTCCCCCGTGCAAAAACGGCAGCGCCACGCACGCCTTTCCGGCACTCCGCTGCCAAAGAACGGCAGCTGCACAGCCTGACGAGACGACCTCACGGGCAGCGAGTGGCAGCCTCCGTGCAGATGTAGAGACATCACCGTGGGGGCCTGCCTGTATCCACGCGGATGTTGCATGAGCTCGTGTCGGTCTATCTACCTGTTGCATCCACGTCGATCTAACGCCGACAGGGCTAGCTCACGTTCGCCGTAGCCAACTCGCGATTTTCTTCTTCTTTTTTCACCGTGCAGTTTCCTCTTTTTGTTAAGTTGACGTATAAAAAGTTTATATATCTGATACCGATTTCGATTCAAATGTGTCATATAAAATGTTTATATATTAAAGTAAAGTTATATATGTGTAGTTTTTTCTTCACGGCTTTGCTAGTAAGCCAAACACATACTCTATGTCCCACAATATTTCAAACCCGCTTCCCAAGGCAAAGTTAAAAAGAAATTCAAAGAACTAAAATGCCCATAATTAGTTGAAAAGTTATATTGATGGATAGGTATGTAAAGGGTATTTAAAGGATAAAATTTCTTGATTTGCGAACCATCCTCGGTAAGAAATTAGATGTTAATTTATTTTAAGATAAAATTTAAACCTAGAAGTTGAGTTATTTTGGGACGGAGGGAGTACAAGCCAGGTCGAAACGTACTCGCGCTCCTAGGTCGCACACCAACATTCGTCCATTAGACCTACCAATCTATTACTAGTTTGTAATTGTAACATGTATTATAGTAGTTTATGACTACAGTTACATATCACTCGATAAAGTGATTTGGACATTTGGTTCAGTGTGCTTGTCCAGTTGAGTAATGACCTTACATAACGAATTGAAAGGATGTGTGTGTCATGAACTCACACTGTCACACACATTAACGACTTATTTGGTTGATCCTTTTCTCAGACAATTTTTTCTATCTCCGCCTATGGCTATTACACTTTAGGAACAAATGTGGTACTATCGTTTTAGCTTTCTATTAACGTTAATTATAATAATTGATACTTAACAAATATTATCTCCATCTCGGAATAATTACATTTAGAGTAAATTTCAGAAAACTGCAACTTTAGTGACAAAACTATCAGTTTGCTGCAACACTAGCGACATGTTTCAGTTTGCTGCAATAATAGCACGGGAAATTATCACAAAACTGCAATTTTTACGTTATATGCTGCTACAGTACATATATGTGACAACTGTAGCAGCATATAACGTAAAAGTTGCAGTTTTATGATAATTTCCCGTGCTATTGTTGCAGCAAACTGAAACATGTCGCTAAAGTTGCAGCAAACTGATACATTTGTCACTAAAATTGCAGTTTTTTGAAATTTACTCTTACATTTATGTCATTCAAATTTTATCCCAAAAATTATATTTCTCTTGGGGTGGCACCCAACTTTCCTTTTAATCAAGTTTAAAAATGGTAAATGAGTGGACTTATTGCCTTAATATTTCTTTTAATCAAGTGTATGGGTAGAATGTGTACGTGCAAAGGTGCTATTAAATACGGTTATTGTGGTAAATTATGTTTATTGTTAATTTGTCTCTAATACTTTAGAAATATAATTATTCTGGGACGAAATTAGAAATAGATATGTACATTTCTCTAAGGTTTACTCGTTCCTCTAAGATAAATGGCTTGTGATGCTTTGGATCTGAAGAGTTAGATTTTTCTAACACTTGATATGAGTATAACACATGCCGTCTCATGATTCACGTAGTTGGCTTCTCTGTGCCTGACTACGAGGGCCCACCATAGAAACAGTAGCAGTATCAGAAGACCATGCCTCGTTTTCTTGTTCTGAAGCCAAAGAAGACCATACCGTATGCCTCTCAAAACCCTCTCTCTATATAAACAGGGCCAGAGAGTCCAGCACTCCAAATAAACCACCTCTTCAAACGTGCGTCGCCTGACCGCTTCCATCCATCCACCAGTCTCGCTTCTTCGTGTCTACGGTCTACCTCGGCGAGTCGGCGGCGGCGATGGCGGCGGCGACGGACGGCGGGGGGCTGCCGCTGCTGGCGGACAAGGCGGCGAGCCACAGCCACCACCACCACCCGGAGCGGCACTTCACGTCGGGGGAGGTGGTCCGCGACGTCATCATGGGCGTCTCCGACGGCCTCACCGTGCCCTTCGCCCTCGCCGCGGGGCTCTCCGGCGCCAGCGCGCCATCCTCGCTCGTGCTCACCGCCGGCCTCGCCGAGGTCGCCGCCGGCGCCATCTCCATGGGCCTCGGAGGGTAAACATTAAACACTCATCATCTCTCTGTGTGTTCCTTGTCCATGCATTGCACCCCTGAATCCCTGATTAATCTAGCGAAGTTAGCAATATGTCAGTTTCGTCGTATAGATTTGCTCTTCTTTTCTTTTTTTTTTAAAGAGGGGTTCCGAGTTTTTCATTACCAAAACAGGAAACCCAGCGGCAGGGTGCAGTAGTATGTCAGTGAATACAATAGAAAGCTTTCGGGGACCCACAGGCCACAGCCCATAACATGATACTAGTAATTTATTAATCACCTGAAATCGGAATGTACTGCAGTATGATCATGATGAAACAAAAAATTTTGATACGCCATGCACGCATATATTTGCTCGTACAATTATCGGGTTCCGTCTTTTGCAGAGACGCTTAACACGTGTCTGCGAGAATAGGAAACAATTCATACGATTGGTTTGTCCAATGATTTTTACAAGATCCTATGAAATCATAAATAATGATTTATAAAAAAATCCTATGGAATTTCTTTCAAACAAAAGGATCTCTTAAGATGAGATGAAGATTAAGTTTTTCACGCAAAACTTTTGGTATTAACATATAATTGATTGAGTTTTAATTATTACAAACTTGAAAAATAGATTAATATGATATTTTAGAGCAAGTTTCCTATAGAAAGTTTTCACACGAAACGTACGTTAAGCAATTTGAAAAACGTGCCAAAAAATTTTAATGTTCATCCAACTCTTGTTGGAGAAAAGAACGAGATTGTCTACGGTTTTTTTCCCTACAGCCTAGAATATTTTCCACGACCTTGTAGAACAGGGGAGATGTGGACAAGGCATAAGCAGTACAGAGTGGAGACTGACTGGAGAGATGGTTGTAAATCGTATTAGGCGCTCGCGCTTAAAACATATTACTTGCTGAATATAAGAAGTGGAGTAATGGATTAATAAAAAAAATGGCCAGCAAGCAAGTTACCGTGCTCTTGGCTGTTTTAATGGGAGTTAGGTATGCCTGCCTGAATATACTCACAGATTCACAGGTGTACTTGCTGAATATTGCCTTGTTACCTCATGAAAAATCAATTAGGAAAGCCCATAGTGTTCGTTGCTCTGCAGATTGTGCACGGCGTATCTGACCTTCTCTGTTCTTTGCCTAGCTCCCACCCCTACAGTCCCAGTTGCAGATTACTCCTGTCATCCAAAGCCCGAAAAAGGAGTAATTAAAGTAAAGTTAGCTCGTGATGGACACGTGTGTGGCCCTATACCACGTGCTGTTCCAGCACACTTTGTGTTAGTGTCACAACTTTTAGGCCTAAGAAAGTGGAGAATAATACTTTCCCCCCTTTAAACTGGGAACAAGACAAGATCACATTGTTTTCAAATCGAAAAAAGGCGCGCGCAATTGCACAAACGCATGACACTTACCCGCAATTGCACCATGTGGTAGGTATCTCGCGGCCAAGAGCGAGGCAGACCATTACCAGCGGGAGATGAAAAGGGAGCAGGAGGAGATCATCGCCGTCCCGGACACTGGTAAGCCGATAAGCAGATACAACAAGATACCATATGCTGAGACATGTCGCTAAGATTCCTCCCATCTGCGACCAGCAGGAAAGCTGCCTCACTTTGTTTAAAAAACTTTTGGTTTCCTGGTTGATCGATCAGAGGCTGCTGAGATTGGCGAGATCATGTCGCAGTACGGGCTCGAACCGCATGAGTATGGCCCTGTCGTGGACGGGCTCCGTAGGAATCCTCAAGCTTGGCTCGACTTCATGATGAGGTAATATGACCAACTGTTGCTACTCCCTTTGTCAATCTCTTCATCAGTTATACTAGAAAGCAAATGTTGATGTCCTGATGGTGTCTGAGATACTAATCAGAAATGTTTCGATTATCCTGTATGCGTTTGCCATAGCTCATATAAGAAGCTTTCAACAATGAAAACCACACATATATTAGTAAACAGCAAGATTTCAATCATATAAAATATAAAAATTGATTTGGAATTATCAAACCAACTTAACTAACCAGAGCAATGTATGCAGGTTTGAGCTGGGATTGGAGAAACCAGACCCTAAAAGAGCTATACAGAGCGCTTTAACAATTGCGCTATCTTATGTCATTGGTGGACTGGTCCCTCTCCTTCCCTACATGTTTATCTCCACAGCACAGAACGCCATGCTCACATCTGTCGGTGTCACGCTGGTTGCACTACTTTTCTTTGGATACATCAAGGGTCGCTTTACTGGAAACCGTCCATTCCTCAGCGCTGTCCAAACTGCTATTATCGGTGCGCTTGCTTCTGCTGCGGCATATGGAATGGCCAAGGCCGTGCAAACTAGATGATTTGAACCCTCATGTGTTCCTGTCTGAAGTTTCAGTAGGCAGAACTGAATCCAACGAAGCTGCAATGAATCACAATCTCATATTAAGAATATGTATTTTACCTTTCATGTAACAAGGAATAAATTTTGGGAAACATGAAATAAAAGCATGCTATTTTAAGTTCTATGTCCCCACTCCCCACCTTGCAAGTTGAACATCCAACATACAAATTTGACAGTTTACTCACATTTTGATCAATGTGACAAGCAAATTTAAATTAGAGCACACATCTATCAGACATGAAATTAACATGAGTGATCATATCACCTATCAAGCACATGTTTAGCTGCACACAGGGGCTTCAGGTGAAAACTCACGAAAGTTATATGCATCATAGGACATACCATGAGTAATAATGCTTTTAGTTGTTCTCATCAACACAAATAAAGGTGAAATAAAGTCACAAGTAGAAAAATATTTACTTCTAATTGTGACCGTCTGCCTGACCTGCTAGAGTTAGCTGTGAATCAGTGAAGGCAACTCTGTTACTCTGTCATGCAGCCAGGAGCCCAGGACAATCATTTTGAGCCCTGTAGAAAGTAATGAACGCATCAGTTGTACGGTATGAACCCCAATTGTTCAGAGCACCTCATTTCCATGTAAACATTTCTCAGCATCCCGAAAAATGGGCACTGATGGAGGAAATATAATTATATATGTATACAAAATCAAGGAACGAATCAGGTTGCCAATACTTCAAAACCAACTTATTCCTCATGCTTGCTCTATTCAAACATGACGTGTGCATGCCGATTGGACTACAGTCATGTCATTCGTCTTCCTTGGTTGCAGTGCACATGTATTCATATTGTGTTCTGTACCATCTACTAGATTAATGGAATTTACTGTTGGAAAAGTTCTGTCTTTGCCCACCAATGTTATCTGTCATGGTAAGTCTTAGTTGTTTTCTTCTTGACAATTTCACCGACTATAGAAGTATAGACACCCAAATCTGGCACTGTTCCTTTTGCACTCTTCAGTTCTTCAATATCTGTAACTTTTCCATGCTTGCAATGCCCATCCAAGAGAATGTTGTATGTGATATCATCTGGAGATACACCTATATTAATCATTGCATTAAGAAGCATGTCTGCATTCTTCATCTGCCCCAGCTTGCAGAAACCATTCATAATAACATTATATGTCACAACTCCTGGTTTTCTACCCTTATTCTGCATTTCCTTCAGGAGTCTAAGGCCTGTCTTCACGTCCCCTTTCCTACAGAAAGCATCAATCACCATTGTGTAGGTCGTGTTATCAGGCTCCAAACCAGCCTCCATCATCTCACCCAGAACTCTCTCGGCATCAGCTGATCGCCCTGCCTTGCTCAGCCCTGATATGAGTGCTGTATATGTCACCTCATCCAATCCAACCCCTTCAGCCACCATATTCTGTTTAATCTCCATCGCCATGTCTAACTCTTCTTCCTTGCAATAACCATCAATGAGGGTAGTATAAGTAACCGTGTCTGGCCTGAGACCAGCACTCCTCATCTCCACCACAATTCCACTAGCAGACTTCAAATCTCTTGCCCGGCAGAGCCCATTGACTATTGCATTGTACGTTACCGCATCTGGCCTCACACCCCTTTCTCTCATCTCCCGGTGCAGCTCCAGCATAGTCTCTGCATCACCCTTCTTGCAATGTGCGTCTATCAAAATCGTGAACACAACTGCATTGGGCTTCATACCTCTCCCGCACATTTTCTCAAACACCCCTCTTGCATCTTCTATCCTCCCCACCCTGCACAATCCCTGTATCAAAGCACCATAAGTGTACACATCCGGCGTGACACCTGCCTCCGACATCCTTCTGTGCAGAGTTTCCGCACCGTCCAGATCACCAGCCCTGCACATCCCCGAAATCATGGTGTTAAAGCTGACAACCGTCCGCCGCACGCCCCTGCTCTGCATTTCGTCGAACACGTTCTGTGCACTTGCAAGCTCACCCAATCTGACAAGGTCACGCATCAGAACGTTGAACAGCTTGGCCTCCGGGGGCAGGCCCGCGTCAAGCAGTTGCAGATAGAAGGCGCAGGCTTCGGGAGCAGTGGGGAACCGGCTCATGAGACCAGTACACGAGGTGGGCTCGAGGCGGATGCCACGGCGGAGGGCGAGGAGGACGAGGGTGCACGCGTCGGGGAGGAGGCCCTCCTCGGCGTAGGCCGAGGAGAGTGCAGACAAAAGAGACGCCGGGTCGCCGGGGGCGGCGGCGGCGGCGGAGAGGAGGAGAGGGAGGACGCGCGGCGGGGAGGAGCGGCCGAGACGGGAGGCGAGGAGGCGTAGGAGCGGATGAGCCAGGTGCGGAAGGCGGTGGCGGAGGAGGTGGCACGCCATGGAGAGGAAAGAGGCCGGGGTGTGGCGGAAGAGGCCCGGAGGAGAGGCGACGAGGAGGAGGCGGAAGAGGGAGTGGAGCGGGAGGGGCGGGAGGGAGAGCGGGTTGAGGCGGAGGAGGGAGAGGAAGTGGTCGGAGGTGAAGGCGGGGAGGAGGCGGAGGAGCGGTGCCGGCGCGGCGGACGGGAGCGGCGCCGGGTGGACGGGGAGGGCGAGCGCGACCTCGGAGGCGGCGACGAGGAGGGGATCGGCCGCCGCGGCCTGCGGCGGCGGTGGTGGCGCGGCGTACCATGGGCGAGGGGACGGCGGCGGTGCCTGGGCAGGAACAGGAGGCGGCCGCCGCGGGCGGTGGCGGAGGCGGAGAGCCCTCTGCATGGCGGCCGGTAGGGTGGGATCGGGAGGAGCGGGTCGCCGCCGCCGGGGGCGGGGCGCGCCAAGTTTAAAGCCAGAGAGGATTGATCGGAGGAAAGAACTGAATGGATGTTTTGCAATTGAAACCCTCTCTTGTTTCGACTTGTTCGTCCCAGGCCCCCCGAGTTTTGGATCGTACTGGGTCTCTGTCTGGCTAAGGCTGACATCAGCCTGTCGTACACACATTTTCATTTTCAGTCACATCATCATCAATTTTAACTAAAATTTAAACTTTACGCTGAACTAAACACAGCCTAAATTACTCATTGGTTGACGGTTGTCCATGTTCATGATAAGCCAAAATAGTTTAATTAGAGAATAAAAATTAGTTTATGGGTAATTTTTTTTATCTATTTATTTATAGCGACTTAGAAGCCAATTCTACAAAGAAAAGGAAATTATGTTAAAAACTTAAAATCAACTTCAAAATCAACCTCAAAAACTTAAATTTTAGCTTTTGTTTTAACTTGTTAGGCCAACCGATGAGATCTAACTCAGCCCTTTTAAAGTAGAATCTTGGCTTAATGTCAACGCATCTAAATCATATGCAGTCTTTTTTTTACGGACATTGAAAAATCATCGCGGACCTAGTTCCGTATTCCATCCTTTTATATTATAAGAAGGTTAAACATGTTTATAGAAAATATAGTTATATTTACAACAACAAATTACTTTTATTAAATTTAACATTGAATATATTTTGATAATATATCTATATTATTTTGAAAAGGTTTCTATAAGCTTTTATAATTTTGTTCAAAGCTAAATTAAAGAAGTTTGAAAAAAAATCAAAACATCTTACTTACTGAATAGAGCGAGTACCACTTATACGGTGCAACATGGTCCAAAATTCTTAAGTAAAAATAAAGAGAGCCTAAGTTTCACCCTACATTGTTGAGTTCGAATCAAAGGGTTAGGCTCTCCCTCCACGCACGTAAAATGAAACATCACATTAGCGCATCGTTAATTAATTATTAGTTAAAAACAAAATTAATATAATTCTTTAATTAAAAACAACTTTTTCATAAAAAAATTGTAAAAAAAAATAAACCATTTAGCAGTTTGAGAAAATAACAGGAACAAGTTGAGAACTTGTCCTGCCCAACGCTGATATACTTAGCAGGTTATTTAATCAGAAATCAGACGATTATACGATATCGGATACCAACAACGCTGATATACTTAGCAGGTAATTTAGATTTCTGCGTTCTTCGAAGCATTTCTTGTCAGGACTGCTTATAACAATGCTCCAGTGCAGAAATTATCCAGGAATTTAAAGCAAACCAAAAAAAACTAATCTTGTTGTCAGCTCCAGTCTAATTTACTGAAACCTGCAAAACATATTCACAGACTGCACAATAATGAGTCTGCAGGTTTAGAATGTTCTGCTGACCAAAGAAAACATGAAGCATCAGAAATTATCCAGGAATTTACAGCAAACCAAGAAAACAAATCTCCTTGTCAATTCCACTCCGCTTTACTGAAAGCTGCAAGACAGATTCACCGACTGCACACGACAATGGTTCTGTATGTTTAAAAATGTTCTGCTGAGCAAATAAACATGGAGCATCAGAAATTAATCTTGTTGTGAAATCCAGTCTAATTTACTAAAACCTGCAAAACAGATTCACAGATTTCTGCAAGTTCACAGATGTGCTGCTGAACAACAAAAACATATGAAGCATATTGTGTGCAATTGTTAATCATATATTAAGGTCTTGTGAAAGATGACATATTTACAGGTGCATTAGCTCTGCTAATCTTCAGCAGAGCTTTGACAACCACCAGAGGATTCTCCCAGTAGCACCAGCTATCGAAATTTCAAAACTTGGGCACCCCGGAGGCCCCTACATTGCTGCTGAATGCTGATGAAACCATCAAAAGCTTTTAGACAAGCAGCATCTACAGCAGCTTCGGCCGCCATTACTGTTTCATCGAGCTATACTAGAGTATACTACCAAGAAGGAAGGAGGGAGTGGGCTACTTCCTGTCTCTGTCGTCCTCGCTGGTCTCCGACACGGCCCGCTCGGAGGACACCTCGGCCTCGCCGCACGGCATGCCGAACCTCTGGATCACCCACTGGAGCGACTCGATCTGCTGCCGGTCGTACATCTGCTTCTGCTGCGCCATCTCCCGGAACTGCCGCGCCTCGCGCTCCACCAGCGCCTTCTCGTTGCGGAGGCACGCGATCTTGGCCATGGCCTCGTCGGCCGCGGACGCCGCCGCGCGCCTCTCCTTCTCCAGCTCCTCCAGCGCGGCCTCCCTCCGCCTCCTCTCGGCCGCGAGCCGGCGCCTCAGCCGCTCCACGCTGCCGCCCTCCTCCGCACCGCTGCCGCAGCCGCCGTTCGCGTCGCCGGCCGCCGCGCACTCGTCTTCCTCCGCGTTGGCCTCCTGCTCCAGCTCGGCGGCCAGCGACCTCGCGACCGGCTTGTCGGAGCAGCTCCCCTTGGAGCGGGCCGGGGACGGGGTCGGGGACGGGGGCAGGCCGCCTTTCTTCTTCAGGGCCAGTATCTTCGTCCCGCACACGGCGCAGACGACGCCGCCGACGCGCAATGCCTGCACCGTGGCGTCCGCGTTCCCGACGAGCCCCTCCACGGCCTCGCACCGCTTGCCGAGGCGCCAGACCCCCGTCGCCAGGAGCAGGAGGGGAATTCCAACAAACATCTGGGGGGCGCTCACCGACCTCGCCAGCGCAACCCAGCGCTCCGCGGAGGCCCAGTCGCCGCCGGCCTCGTCGGACTCGGACGAGTACACCATCGCCAAGAACCCAAGCACCGACCCAACCAGGAAGTAGAACGCGCCCACCCCGGGCATAAACGCGAACGACACGCCGGCAAGCGGCTTCAAGAATCCGCCGCCGCCGCCACCGGAGATGCGGTTCCCGCCGCCCATCACTTCCCCAAATTGCCACAAATAAAACAAAACCAACGAAAATGCGATCTCGCGGTGCGTCGCCGGTGGAATCGCCTGCGACCGGAGGAAATATAGGAGGAGATCGCCGTGGGTTTAGGGTAGGCGTGGTGGGATTGGGGATGCGAAAAGAATTTGGTTTAAGCGAAAAAAAAAAAAGCTCAAGGGTTTCGATTCGAAGGGGGATCTCTGCGGATAAGTCGCGGGTGGCCTCGCTGCCGTGTGGGTCTGGGAGTTCGGAACCGTCCTCGCGTGGGGCCCGCTTGTCGGTTATGGGCCGCCGTGTTGTGTGGGCCCGGCGAGAAAGAGTGCGACATGGATAGAGTAACCGGATCGGAGTGAAAAGTCGTTTTTGCTTAACGGTGACGATGACAGGTGGGGTACAAGTTATGTGTGGCCCACATGTCTGTGTAAGATATGGGTTATGGCGTGTGTGAAGTTCGGAGAGAATCTATGGGAACGGAAATATGGAATACGTGGGCTTCTTTTGGGAGAAGACCGACTTTTATTACTGCGGAAGGTGACGCTAGTCCAGGATCTTTTTTTTCCCTCGTGATATTTTCACGGAAACGATGAAAAACGACTCCACATCATCAATTGGCTAGTCCACGCCTGACTACCCACTTGAGAATTTGTAATTTTTCCAGTTGCCTGTGTATCTCGTTTGAAAACTCCAATTCAAGATCTGGAACTCGGCATTAGTAACAAGGACCCGGTTTAAATTTGTGGCTCCAAAGAGACGTTGGATTGCTCTCCACCGCTACAGAATCGCCAAATCGATTCCGTCCGCTTATCTGATTGCGCGCACGGTTGGATTGCGCACGGTATCCGCTATGAAGAAGGCCTACGAACAAAGCGAGCACCAGGCAGCAACACGGTCGCCACTCGGCAGGCCGGCAGCCCGTACGCGCCCCGCGTGGGCCAAAACCACGGGAGCCGCAGTGGACTGACCGGACGGACGCCCATACACGCTACAGTTGCTCGCTCCTCTGCCGTAGTGCCGAGCCTATTTAGAAAGATCTAGAGCCACTTGGATTCGTAGGGTAGTAAAAAACATAGGAATAGAAAAAACGTAGAAATTGAAGTAGTATAATTCTTCAATCCTGTGGGAATTAAAAACACATGAAAAGATGAAATGTGCCCTTGATAGTTCTATAGGAAAAAACACAGGATTTCTCTTCCCAAGAGGTCAGACCTCTTTCTTTTTTTCATGTGAAAATAAACTAAAGGGATGCAATCCTTAGGAATGTTTCCTTTCATTTCCTATGAATCAAAGGCATCCATAGGAAATAATCCATAGGATTGTGAATCCTACAAAAAATCCTATACCGATCATTTAAATCAAAGGAGCCCTTAGATTCTCATCAAAAGCATCATCTAAGACCCCTTTAAATCACAAAAATGAAAAACACAGAGGAATAGGAAAAACATAGTATTCTAATAAGAATGCAAATGTAAAACAGAGGATTGCAAAACGCAGGAAAAACATAGGGATGACTGTTTAATTGGGCCGCAGGAAAAACACAGGAATTTGAGGAGAGATAAAAACTCAATAGATTCTTACCATGAGGTTCTACCTCATGTTATATTTCCTCCAAAAATTGCATGGGAAGAGGCATTCCATAGGAATTTCATAGGACCATTCCTTTAATTCAAAGGACTATATAGGAAAAATTCCTATAGAAATAAAATCCTCTAAAATTCCTATGAATTTTCTTTGAATCAAAGGGGCCTAAGAATCTGGCCGATAAAAATCTAGAGAAATTGAAAAAAATCAGCTTGTCTTTTAGTTTACTTTTTAGTTTTTACAACTATAGCTTCTCGTAATCTAGACAGGTTGTTTATAAGAACTCTTAATTATGAAAAAAAATTGTACATGCTAGAAGCTCCCACAAGAAAATCGCATAGCATACTAGAAAAATTCCTATACACTCTAGTCTATAGAATTATTAGGCTCGCCCAACACCACAACCTTTTGGTGCTTGGGCGCGGGGCGCCTATGAGAGTGGTTGATATGCCACTATGCATTTTATGACTCCTCTAAACTTTAGTCCTACCTATGGGCAGACGTTAAGATGGTTTGACTCAGTTGAGCTCGTTAGGAGTTTAGTGACTGATGAGGGAGGAGGTGAGGAGCCAATGTTCTGGCACCGGCACAAGACGGCAATGGTGATGTATGGTCGTGTGGCGCCAATGTAGCAGTAATGATGAGTGGAGAATAGGGTTTGGATCAATATGAACTTTAGTGTTCTTTTTAGACCTAGTCAATCGGTATAGCATGGACTTATTTTTGTCTAGTAGAGAATTGTACCGTATGCTGCCCTAGTGGACTATTGGTTCAGCTCGTTAAACTCATGAATACTCCATAACTCGTAACCTAGCTCACTACTAGAATTCAACGGGTTCCCTAGAGTTAAAATTGTTCCCTAGAGTTGTTAAAGCCATCCAAGGGAAACCAAAAGTATCCCTAGGGAGCAAATTGATAACTCTAAGGGAAAGAAGTATTCCTAGGGAACTTTGGCTGAAATGACACGTAGCTACTCCACATCAGCATGGTGGTCTGATTACTTCCAATATTTTTTTTCAATTTTTTTCCTTGCTGCGACCAAGGAACGCGCCCTCGACATACAAAATTTCTGCCCAATAAATGTTGGGCCCACCTTATCTTCTCCACAGCTCAAGCAAACCACATCCTCTCGTTTTTCTTCACCCCAACGGCCGGCCGGCGTGCGGCGGCCGGCCGGCACGGCGGCCCCTGCCCTTTCCTTGACCAAACCTCGAGCTCTAGCAACCGGTCGCCAGCAAGCACCCGACAGCTGCCGCTCTCGACAAGCTCGACGGAGCCTCCTCTCTCACCACACGCCGTTGTCTCCGTCTTGCATAAGTTGTTTCGATCCAATTTTCTCAGCTCCTTTCCTCTCCTTTTTTTTCTTCGTAGCGTGCAGCACAAGAGCGCACTCCAGCAAGCAGCGAGCACCACAAGGTTGCTGATGCTCCAGCCTCCATCATGATGCTGACCAGCAATGGAAGTACAAATCCAAGTAAGTGTTGTTTCAACTGAGCTCGAACTGAAGTTTCTTTCATATGTGTGCCCATTTGCATATTATCTTGATCTGGGCTGTTGAGCATGCTATTTGGGTTTTCTTTTCAAGAGGCAAGGGCTGGAAGCATTGGAGAACAAACAAGATTAGTTCCACTTCAGTTCTTTGCGGATGCAGTTTTTCAAGTTTCCACTGTTGTTGCAGAAGCACGCTAGTATCAAGTGGTTTAGATTCGTTTTCAAGAACATGTGTTGTCTTTTATGTTTTTATCGTTTCGATCTGAGCGATGATAGCATCAGCTCATCAGCACATCTGAAGTGTGTATCATATGTTTGTGAGAGGAATTTTTTGTCAACTTTTCAGCTCCACTTTGTACTACAAAAGTATATGTAAACTGAAGAATCAATGTAATTGAGTATTTTTCTATTGATAATAGAATGGCATTTTTATTTCAACTAATGTTTTAGCTTTGATGTTGAGGCAAAGGAAGACAGTAAAATAAAGAAACCAAAATAAAACAATGAAATATGCAATTTTATTTAAATGGTAATATTTTTCCTAAATTTGGCTGAAAACCAAAAGAAATCCACTTTACACGTCAGATTCAGTTTGCGCCACATGTACAACTATCCCTATGGAGTGAAACTCTAGGGAACGGAATCTTTCCCTAGGTTCTCCTTGAAAAACTCTAGGGAGCTGTGTTGTTCCCGTAGAATGGATCCCAGGGTTCACCCTAGGGGAATCTGTTCGCCAGAGTTTTTCCCCTGATCCCTAGTGTATTTGGCTCTAGGGAAGTTGGTGGATTCTAGTAGTGCGCTTGAGTTGAGCCGTTAAGGTAAACGAGCTGAAAGCTTCATGAGCCACGAGTTTGGCGATAATTTTCTCCAGGTCATCTTATAGCTAGTGAAACACACTAGATTAGCTATAATATGATGGGTCACACAATACTATTTTATTGTTTTATACCCATTAGTTTTCTCTCCCGGGTACTTTTCTTCCTTGGGTTTGATGAGGTTAGCATGCATGTAAAGAGCTTATTTTGGTTTCTGTGTGTAGCCCGGCTACAAATTAATCGCTCATTCACCCTCTCTCTCTCTCTCCCCTTCTCTCTTCCAACTTATTTTGCAGCCTGCTGATATCTTACTGTACATGCTCTAATACGAAGTACTTCGTCTGCTCCAACAGTTTTCAGTTAATCCCTCGTCCTTTTTTAATGCTCACGCAATCGTTTCGAGATCCCACACCGGGCATTGATCTTAGCTCCAGTTCCATACTCCTACATCCATACTTCTTGTTCCATGGATCTTAGACAGGGACAGCACTCTCTACCTTTCCCTAGCAGTAGGCTAGTACAGCTAGGATCTCGTTTCCGCGCGATCAATGCTTCTCACTGATTGGACAATGATTGCCACATCACTTGATCAACAAAGCATGCTGGCTGGCTGGATGCACGAAACCAGATCCATGCTTTCCATCACGTTACACAGTGCCCCTACGTCCCAACAAACGCAGCCAAGAACACACACATCAAAAAAAGCATTAATCGATCCATCCATCCGGCAATAAACTCCAAGAGATCTTCGATACGGTTGCACGCCTATATACTCTATAATAAAACTGTCGTTTATCGCACAAAACGACGGTGGATGTGCACATCTACCACCGATTCGTAAATCCTAAACCGCGTTTTAGGAGGATGCAGACGACGAAGATTATCATCGGTTGTTGATCGCACTCAACAGAATCCATTTCGGTTCTGCAATACAATATACGCAGCGGTTGAAGGAGCCCCACCATGTAACCATGTTCATACAGAAGGTCAGCGTCTCCACGGCCGTAGTGTTGGCGGATGACCAAGGTCCAAATGACCCCCAATCTTTAGTCGTTTCGGATTCTTTTTGGCAGCCAATCTCCGGGGTCTGATCTGTATTGTATCTGTGCTTTAAGCCATCCTGTATTACGCGTCAAGAAGCCAGACAAAAAGCTCTCTTCCTGCCCAAAAGGTGACACAAAAAATGAACCAACTATTGTCTACTGCGGGACTTCCATTTGCAAGTGAAAGTTTTGATCTAAAAAAAAGTTTGGTGCCTAGGTAGTAGTTAGATTCACATAAGGGAATATATCCAGCAATGGTGACAACTTGTACGTGGTGTGTACAGCTGATCACTGCAGGAGAATTGAGACCACTCTGTCGTAGCTTTGCGTTTTTTTGTGCGTGTCTGATTATCAGTCGTTGTTCCCGTTGGCTTAAGCGAGCCTTAATTCTGTGGTACAGCAAAGATAGGTAAGTTGGTGATTCAATATTACTGATAAATAAAGCCTTTTGCAACCATCGATGGTTGACACACCGCTACGATAATTACGCCATGATGGCATCTACAGGCCACCGAATCTGTCGACGGTTACGGTTCCAGGACCTGGTCGTACGTCCGTTGTTTACTCTGTCGTGTGGCATCGCAAAAAAGAAAACGGAAACTCTGCATCCAGCTTTGTGATGTCAACATGATCCTACCTTCAGCTAACCTGAATTAAAGATTCTTGATCACCGTTTACAGGTAAGGAGTAGCTCCAGCTAACACCTGTGTTCGTGAAAACGACCGGTAATACGCAGATGGTAAAACACACTGTTAGCCTTGTTGCAAATCTAAGTCAGCTACAGTTCTGTGCAAATCTTCTCAGGCACTATTGTTGTACTTCTGGTTGTTATGCTATCAAAATCGCAACATCAACACTAGTACGTACTGTACGTAGGAGGGAGGGATTCAGGATCAACGCCCGGCAAGGCAAAGCTTTGTCAACGTGCATCTCTCGATCTGAGCCGTTGGAAATGTAATCGGACGTACGAGATCGCGCCGGGATCTCGTAGCGCGGTTGCGAACTTGCGATGTCATTTGTGGCATCCTCCGTTTTTTCTCCTTGTCCGTAAACAAAAGCAATGGAAAGTCTCCTTTCCAAATTCCAATATTCTGCTTCGCTTGTTTGTTTCTTCCCTCCTTTCCTCTTCTGCTTCTCCTCCTCCTCCCACCGCCGCATGGTGTGATCAGCCAAGAAAAACCATCCATCCACGCAGCGATGCTGCCACCGCCGGCCGCCGCGGCCGCCGCGCTCCTGCTGCTCCTGGCGCTCTCCGCCGGGGCCAACGACATCGCGTCGGACGCCGCGGCGCTGCAGGCGTTCATCGCGCCGTTCGGGTCGGCGACCGTGTCGTGGAACACGTCCCAGCCGACGTGCTCGTGGACGGGCGTCGTGTGCTCCGGCGGCCGCGTCGTGGAGGTCCACCTCCCGGGGGTTGGACTCCGCGGCAACGTCCCCGTGGGCGCGCTCGGGGGCCTCGACAAGCTCGCCGTGCTGTCGCTGCGCTACAACGCGCTCTCCGGCCCGCTGCCGTCCGACCTGGCCAAGTGCGCGGAGCTCCGGGTAATTAATCTGCAGTCGAATCACTTCTCCGGCGAGCTCCCCCCGGAGATTCTGGCTCTCCCGGCGCTGACGCAGCTCAACCTCGCGGAGAACCGCTTTTCCGGGAGGATTCCGGCGAGCATTGCCAAGAACGGGAGGCTACAGCTGCTCTACTTGGACGGCAACCTCCTCACCGGCGAGCTGCCGAATGTCAACATGCCATTGCTCACCTCGTTCAACGTCTCCTTCAACAACCTCACAGGCGGGATACCCAGCGGTCTCAGCGGCATGCCGGCGACGTCTTTCCTCGGCATGTCGCTGTGCGGCAAGCCCCTCGCCGCTTGCCGAACGCCGATTTCCATCCCACCGTCGCAGGCTCCGGCGCTCTCGCCAGAAGGCGCGGTCTCGGCGGTCGGCCGCGGGAGGGGCGGACGCCGCCTAGCCGGAGGAGCCATTGCCGGCATTGTGATCGGCTGCGCGCTCGGCTTCCTTCTCGTCGCCGGCGTTCTGGTCCTCGCGTGTGGCGCGCTGCAGCGCAAGCCAAGACCGCACCACAGCCGTGACGTCGCGGCGGAGCTCGCCTTGCACAGCAAAGAGGCAATGAGCCCGAGCGTGTACACGCCGCGCGTCTCGGACGCGCGGCCGCCGCCGCCGCCGGCGGCGGTGGTCCCCGCGATACAACCGGCCGTCGCCGCCAACGTCGCAGGAAAGAAGAAGCTCTTCTTCTTCGGGAGGGTGCCGCGGCCGTACGACCTCGAGGACCTGCTGCGCGCGTCGGCCGAGGTGCTCGGCAAGGGCACGTACGGGACCACGTACAAGGCCGCGCTCGAGACCGGGCCGGTGGTCGCCGTGAAGCGCCTCAAGGAGACCTCATTGCCGGAGCGCGAGTTCCGGGACAAGGTCGCGGCGATCGGCGGGCTGGACCACCCCAACGTCGTGCCACTGCAGGCCTACTACTTCAGCAAGGACGAGAAGCTCATGGTGTACGAGTTCGTCGCCATGGGCAGCCTCTCGTCGATGCTTCACGGTATGTATGCATGCTCGGTGTTCGACTGGGTTCTCGCTTGCTTTTCTCTCCATTTTCAGTTCTGACTTGAGCTGGCGATTCCAGGAAACCGTGGCTCCGGCCGGTCGCCGCTGCTCTGGGAGTCGAGGAGGCGCATCGCGCTGGCGTCGGCGCGCGGGCTGGAGTACATCCACGCGACGGGCTCCAAGGTGGTGCACGGCAACATCAAGTCGTCGAACGTACTCCTCAGCCGGTCGTCGGTGGACGCGCGCGTGGCGGACCACGGCCTCGCGCACCTCGTCGGCCCGGCGGGCGCGCCGTCCAGCCGGGTGGCGGGGTACCGCGCGCCGGAGGTGGTGGCGGACCCGTGGCGGCTGTCGCAGAAGGCCGACGTGTACAGCTTCGGCGTGCTGCTCCTGGAGCTGCTCACCGGGAAGGCCCCCACGCACGCCGTGCTGCACGACGACGAGGGCGTGGACCTGCCGCGGTGGGCGCGCTCCGTCGTGCGGGAGGAGTGGACGTCCGAGGTGTTCGACACGGAGCTCCTCAGGCACCCCGGCGCCGAGGACGAGATGGTGGAGATGCTGCGGCTGGCGATGGACTGCACCGTGACCGTGCCGGACCAGCGGCCGGCGATGCCGGAGATCGTCGTGCGCATCGAGCAGCTGGGCGGCGCGGGCTCCGCGCGGACCGCCCGGAGCGTGTCGATGGACGACGCCGACGACCGGCCGCTCAGGCCCGCCGGGTCGACCCGCGAGAGCTGAAGCGTTGATCACTCAGCATAGTTGCTCGTTCGGTAACTCTATGAAAGGTCCTGAATTTTTTTTTCCTTCATTTCATTTTTTTTGGCTGCGTCCTTGTGTTTGTCTTAGGAAATTACTTACGGTGTGATGTTAATTCTTTGAAGTTTCATGAATTTCTTGATACTTCTTTCATCGGATTTCAATCGTCCGGTTAGCTGCGTGTGTGTGTGTCTTGAGATGAGATGTTGGTGATAGGAGAAGCACACTGGTGCAATATGTAATTACCACTACATGGTTGATGTCACTATTGACAAATGAGAAATTACTCCCCCTTCGAGGTTTTGACTCCCGCGCGATTTGAACGACATCGTCCCAGTCGATCTCGTTTGGATCGTGCGGGCCACTCGTGTCGATGTCATCATCTAGCCGCTGCCGCTACATGAAATTGCCATGCACACACACTGGAGACAGTGAAAAAAAAAAGCTGAAAAAGGCGTCCTTCGCACGCATCCTGCTCATGCTGAGCTCAGTGACAGCTACAGGGACACAGTACAGCTCTGATCTCTTTTTTACACGACTTGTTCCGAACAACCAAACCAATAGGCGTCGCGGTAAACCATGTCGTTTAAGGGCATGTTTAGATACATTTGTAATCGCAAATGACAAAAGTTTTAGTGGGAAAGTTTTGACATTGCAAAAGTACTAGTTGGTGTTTAGATGTATGTTAAAGTTTTGCCATTCTAGCGCTAAAGTGAGAGAGAGAAAGAGAGAGGGAGTGGTCCCAAAGCACTTTTTGGCACAATTTGCTACTATGGACTAGCAAATGCCAAATTGCCAACTTTTGCTACTAGTGTATAGATCCAAAATGGTAAAAATGCTATAAAATGATAAAACTTTTGCCATTTTGAAGTATCTAAATTGAGCCTAAATACCCCTAACTAATGTCAATTTGGTGCGCTTCCCCCTTTCTATATTGCAATGTGCGACTAGGATTATAGAAGAGTTGTGCGAGCAAGCAACAGCAAAGAACATGGCTACGAGTTGGCAGCACATCAAGAGGCGTTGTCCCGAAGATACGAACTGCTCCAACCAAAACAACGCGTTAATGCGCCGCGTGCCTTGCTCGTACGTACTTGCCGAGCACAACTAGTTTAGCCCCGAGAGAATCCCAACTTTTTTTTAAAAGGGCAAGCTAGCCCGAGAGAATCCTAACCTGCCCGAACAAAATAAAGGGCGAGAAGAGAGGAAGATCAATATGGTTGTGGATCATGCAACGCCCTGCCTGTCATTAGTTGTCATCGTGCTCTTTTTATAAAAGGAGAGGCTGATCGATCACTCGAGCCGGCCGGGGTCGCTTCGCACCGCTGCCCCCACTACTAGAGCACGAAGGAATGATAATCAGTGGGCTATTCTCTGAACAATAATGTGTGACGTGAATTATTGGCCGCCGGTCCTTGGAAAACAGCTCGGCCAGCGATCGAGCAGCGATTCATCCATCCATCCATCCAACCCATTTGCAATCCATGTGTGCACTGAGCTGAGACACGCCTTTCGGCAGCAATAGTAGCTCTGCTATGAGCCTGCCTGCCTCAGCTCTACTACACTTTCATCCCCACACAAGGCCCCATTGTTATGTCCATTTTTCTGTCCGGTTTTGATCGCTAGATTTCAGGATTTGGGCGTGACGCTGTAGGGGTAATGGTGGTGCTAGGGGAGGGGATCAGGGGAGGCACATGAAGATGAAGGCGGCGCATTGAAGAGAACACTTTGGTTGGGAGTAAAGCAGGCAAGCGTCGTGGTGCGCGTTAGAATTGACGCGATGCGGGCCTGCCCAGTGCCCACCCCTGCCCGTACCAGAGAGAGCAGTAGAGTGCAGGGCAGATCGATCAACCGGGCGCTTTTCGTTGCGCCCGGTCCCCGGGTTCCGGCCAGTTAGGTGGCCCGGACGAAAGGATCACGTCAGGACGGACGGACGGACGGACGGAGAGGAGACCGCTCGATCGTCCCGTCCGGCCTCGGCAGTTGCACTAATTAGCTCGCCGAGTGCGTACCACCACATGCCGCGCCGCGCCGCGTCGCCTCGCTCGCAACCGCTTCTGCAGTTGCAACGCGACTATGCGAGCCCCCGCATGCGCGTTTTCGCGTTCGCTTTGCAGAATCGCACTGCACTGCACTGCACGGTGGTGCGCTTGCCCGCGCTTCGGCCGGCCACCTTGACGGCACGCGTGCGAGACGGCACTAGCTAGCGAGCGCGTCGGTGATCCGGAGAAGTAGAACTGCTCCCCCGATCTCCATCCCACCTGCGGGAATATGCGCCGAGTTGGGTGAAACCGTGAAAGGCTTGGGCCTTATCAGCGAGCTTGAGCCCATTTATAACGGCCGTTCTGGTCCAAATACGAGCCCATTACACGGTCTTCGAATTTCGCACGGCCCGTTCTGGTCGAAACACAAGACGGCAAGTTTTCTTTCTTCTGCTCCAAACCAAGAAAAAGACAATGGGCCACCACCTGTCATACACTCGGACCGGCCGCACCTTCTTCTCTCCCAAGAAATAAACCCCTCCCCACAAAACCCACTAAAAACACACTCCTCCTCATCAGATCCACACCCATCCTCCCCACCCCCCAAGCGGCGGCGAGACCAAATCCCCCACTTCTCTCTCAATCTCTCTCTCTGCTAGGGTTTATCCCTCCGCGCCGCCGCCCCCGGAAGACGAGAGAGCGCCATGGCCGGCGGTCCCGCGGCGGTGTCGTTCCTGACCAACATCGCCAAGGCGGCGGCGGGGCTCGGCGCCGCGGCCTCCCTCCTGTCGGCGTCGCTCTACACCGTCGACGGCGGCGAGCGCGCCGTCATCTTCGACCGGTTCCGCGGGGTGCTCCCGGAGACCGTCGGCGAGGGGACCCACTTCCTCGTGCCGTGGCTCCAGAAGCCCTTCGTCTTCGACATCCGCACGCGCCCCCACAACTTCTCCTCCAACTCCGGCACCAAAGGACCCTGCAGATGGGTTTACCCTCACCCTTCCGGCCTCCTTTCCCCGCCCCCGACGTCCGTGCCCTTCCCCACCATCTTCACCTCCCTCGGCCTCGAGTACGACGACAAGGTGCTCCCCTCCATCGGCAACGAGGTGCTCAAGGCCGTCGTCGCGCAGTTCAACGCCGACCAGCTCCTCACCGAGCGGCCCCACGTCTCAGCCCTCGTCCGCGACGCCCTCATCCGCCGCGCCCGCGAGTTCAACATCATCCTCGACGACGTCGCCATCACCCACCTCTCCTACGGCATCGAGTTCTCGCAGGCCGTCGAGAAGAAGCAGGTGGCGCAGCAGGAGGCCGAGCGCTCCAAGTTCCTCGTGGCCAAGGCTGAGCAGGAGAGGCGCGCGGCCATCGTGCGCGCGGAGGGAGAGAGTGAGTCCGCGCGGCTCATTTCTGAGGCCACCGCCGCCGCTGGGACAGGGCTGATTGAGCTGAGGAGGATCGAGGCGGCCAGGGAGATTGCTGCCGAGCTGGCCCGTTCTCCTAATGTTGCATACGTTCCTGCTGGGGACAATGGCCGGATGCTGCTCGGCCTCAACGCTGCCGGGTTCGGCCGGTGATCCGTCACTCCAATTTTACCCCTTTAGTTGCCCAGGCATCCGCTCTGTGTTACATTAAACTGGAATGATGGTATGGGGAATTATGTTATCTGCTACTTTTGGTAATATTTAGTCTGGATGTCTTTGAACGGAATGTGCTAATCTTTGTGATCCAAATAAGTTCTGGGTCTAAGACTCATTTATGTTTTATGATTTGTCTGCTGATTAAGCTTTATGTTGCTGTTCAATACGCATGCTAGTTATGCTTCTTCTTGTTTATGGATTGTTCTTATCATTGCAGGGGTGTATCTTTGGTTACTGATGTTGCCTTGCTGAATTAGCACTGCCTTGACACTTGCAGGGATGATTATCTAGTTGCCCTGTGGCATCTCGAATAGTCATGTACCAGTTACCTGACCTTTCGGTGATAATATTCTTTGATTTGTGGCTCATATGCTGTTGTTCTTAAGCAACCGTGTCCCGTAGCTCATCTAATTAACCTGGAGTTTGCCAGTGTTACGGGAGTCAATTTTGGATATGGAATGGCAGTGCATAGTCGGTTGATGCTTTGATATTTGATTTTAGCTTCACAATGCGATTTAGGCATACATTGTCTAATTTGGTCCATTTTATTGTTAGAGTTTATCCCTAAAATTTGGTCTATATATAGCTCTTTGATGCTTGTGAAGCACTGACAGATTCTGATAGTATCGATACATGATGAAAATGTTGGATTCATGTTGATACCATTTATATTTTATTATGACATGTAGGATCAGTGTTAAGCTCTTATGTACAATCTGATTGGGATTGCGTTTTGATCTTAGTATTCATAAGTGTTGGGTGGCGTATTATATCACTGTAGTCCCTTAGTTTGTAGCCTCACGCATTATCCAGGATTTTTATAGTTGAAGCCTTGAAGGCTGGTATCCTCTCAAAAATCTTTTGCTGAATTTCATCTGCACTGCTGATGCACTTTGGGATTGCTTGTCTACTTGGAGGCCTTTTAGTTGAGGAATCCATGCCTGCATTTCCTGCAATTTGGTTTGTAGTTTTTAGTTGATTTTTTATTTCCCCTCAAGAAAACGTAGTTGTAGCCTTGAAGGCCTATCGTGGAACTTCCATCCTGAATCTTGAGATGGGTTGACAGCTCTTAGGCTTTTGAGTTGATATTAAGTTCATGTTTACTCTGCATGCCCCTTGGTGCAAAGTTGTTCACTTGATGAGTCCCACTTTGTGATTGGTGGTATGATACATGTGAATTTGAGCTTTCTTACCATATAATTGTTACTGATGCTTGTGGGAGTTCTTGATCTACAGTCTTACACTGCTGCTGGTAATCAAGGTTTTGCTCTGCCTCTAGGAATCTTGGTTTTACCCAGCTTCTAGAATTAGTGAATTACTTTGCAAATGCTTGTTGCTGATATATATTGCTGAAAACCTAAGCATAGGTTATTCATGCTCTCTTGGTGCCGTTGCCCGGAAGTTCTACGCCGGTATATGTATCTACTTCTATGTGCCTATCTTGCTTATGCTATTCGCATGCTATAAGCCTATCGTGCTCTATGCTATCCTATTTTGTTTGATATGAATGGTCTTGCCTTATCATTTTTTTCCTTTCCAGCACTTGTTCTTGCCAACGCCTTCCTAGGGGAACTTGTATCGCCCAAACATTTTGATACAAGTCTGTTTTGTGAGTGGCATATCTGAGCAAAGTGGCTGAATTCTTTGCCGCAACGCTGCGTTGGATGAGTGCTTACCCGGACGCAATGCTGCAGATTACAAGAGCATGCGTAGTCTGTAGTAGTAGTAGCAGCTTTGACAGCAGGTTGCCATGTAGAATGAACTGTGTGGAGTTTCTCCTCCACCCAACCGCTGTGGTGCTTTGACAGGTTGCCATGGAGCGTGAACTTCTCCTGCACCCAACCGGCCAACCGAAGCCTTCCATGCATCTACTGTCGGCACGGCCCTCATGTGGTAGGATGCTGGACAAAGGCCGGACTCCGCGCGCGATAGTACCCATCTGAATATCTGATGCAGCTGCTGCATGGGCTATCTGAATATCTGATAAAGCTAGCGCAACCGCGGAACGAATAGTTTGCATCCCTAAGCCATAGTATCAAAATTTTTGAACCCTAACTTGCGAAATCGGACTAAATTAGATCCTGTGGCAATATAAATGTGTGGTTTCATTGATCTATTGCAATATAAATGTGTGGTCGTTCTAAACTTATACGTGGTAAAAACAAAAGTGACCTCATATGTCCTCATCGTTCTAAACTTATACTCCTACGTGGTAAAAACAAAAGTGACCTCATATGTCCTCACTCTCTTCCTCTATTCACTCTACCTCTCTTCCCCCTTTCCTCGCTCTCTTTCGGTATCAGTAGCATCGGTTGGTGCCACGGTCGCATTTCTCCATCTTTTGTGACGACTCCGCCTTGCGTCCCCCGAGAGTCCTATCCTGGATAACAACATCGATCCCGACACCGTTGTCCCTGTAAGGTTGCGATGATGCCGCCCCCATCCTCGGGAGCCATATCTCGTATGGCAGTGTCGATCCACGACGCCGCTGTCCTAGCTCCGCCTCGCCGCTAGTGAGGTCGTGACAGTGTCCCTCCTGGTGAGGTCCCAGCTCCGCCTCGCCCCTTCATCCTTCTTCCTATCGGCCTCTCCATGTCATCGTTGCCGTTGCAGAAAGAAAAGGGGATAAAGAAAGAGATAAGAGAGGAGGGCAGCACAACCGGCTCAGGATGTGAAATTAGGACACGGTGATGGCACCACCACTTGAGCTCGAGTTCCACCATTACTGCCGTGGCGCTTCGTCCCCATCCCGGCTGCTCCATCCCTTCCAGCTTCCCGACACAACTAGGCGGCAGTAGCGAGCCCACCCCTACCAGGCACATCCTCTTCGACCTCTCCTCCCCCATTGCCGCATATAGCCGTGGTCCCATCCTCTCTAGTCGTCCACTGCCACCGCCTCCTTCCTGCGAATAGCTAGCGAGCTCGAGCTCACTGATTCCCTCGCCTTACTCCTCTTCTTCTTCTCCGCCGTGGACCATCGAAGCCCTCCTGTTGCCAACCTCCCATCACTGCTGCCGTCTCACTCGGACGAGCTCTCTGGTGCCGCTTTTCCTTAGCACAGCCTCGCTCCCATCGCTTGTCCTTCGCCCGGCCTCGCTCTCATCAGGCATCCTCGCGACTCTCCTCCACATTCTGCCCGTCCTCTCTACTACACTCTTCCCCGCTGCCGCTCCTTGTTACCCCTCTTGCGATCAAAGCTGACAGAGGGAGATAGAGGGATAAGAAGGAAGATATTGTCTCACTAACATATGTGATATGTATAGTTTTTTTTCCTTCTGGTGCCACGTCAACCAAAACCTCCTACAATATCGTGGGATCTAATTTGGACAGTTATGTAAAGATAGAAAGAAATTTTCTGGTAGTTCGGTTTAAGAATGCCAATTATACTCGTTGTAAAGATGAAGAATGCGGAGTGGACTTGTTCCACCGCGGAACCCGACTGTGCGAGCCAGGACGCGGCCCGTGCGACCCTTCCGTCTCCATCCGTAGGGAGCCGTGAGATTTTGGTCCAGCTCCTTCCTCCCGCGGCCAATTCGCGTGACGCGATCCTCTGCTGGTCTCGGGGCCGCATGGGATGCTTTCCGCCTTTCCCCCACCGGCTTCCGGATTCGGACGGCGACTCGGCGAGGGGCGGGTTTGCGATGGTCGCAACTCGCACGCCCCGACAGTTTGTCAAACGCACCAGGGGCGCGTACACGGACGGAAGGTTGAGTTCTCCCAGGGCCCACGTGCCACTGGCTCCTAGCCATAATTGAAGTCCACTTCCGCTGGCCACCTCGTGTCACTCTGGGTCAGTGTCCACGCGCACACTAATCGGATTGTGGCAATCCAGTTTAACTTCTGAGCTACAAGTACTAAGAGATTTAACCTTGGTGACGAGTAATCAGGTCTACTTACTGATTGATTCAGTATGGTAGTTTTGCTTTTATGGCATTCGTAGCTCACAGAGCAGGACAGTGTGGAATGGAGGACAGCACGTCAACACTAATAGTAGTACTCCCGTATCATGTTTATGCTTATGAGCTCTGTATTGTAAGGCCTTTCACGGTGCAAACACTTACTGTGAGTTATCACGAGATGATAGCTAGGATGAAGACCCTCTCTTCACAGTGCAAGTATCGTGTGTGGGACTCAGAAATATCTGCTAGTGGGATCCATAAACTCCCAAGTCCCAACTCCCCACCGGCTCCTCCTCCCTCGTCACGCAATCCCCAAATCCACTCCTCCCTGCCGGCTCTCCCCTCCTCCCTTCGCTGACGCCGACTCCCCTCCTCCCTCCGCCGGCGCCGGCTCTCCTCTCCTCCGGGCGGTGGCTCCCCTCCTCCCTCCGCCAGCGCCAGTGCCGGCTCTCCTCTCCTCCGGGCGTCGTCCTCGAAGAAGCGACGGCAGCGTCCTCTGAGCCGTGCGGTGGCGTCGTCCTCGGGGCCGAGCTACGACGGCGCCCTCGAAGACGGCGGTGGCGGCGCGGATCTGGAGCGCGGAGGACGGTGCAAGCGCGGGACGGCGGCGGCGGCGCGGATCTGGGCTCCTCCTCTCTCGGCCGGCGACGAGGAGACGAAGCCGCTCGTGGTCGTTGTCCTCCTCGCTTTGTCTCCACTTTCCGCCGCCGGCGGCGAGGAGAGAAGGACGGCGGCGGCGCCCTCGGCGACGGTCCTCGGCGACGTCTCATCTCCTCGCAAAGTGGGCCCCGCGCCTGACTTTTTAAGCGAGGTTGCTCGTTCCTCTCCTGGGATGCGAAGAACCCAGTGTAGCTATGGGCCCTACCAACTTTTTTCGCCACATAGACTAGGTAACACACCACGTAGGACTAGGTAACTCCCACTGTGAAAGGCCTAAGCACTACAACATTTTGACATGGACTCCACCGTTTCTACATAAATAAACATTCCCAATACTGAATGCACATTTGGGCGTGTTTGGTTGCCTGGCTTGTCCCTAGCTCGCATCTCGGATGCAACCTGTAGACTGTTTGGTTGACTGCACGTGTCCCACAGCCAGGCCCAACAGATGCAAAAAGTCTCTCGCAGCCATGCTGAGCAGGAACGACCGAATTGAGCTTCGTTGCTCATCCTGGCTCCACGCATGCAGCGGCGCCGCACCCGCGCGTGCAGGGAGAGCCGGAGAGACGATGGGGTCCCTGACACCACCCTACCTTCTTCCTCATTTCTTCTATCTTCTCTTCTCTTCGCTATCGTCGGTCATGGCCACCAGCGACGACCATCTCCATCTCCGTCGGCCAGATCAGGCTAGCTGCAAGTCCTGCTCCTCCCTCTCTTCTTCAGCAAGGGGTCGCCAAGAGCTCTCCGCCGGCGGATCCGGAGGGCATGAGCTCGCCACTGCCAGATCTACCTGCACAGAGATGTCGAAGCATGAGCTTGGCTTGAGCTCGTCGCCGTCGCCAGCGGCACCACCTTCCTCGCCGGCTTGAGCTCGTCGCTGCGCGGACACCCTCGCCGCCACGGACAGCTACCTCAAATCCATCTCCTACTCACCTTTTTTTTTTCGCCAAATTCAGAGGTTAGAAGCTCGGGCCTGCCAGATCCGAGTAGCCACAACACCCTCCCGGCCGCTGGACTCGCTGCACCGACGGCGGCGAACATGCCTAGCTGGGTGGCACGAGCGGCTAGGTACCGGCGGCGGCAAGTTCCTCTGCGAGCTCTGTTCTCCTTTTTTTTTTTCTTTCTTTCTTTTTTCCACCGAATGTCATTAACCACTGATAAATATGGTTTATGTACTTCTATGCAACTGTATATGCTCATCCGATACTGTTTTCAATTATTGTTGTTAGGAGCTCCGAAATCAATGCTTTGTATATTTTGCATGTACTATTAAATCTGATATATATACCATAAATAAATACGCTTTTATTTCGACGGTAAGAATTCTCACTATTAATTCTAAGTGAGGTGATCTCTCCTTCAAAGAAAGAAAATACTCATACCTACTATCTATACCACCAACCAAACAAAATCTATTTCAAACCGTATCTTTGGTGCAAGCAACCAAACAGAATCTCACGCTAAACGGTTGCATATGTATCTATCTAGCCAGGCCAAACTCAGCCTTGATGAAAGAGATGGGCTAGACTAAAACAATGCAAGCAACCAAACACACCCAAAATCTAGCGCGTAGCAACCTACCAACAGTGACAACAGAAGAGAAACTGGAGCTTGATTCCTTCCAAGCAAACCAAACCCCTTTCTATCTCAAAAGCCGCTCCCACGAATTCCAGGGATCAGCAACCCAAACGGCTCACTCCCCAACCGGCCAAACCCCAAGAGAACCCAGCCGGCCTCCACCACACCACACACCACCACCCTCGGACACAAGAACCGCACGCGCGGCCGGCCACCGTCGATGCCCCCTCGCCACTGCCGCCGCTAGCCGACGAACCAGCATATCTTCGCCGACCTCGACCTCCATGGACCGGGCCTCCGAGGAGCTGGAGCGCCGCAGCCGCTACCTCAGTTCGCTCGTCCGCCGCACCAAGCTCGCCGACCCGCCCGAGCCGGAGCCGGAGCCTGAGCCGGAGCCGGAGAGGGAGAGGGAGAGGGAGGTGGCGGCGAAGGAGAGCGGTGGCGGTGAGGGGAAGGGCGGTAAGGTGGTGGAGGAGAAGGAGGTGAAGGCGGCGAAGGAGAAGAAGGAGAAGGAGAAGGAGGCGAAGGTGCCGAGGGGGGAGGGGGGGAATGGGGAGGAGAAGAAGGTGGCGGTGCGCGTGCGGGCGGCGGACATGCCGCCGGCGCTGCAGCGCCGCGCGATCCGGGTCGCCCTGGAGGCCACCGCCGCCATGCCGCGGATCGACAGCAAGCGCCTCGCGCTCGCGCTGAAGAAGGTATCATCCATCCTACGCTTAGCACATTGTTAATTTCTTCCATTCATTTCGTCGCGGAATTGTTCATCAGTTTAAGTCGGGGTCGAAACTTGTTTAGATCATTTGTAAATGGCCGTAAAATGGGGGATATGTTGCACACTCTTAAGATTAAGATCTAGAGCTTTTTGTTCTACTAGCAATGATGTTAGCTTTCTGCCAACTTCGGGAAAGCGTGCTTCTAAATTTGGAGCATCTGGAATGGTTCGAGAAGCTCTTTGGTGTTGGCAGTGAAGCTAGATGAGAATGATATGTTGACCTACATTAAGTGGGAAGTAGGATGGTGCCAGGTCAATTTGTTCATTTATGAGAGATGGTCCACTATAGGGCTCGCGGAATATTTGTGAGATTTGGAGAACGTGACAGTAGTTATATTTCTTTGCTGCTATTGGTGCTTTACCACTTCCAATTCCAACCATGTTCGGAGTTGAATATGGATGATATCATGATAACTAAGCATCACATGCTCTAGAGAGCTTATGGTTCTGTGCAATAGAGCTAGCTTTCCAGCTTGGTTTAATTAGTAAATATGCTAGTTTCTCATTTGATGTTGAGTGATCAAGCATAATTGTGAACAACTAGTTGTGACTCATGATCAGGAATCAGGCAGCTGATATCACCTTTTAATGGGATTTCAAGGAATTTCTTGTGGTAGAGCTTTCTTGATATTATCAGTTGGTACCTTTATCTGATGGCTTTCCCTGAGGCGGACCTATCCCTTCTGTCATTTCCTTTGTTAGAGTCAGTAATTAGAGCATTGATCATGAAATTGGAACCCTGCTACGAGTGTTGTGAACTACTGAATTAGATTTTGTATTCACCATTATATTTTGGCAGGTAGTAAGTACTTATGTCTGTACAGGAAAAATACAATCGCAAAAATAGGGCAAGATGCCTTTGAATAAGTTAGTTCCAAATGTTGACATGTTTATTACACGATAAACTAGCTATGAAGTAAATGGATATCCTGGAGAGTTGAATAAGAGAATTTGCTTGCTGTATGTGCAGCAAGCTTGTTTTTTGCCAAAAATATTATGCATCCAGCTTGGCAGCTTGTTGTGCAAAAGATTTGTTCCTTATGACTTCTAGCAAGAATATCAAGTTTTTCAAAAGATATTAGTACGTTACCCTGATGATGAACCCCATTTCACTAGCATCCTAAAAATACTTCTATGTAATTGATGTGAATGCAAAGCATGAATACTTTTCAAGTTTTCATACATTATCTCCCCATTCTTTAAACAAACTAATGTTGTGTTACACTGTCTGGGTGACTGCTTAAATTGCTGCTTTGTTTTGTTATTACCTTTTCTCTATGAACTAAGTGATAGTGCCTACTTGTGTGTGCTTGCTCTCTTGCTATTACGTTGGCTGGACACTTGAGGATGCGACGTTTTCTTCAATGGCCTTACATGCATTCACAGTCCTTAACAATCAATGGCTGAAAATGTTCCTTTCATTTGCTCACAGGAATTTGATACAACATATGGGCCTGCTTGGCACTGCATTGTCGGCACAAGCTTCGGTTCCTACGTTACTCACTCCTTGGGAGGTTTCTTGTACTTCTCTGTTGACAAGTTATACATTCTTCTCTTCAGAACAGCTGTTGAGCCACTAAGCTACCAACGATAATGTGCGATATCTCTATCTACTGAAACAAAAGTGTAGATTCGATGCAATTTGTAATTTTGAACTGAAGTTGTATTAGATGCTCAACGAGTAGTAAGCTTGGGTAGAGGTAAATGGCCACTTCTCTACATGCTAATGCTAAATTGTAAGACAGCTAAGCTTATGTAACTGCCATGTACCACGTGAGCTCCTGCTGTGTAAGCTCGCTTTTGACTTGCAAAGCTGTAGCTTAACTGAAGTTTCCAAAGCTTTCCTGTGTCTGCAACAACGCTCTGTCAATTCAGCTTTCAAGCTGTTCAATGTTCTCTCATGGGCTGATGGCCTCGTGGGAGCTCAAAAACTTTTTTGGTCCTCCTGATCCGTGTTAATCCAACAAGCACGGATAATAATACTAAAAACTTTCTTGGTGCTCCTGATCGGTGTCAACCCAACGCTCACGGATAATACTGACAATACTCATGGTAACATTGATAATTAGCCTGACAGAATGTGCTACACCGAGTGGTGACAGAAAGCATTCTGGTGAGTGGCGACAGAATGCGCTACGCCGAGCATGGACAGGCCTAGGTACACCGTCTCTGTGGAGAGTCCACACTATAATATAGCCAGCTACCTTACTTGTTGCCAGCGTAGAAAGAAACCCCACAAAACTGAAGCAGCACGCAGTTGTTGGCTTGTTGCCAGCGTAGAAAGAAACCCCACAAAACTGAAGCAGCACGCAGTTGTTGCCCAGTGTAGAAACCCCCCAAACCTGAAGCAGCGTGCAGTTCGTTGCCCACAGCGAAGAAACCCCAGAAAAACTGAAGCAGAGACCAAGATATAGACACAGGATTGACCATAACAATAAACACCAATAAAAAGGCAAACAGAAAAACAGGAAGTGCCACCAAGCAGTTCAAGAGGCTCCCCCACCCCCAACCAGGCCTGGCTCCACAGACCCCCACCTGCTCTGCTACGAGTAGCTTAAAGGCGAGACTGCAAAACCATCGCTAGCAACCTCACATACGGGGGAGCCCCAGATTTCCCGACAACAATCACAGCCACATAGGTGTCATTACACAGTAGCAAAGCACTAGCTACAAGCTTCTAGGGCACATAAAGCCGGCTTTACTGCCCCTCGCTGGAGTCGCGCTTCGGAGCTTCCCTGATCTCTTCCGCGGTGTCCTCCTGAAGCCACAAGGCACGATTGGTACAGTTTGTTCAGTGATCAGGATGATTTTGACGAAACGGGGGTAAAGATCGCGTGAAGAGATTAGTGGTATTTGAGAAATGGAAACGTACCGAGATGTCTGAAGTCCACAGGGTCAGGTTATCACGGAGGAGTTGCATGATCAAAGTGCTGTCCTTGTAGGACTCCTCGCTCAGGGTGTCCAGCTCCGAGATGGCCTCATCAAAAGCCTGTAGAAATTGGTAAGAGGGGAACATCATGATGCCAGCATTGTCTCAAAAAAGGTAGAAGCCTCAAAGGGACCAAAGTTTTCTTTATGGGGAGGTCAAACAACTCTCTAATGGACTTAGTTAATGTACACCACAAGATTTAACTGGGTTGCAATCAAATAACATGACATGAACAGGCTCAGGGAATTTACTACTACCATGGAGACAAAATCAACCAACGAGGAGTTGCATACAAAAGGTGTGGTAAATACTCGAATTTGCAATAGGGAAAGTATTGTTTCTTCAGAATTTTTTCACTTGCAAGATGGCGGATAAGTCAATTAGTACCAAGTAGCTACAGAGCCTACAACTGAAGAGCGTATTTTACTTTTGTCTACTATTCTGTTCAAGCCATATCGATGGCTAATGTAAATTAATACCATAACATGCAAGGATAGATTCATCTTTTAAAAAACATGCAAGAATAGATGCAGACTCAAGACAGCTAATGCAAGGTCAGGGTCAACCAAAAAGAAGTGTGATACTTAAAACACCAATTATCATACAAGGTACTACACATATAGTATAGTATGGTTCTCTTGGATTTTTTTTCCCTAGGCATCACTATAATTGAAGAACAATGCAAATATTTTGTTCTCTCCAAACAACACCTAAACACTGTAAATTATACTGTTCTACAAATCCAAGACAGAACATCATGGTAGACAACTAAACCAAAAGGTGTTGGCTGTTCTGTCCGTAGCATAATTGCATGAACAGAAAGTGCACATAACTATGACTGCAACTTTTAAAGTTGATGTTGCCAGATAGCGAAGTGTCACCAAATGACCAAAACACAGTAAAGGAGGCATGCGGTTTAGAAATGTAAGAGCATTAAAAATAGTACATAGTAAAATCCTGTGTGCGACGTATCTACGCCCACTAACCTTTTTTCCTTTTGTGGACTAAACAATGCTAACTTTTCAAAGCAGCATTTATAGAATAGCTATGGAAGGAAAGGAATATGTGACGTGATTTTTTAAAATATTATCCAAACTACTGCTAACCATATGTATTGTGATAATCGAATTATGTAATCGCCACAACAAACATCAATACACCATCAAGAAGAAAAAAAATCAATGCTTAAAAATAACATGTAATCTCTCCGTTTTACAATGTAAGATTTTCTAGCATCGCCAACATTCATATATATATTAATGAATCTAGATTCATATACATTCATATAAATATATGAATCTAGATTCATTAATATCTATATGAATGTGGACGATGCTAGAAAGTCTTACATTGTGAAACGGAGGAAGTAGGTAATTTACAACACCAACCTGCTTTGCGAGGTTGCAAGCACGATCAGGCGAGTTGAGGATCTCATAGTAGAACACTGAGAAGTTAAGAGCTAGCCCAAGCCTAATTGGATGAGTAGGAGGCAGCTCAGCCAAAGCAATGTCCTACATCAAAATCAGTTTGTTGTTAATTTCCACAAAACAAAGAAAGTATAATATTGCACCAACATAGTTCTGTTTTTTTTTTCCCATAGCGTGATCAAGGAATATGAAAAAATATTCACCTGAGCAGCCTTGTATGCCACCATGGTATTCTCAGCAGCATCCTTCCTCTCAGCCCCGGTCTTAAATTCGGCAAGGTACCTATTTATTAAAATTGATTCAGCATAGCAAAAGCAATCACAAACTAGTAAATGCAAAAATACCAATACCCATCATATTACCTGTAGTAGTCACCCTTCATTTTGAGGTAGAAGACCTTGGACTCAGGGGCAGTGGAAGAGGGGACAAGGTGGGATTCAAGCAGCTTGAGAATGCCGTCGCAAATCTTGGTGAGCTCAGTCTCGATCTTGCCACGGTAGTCCTTGATGAGTGTGACACGGTCCTCGTTACCACGGCTTTCCTCCTTCTGCTCAATGGAGGAGATAATGCGCCATGACGCACGGCGGGCTCCAATCACATTCTTGTATGCAACAGACAGGAGGTTGCGCTCCTCCACGGTGAGCTCCTCAGAGTCAACCGTCTTGGCCACCTTCTCCATGAATTCGACCATCTCCTCGTACCTCTCGGCTTGCTCAGCGAGCTTGGCCATGTACACATTCTCCTCACGGGAAAGCTCCGCCTGTGCCGACATCTTTGCTATCTATAAATCTAAAAACTCTACAAATGCCAAGTCTGCAAGATCAAAGAACAAAAACGGTGATGAACTAACCGTTCTTTGGAGGATCCATACAAACAATTTAAAGAGTAATCCACGATGCAGAATAAAGGCATAAATTCAGAAGCAAAAAACAGAAAATGATGCATTGTTGGGAAATCCATCCAATTCCTGTTTCAAGTGGGCAAGCCAATGATCTCAAGTTTGATTTTTGAATTTGGTACCGTAGCACATTTCAAAGAGCAATTTTGAATTACTGCCCCGCAATCGTAGCTTCAGTATTCCCGAGCTAACTGTACATCAGAGTCAATCTAACAATAGATCAAGACGAGAAAAATCAAAATTATAAGCAAAATTCTGAGAAGCAAACATGGACCAGAACCACAGAACCCCTACAGAACTCAGGTTTTTGACGGATCCAACCATACTCCGTAAAATCACATCAACCGCACACAGATCACTTCAAAACCACCAGAGACCCACCCGATTCGTGCAGACAAACCTACCACTAAAGCACGCCTAGCAAAAAAAAATCGCTACGAAAACAGCAGGGTTTAGCTGAGAATTCAGATGGAAAACGATCCCACCAAACGGCCACAGATCACGCGGGGGATCATGCTAGCAAGTACTACCAGCACCGATCCAATCGAACGGAAACACACACACACGAAGCGAAAATTCTACGGGAAGAGATCAAAATTCGAGAGGGGGAGGAGAGAGATCGCGAGCGAAGGAATACCTCTGTGTGCGTCTCCTCGCGCTCTGGCGTCGGAAATTTTGGGGGGAGGCGGACGCGAGGAGGCGCCCGGGGCCCCTAGAAATGCCCCACCCCAGCCAATGAGCGCCCGACGCGTGTCCACTCCACCGTGGCATGCCGGGCACGTGGCCTCACGGCCCCACCACGCAGCCGCACAAGCCCTACTAGGCTACTTCCACGCGGGGGGGACGTCAGCCGAAGGTGGGGCCCACATGTCAGCGTCGTGTACGGTGGGTCCCACGGCCGCGTCGTGCTGATAAGCTCGGCTCCCTCGCGGTGACAGCCTGGACTCCGTTGGACCGGGGCGGCCAAGGGCAAAGCAAAGCGGGGCGGGGTTTGTTTTTTTTTGGCACAGGTTTCGGATCTTACCCGCGAGGGAGGCGTGACGCTGCCGTGTGGGGCCCAGTGACACGGTGGCCACGTGCTACGGTGGTGCGGGTAGAGAGGGCGGTGCGTGTGTGGCCGTGTGAACCGGGCGGCGCGGCGGACAGCGGGACAGGTGAGGTGAGGCGAGGAGAGGCGGCGATCGGGGGCGAGGTGAAGGCGTGGCGCTGAGCAGGCCGCGGGGCCCACCACGAGGTGGTGCTCGTGGCCCCGTCGGTGTTCGGAGTTTTGCAGAGAAGACACCGAATTTCGCAGACAAAAGTTATTTTTGTGCTGCAATTGGTGGACAAACGTCTGGCAAAATTTGTGTGAAGTTTCCAAACAAGCCTGCAATTAACATCCCAAAAAACTGCGTGTTTTGCGTGGGAATTCACTTCCTACTACTTTTGAAACGTTGGTTATTTCAGCTAATCATACGGCACAGCGAGGAGTACAGAGTACTGGAGCTGTATTGTTCTCCTATAATTTGCTTATAAAATTCGTGTCTAAATTGATATTTTCCGCGTATTTGCCACATCGATTCTCCTCTCAAACTGGACTGTCGGCTAATGACGCCGTACGCCACGGCTCGTCAAAGTCGTTTCGTTCTAATCCTGCCGATCACGTCTCGCCGCCGGATATCTCCACGTCAAGACTAGCTCGGAGGTCGCAGTCGTCATGCACCGGGAGGCTAATCCTGATGGAAAAGAAAATTTGATAAATCGATGGAGGCCTACCAAACACATCCGCTAATTAAGGCGATGGTCGCCGGCGAGAAAAAGGGCTTCGCCGATAGAAAATTTGCAGCAACAGTTGGTAGGTCGCCATCGTTCTAGGCTTCTATTAGCCCTGTATGAGATGTGAATCTCGTTTTAATTAGAAAAAAAAAACAGCTACGCGTATGCAATGTATTTGCCATGCTGACCGTAGAATGAGCTTAAAGCGAATTTAATATTTTGTCATCTTCCGTGATGTCATTCGTATGACTTTACGTGTACCAGCTCCGTTCGGTTAGGCTTTGATCTCCAAAGGAAGTAGCAGGCGATCATTTCGACACTATACTTGGCCAACTTGGCAACTTGATGCATCCATCACTGCATTTCTTTCTTGTTTTTTTCGTCGGGGACGAGAGACCAAGTCGGAGGCTACAAACACGAAATGAAAACAAATAAAATCAGCCCAAAGTCATTAGCCGAGCGTATGCTGACATTTGTACGAAATTGGCCTCTCGGACCATTTAGGCCCCCTAATAGCAAAGATGCTTTGAGAGGGCCCACGGATTCCACTGGTGGGCTGAATCGCTGGCAAGTTCGACAAAACGGAACAAGTCCACTTTAACTCCCTTAAAAGTGGCTCGAATTTAATCCGTGACCCTCAACCGCAAAACCGGATATAACGACTCCCCGAACTATTGAAACCAGTGCAATTTGAATCGCTCAGCGGTTTTGCAGGGCGGTTTTGCTGATGTGGCACCGACATGGCAATGTTGACCTAGTCTTCGTCCCATGTGGTGCTGACGTGACATTAGAATTAAAAAAATATATGTGGGACCCATATGTGATTCACACATAAAAATATATTGTGGGTCAACTGACATGTGGGCCCCACATGTCATCCTCCCTCTCTCTTCTCTCTCCCTTCCCTCTCTTTCTCTCTCATGGCGCAATAAGCCGGCAGGGGCGGCGACGACGGGCGGGAGCCGGAGTGGCAGCAGCGATGGGCGAGGGCCGGAGTGGCGTCGGGCAAGCAGAGACATCGGCGAGCAGTGGAGACACGAGCATGGCGCAGGGGCCCGTTGAGCGGCAGAGACGCGGGAGTGGCGCGGCGTTGGGGATGACGACGGCGGTGCTCAGCCTCGATCTCCGCCGCGGCGGCCCCCGCTCCGGCTCACCACCGAATTGCGCCACCGCTGCCTCCGTCGCCCCTTTCACGCCCACCTCGTCCCCTCCATGCTCGCCCGCTACCCCGCCCTCTCCCGCCTCGATCTCTCCCTCTGCCCGCGCCTCCCCGATGCCGCCCTCGCCGCGCTCATCGCCGCGCCGTCCATCTCCGCCGTCGACCTCTCTCAATCTCGGGGATTCGCTGCCGCTGCGCTCGTTGCTGCATGCCCGAACTCAATGACCTCAACCACTCTAATGGCCCAACGCCGCTCCGGCCCTTGCCCGCTGCCGCTGCCGCTCCGGCCATCACCCGCCGCCGCTCCGGCTCCCGACCGCCGCCGCCGCCCCTGCCGGCTGATTGTGCCACGAGAGAGAAAGAGAGAGAAGGGAGAGAGAAGGAGGATGACATGTGGGCCCCACATGTCAATGGGGCCCACAATATTTTTTATGTGTGAATCACAGATGGGCCCCACATATATTTGCTTAATTCTAATGCCACGTAAGCGCCACGTGGGATGAAGCCTAAGTCAACATCGCCACGTCAGCGCCACATAAGCAAAACTACCCTCCAAAACCGCTGAGGGAGTCAAATTGCACTGGTTTCAATAGTTTGGGGAGTCGTCCTATCCGGTTTTGCGGTTGAGGGTCACGGATTAGATTCGGGTCACTTTTTAGGGAGTCAAAGTGGACTTATTGCCCACAAAACCTTTCATAGCAAATCAGCTCACCAAGTATGATGGGCCCATGGCCAATGATAATACCTCGCCGTTGCTTTGCAGCCTGTCCATTCCATTGGATTCATTACTTCAGCCTGTCATCGTCAATTCGTCATCAGTTCATCGCTCGTGTCTGCTCTGTTTAGACATTCAGTCGTGTTTGGATTCATAAAATCCTGTTTAGATTCATGATCTACGGTGTTTAACCTAAATCAACCATCTTTCCTCAAACGTGTTCATTATCTAAACCAAAACACATATGGTCGGCATTTCGGTTCATGTGCCACGATTGATCTACTCGATTGATATTTAGGGGAAGCAGACACAAAAGCGTTAATTCCCAAATGCCCAAAGAATCCATCTAGATGGGAGATTAAATCTAATCATCGAAATCACCATCATCTCGACATAACAGAAACCAAATCATTGCTTTACTGGGGGTCATGTATTGCTCGGAACGGGGCCAAGATTCCACCGGTTCTATTCGGCACCCCCTTTTGAACCGCGATAAGTTTTGATAAACTGAGGATGAACAGAGGCCTCTCCTTTTGTTTCGGCACCTAACCAATAATCATCGCTCTTAATTATGATCTACCTACTTTATGTCTGCACCCGAATTTTTGGGACTTCTTTTCCAACATGTGTCATAACCAGGAAAAAAAAGCATGAACCCCCCATTGGTTTAGCTTCTCTATAAGTATGTCCTGTAATCAACAGCTGTTTGCGTGCACCGATCAGACTTGAGTATGGTCACTTCTTCAGTTCTTCCTAAGGTCTGCGAATAATCACACTGCCATTTTTTGTGACCAAAACGTGCCGAAGCTGACTAGCTAGCTTGGAATTAGTGTCCGTGATGTTGTAATCTAGTGGATCATGGATGGAACGAGGCGTATATGAATGTGTCTAGAATGCGTTAATGGACATATATATCTTCCATCGATCTTCTGCTTGATCTAACTCTACACGCATTTTGGGGTCTTTTTCTTTCTTTCTCAGGTGGTTGATGATGCCGGCGAGGGCGAGGCCAACCCTCGCCGGGCGAAATGGTGGTACGCGACGTTCCACAGCGTCACCGCCATGGTCGGCGCCGGCGTGCTCAGCTTGCCGTACGCCATGGCTCACCTAGGATGGTAAGTCAATTATACTGTACGTACGCGCGCCATGGCTAGCTGGAGCTGTGTGCATGCAGCGAATGACTGTGGTAATCGATCGAACGATCGAGCAGGGGGCCGGGGACGGCGGCGCTGGTGGTGTCGTGGGGGATGACGCTGTACACGCTGCGGCTGCTGATCGAGCTGCACGAGTGCGTGCCCGGGGTGCGGTTCGACCGGTACCGCGACCTCGGCGCGCACGCGCTGGGCCCGCGCCTGGGGCCCTGGCTCGTCGTGCCGCAGCAGCTCATCGTGCAGCTCGGCTGCGACGTGGTGTACATGGTCATCGGCGGGAAATGCCTCATGAAGTTCGCCGAGTCGGTGTCGTCGTGGTCGCGCGCGCCGCAGCTGCACCACCAGTCCTACTGGATCTGCATCTTCGGCGCCTCCCAGTTCCTCCTCTCCCAGCTCCCCAGCCTCGACTCCATCACCGCCGTCTCCCTCGCCGCCGCCGCCATGTCCGTCGGCTACTCGACGATATCATGGGCGGCGTGCTTGGCGAGGGGTACTCCCGCGGCGGCGGAGGGCGGCGGTGGGGGGGTGAGCTACGCGTACAAGGACGGGACGGCGGCGGACTCGGTGTTCCGGGTGTGCAGCGCGCTGGGGCAGGTGGCATTCGCGTACGCCGGGCACGGGGTGGTGCTGGAGATCCAGGCGACGATCCCGTCCACGCCGACGAAGCCGTCGAGGGGGGCCATGTGGAAGGGCGCCGTGGCGGCGTACCTGGTCACCGCGCTCTGCTACTTCCCCGTCGCGATCGCGGGCTACTGGGCGTTCGGCCGCGACGTCTCCGACAACGTGCTCGTCGCGCTGCGCCGGCCGCCGTGGCTCGTCGCCGCCGCCAACATGATGGTCGTCGTCCACGTCCTCGGCAGCTACCAGGTGTACGCCATGCCCATCTTCGAGACCCTCGAGACGATTCTGATCACCAGGATCAGGCTCCCTCCCGGGGCGCTCCTCCGCCTCGTCGCCCGATCAGCCTACGTCGGTAAGAATCGATCCGATCGACCACCACCCATCGCTGCAAGAACTGATCGCATATTCGCATCCGTTCATGGCTGAATCATATCTGTCATGGCACGCAGCGTTCACGCTGTTCGTCGCGGTGACGTTCCCGTTCTTCGGCGACCTGCTCGGCTTCTTCGGCGGCTTCGGGTTCACGCCGACGTCCTACTTCGTAAGACGCGATTGCCCATCCGAAATGAACACTTTGCCATAATTCTCGTAACATTCGGTCTTCACCATGACACCATGGATGAAAACATTTAAATTTCTTTTGAATGCAGCTCCCCTGTATTCTGTGGCTGAAGATCAAGAAGCCTCCGAGGTTCAGCGCGTCGTGGTTTGCCAACTGGGTAAATAAAGACACACATTTTTTTCCGTCTTCCGGACACTCATATGAAGCAAAAACTAAACTGAATGCATGCATGTAACTGTAGTAGTAGAGATTCAGGTTTGACAGGTTCTGTTTGTTTCTTCTGCTTCATCTGTCAGGGTTGCATCGTCGTTGGAGTGCTGTTGATGATCGCTTCCACCATCGGCGGGCTACGAAGCATCATCCAGGATGCCTCGACGTTCCAGTTCTACTCGTGATGGGTGATGATGCATACGTACTGACTTAGTACATACAGAACGTCAGGATCAACTGTAACCAGGCCAAGAAATTAGAGGTATCAAGAGTAGTTGCAAACGATGGCCATATTATTCTGTGACTTTCATTGATCGTTGGCCTCGCTTGCAGCGTGCCGGCCAGCGGTCCTTGCGAAATGTGTAACTGAAGACGAATTACAGTAGTGATTCAGTGATGCGCATCGACCCTGTCTGTGCACCAGATGTAATAGACCTTGCTGACACACGGTTTCGCAATCCTCATGCTGAATAACATCGATGGCGATTGCAGGGAGAAAAATATATATAAACATCTAGTAATACAAGTTTACTATCGCAGTGATTGCGAATCTTCTATTCTTCTGTTTCGAGTGCCTCGTCTTTTTCGTTTATGTTTATATTTGTCAGCCAAAATTTGAATTTTCAACTTTAAATTTGAAGCTGATTTTAAATTTCTTTTCATTGAAGTTTATTTTTCAGCCTTTGCTTTAAATCGCTAAGAACACATATATAAAAGTTTTATTCACAAATTACTTTTTGTTTGCAAATATGCCGTTTCGCACAATGGCTCCGCGAGTGTTGTAACTTTAACCTTGAAAAAAAAGGGGAAAAAAACTCAGAATTGTCTTGTACATACTTTATCTGTATTATAAAAAACCAATCTAGAATCGGATATGATATATCCTATGTTTAGATTCTTAGCACTTCCTCTGTTTTATAATATAAAACTTTCTAGCATTACTCATATTCATATATATATATATATATATATATATATATATATATATATATATATATATATATGTCTAGATTCACTAACATTTATATGGATATGAGCAATGCTAAAAAGTCTTACATTATAACATATATATGTCACATCGGTATTAGGTTGGTGTTGACGAAAAAATCGAACACACTGGCCTGGGAGATCTGCTTAGCTCCTGTGCAGGTCCAAATCTTGATGAGATGCGGGCGTGCCAGTCAGTTTGATCCTGTAACTGACAAGATATGCAAATAGTAGATCAAAACAGCCGATCGACTGACAAGCCGATGGAGTAGTTCCAGCCGATAGCCAATAATAGCCGATGCCGATACCAGCCGATAGCGATAGGGTTTAAGCAATCGGCTATATGTCCAATGTAGATGATGATATAAAGGCAATCGGCTGATGACGATGTAATGAAATAACAATATAATCCAGTATAAACCAATCGGCTAGCAATGATATGATAAATAAGCATCAATCTGAAGGTTAAAGCACACATCGGCTGGAGGTCCGATGTCATGAAATCTACAAGATTAGATTAAACAGTGAAACCTTTATTGTCATCGGCTAAATCCAACTTATATGTATATGCAATCCTTATGAGCCAATGCAACGTCCAGATAACTCACCGGCTGAAGCCCTGATGAAACCCTTATTGGCAATCAAGAAGCAGACTAGAGATTATGGTTCTAAGCACGACTTAGTAGATCAAACTTAACTGATGCAGCACTAAGTATGAAAAGAAACATAATATCTAGACAATCAAGCCGTTGACTGAGTTTTCAGGGTGGTAGATGTCTAAGCTAATCTAATCTAGCAACGCGATTTAGCCGATACCGGCATAAATCCTAAAACGAGAAGCAGCCGATAGAGCTAAATTGATATGCTAAGACTAGATTAATAGAGACATATGATAAATAGGTAGGCAAATATATCATCCAAACCAGAGCAATCCAAGAGGTCGAATGTACTGATGCAGCCTTGAACGACGCCAACGTAAACGATACAATTGCCCGGGCCGGTGGAACATTGGACTTACCCTTTAGCCGGAGATCAAACACCGATGCAGCCCCGCGTCAGGTGCCAAGTCCCGCCGGACGATAAAATAAAGTAGAAAAGGTAAAAGGTGGCGATGCGCCGAATTGTATTCATCGTGAAGATAGATTACATAGACCCCAAGTGTACATATTTATACCCATGGGTTGATACAAGTCTTTGTCGGACAAGAAAGAAACTTTACTAAAGATAAAAGGAAAAGATAAAGTCCTTATAGGACACTAAACACACTTTACTAAAGATAAAAGGAAACTAACAAACTATTTCTAATTAATAGATAACTGCATTATCTTTGAACTCGATCTCTTCTGGATAAGCTTCCTTTAGTAGATTAATTTCTTTAACCGAATATAGTAAGAATCCGACAACTGACGACTTACAACTCTTATCGGCTAATCTCAGGACTCCGAAGCCGATGCTGACTCTAAGCCGATGACTACTCCGGGCTTACCAAATTTCTGTTACCAGTTGGTTTTTCCTGAGACAAAATCCATCCCGTTTTATAAGTTGTAATATGCCGTGACCATATAGGCCACGTATACGACACCTTGTTCCACACAAATCGTGCGCCGCAGCGTCGCGCCCGGAAAAAAGCGCTTATCCCCCGCCCCTCTCCACCCCGCTCCGCGGCCATGGCGATGGCGGCGCGAACCCTCGCCCTCGCATTCCCCCTCCCCCTCTGCGCCGTCTCCTCCCCGCGCCGCGCCACCCCACTCGCCTTGCCCCGCCGCGGGGCGGCACGACCGCTGGCCTCGCTAGCCCAGTGCCCCGCGCGTGGCCACTCCCCCTCGCCGCGGCGAGCAGCGGGGCGGGCCCTTGCGCCGTGCGCGGCCATGCGTGGCAGCGGCGGCGGTGGCGGTGGCGGAGAGTTTGCCTCGGACGATGGCGGCGGGGCGCGCGCGCTGCTTCGGGCGACGCTGTGGGGCGCCGAGGCCGCCTACATCCTCTGGCTCTTCCTCCTACCATACGCTCCGGTCTGTACGTAAACACGAACTTTTTTTGCTCCTGTTTGTGTAGATTTCGAAGACACCAGATTTTGGACATTGCTTCAATGAACTGGATTAAAATTTTGCCGCCAGTAATGCATTACAGTACAGGCTTACAACATTAGTTCGTTCCGATGTACTTACAAATAGGGATTACTAGCATTTTGTGTATGACTATCTTTTGATTACTCAACATCAATTTTGGTACATTTGCATCTATGAATTGTATTTGTACAGTTTAAGACCAAAATGCATTAGTGCTTCTTCGATGTAGTTAGCAACATCGGTGTATGGCAATACTTTTGATTCGTTCATTAGTGCGTCCCGACGTAGTTAGCAATTAACATCGTTGTATGGCAAAACTTTGATTCGTTAAGATCATGCAGGGTGACCCGGTGTGGGGTATCTCGCAAGCAACGATCAGTGACCTCATTGGCTTGTCGCTCAATTTCTTCTTAATCCTGCCATTGCTCAATTCTGGTACGCCTGTAATTTAAGAATCTTTAGAGGCACTCTAATTTGAAGTTCACAGCATTACGGCCATTGATTCTATTGGTGAGTTTTCTGGGCAGCGTAGCTGGAGTTCACCTGCTCGAATCCCCGGTGTTGCACCCAGTAAGAAATCGATCTGCATCCACTTATCACATTGTGATTGTTGCCATGACTTGTGGGTACAGCATTTGTGCTAAATTTGGTATTACTCGCCTAGGTGGCTGAAGGATTGTTCAATTTTGTGATCGCTTGGACACTGCTCTTTGCGCCGCTTCTCTTCACGGATTCTAGGAGGGATCGGTTCAAGGGATCACTCGACCTACTGTGGGGTTTTCAGATGTTCCTCACAAACAGTATGATCTAACCGACAAGAAGTGCTTTGCAGCTCATGGATAGATCACTTCAGATTATCTAACAACAATTTTTATTTGTTTAGCTTTCCTGATACCTTACATGGCAATCCGACTCAATGATCCTGACAAGGACAAGTCTCCACCACAAACATCAAAATTGGGTTCAGTTATGGTAAGAGGTGCTCCAATTGTCGGCCTAACTGGTGGCTTGGTCTGTATTTTGTCGATTGCTTGGGCACTCTTTGGTCGCGCGGATGCTAGTTTTGGGGGCATTGCTGAACGCTGGCAGTATGTCCAAAGTTATGTCTTTTCAGAGCGGCTTGCTTATGCATTTCTTTGGGACATACTGCTGTATTCCATATTCCAGCCATGGTTGATCGCGGACAATATTCAGAACGTGAAGGCAAGTGCTACTGAGTTTGTGAATTCAGTAAGGTTTCTTCCTGTTATTGGTCTTGTTGCCTACCTGTTCTGCTTAGAGGACAGAGATGATTAGCTGCTGACATGTCATAATTTCTGTGGCCAAGTATGGAGAGATTTATGTTAAATGAATTCTTCACTTGGTGGCACATTTTCTGCTCTCCTAATGTTCATGGCAAGGAAAAAAAATCGATGGCACAAAGTACTTCCCTTGAATGCCTCAACTGCTAAATCCATTTGCTATGAAAAAAACAACAGGGGACAACTAAATAACTTCTCTACGGCACAATTCTAATCTCCCCTAAGTCTTCAGAATGTCAGAGCTGACACCAACGCCATAAAACCAAGTGCGACAGGAACGCAGTCAGCTATCAGCTTGAGCCCGCTGCTGTATTCCGGCGTCTGGCTGCTTGTCTTCGGTGACGGTGTCATCTGTTGCGGCGGCGCCCGTGTCACCGTCACCGGCGTCGGCGTCGATGGAGCAGTGGAGTTCGGCGTCGAGCGCGGGACGCTCACCGGCGGCGATGGCGCTGCTCCCCCTAGATCAAACCCTACAAGAGAGAGTTGGAAGAAATTTTTCAGGTTGGTCGCCGACGAAGAAAGACAGGGAAGAAAAAAACTCGGGACGCCGGCATGCGATGGATTGGACGCGGCGCACGACCGAGGCTGCACGGCGACGGCGAGATCATCTCGGTTACCTGGGCAGGCGGTGGCCGCCGGCGGGAGGTCGAGGCGGCAGAGGAGAGGCAGCTGCACCGCGCGCGTCCGGTTCACGGGCACCGGGATCGCGCCGCCGCCGCCGGACTGGCTGAGGGCCTGGCAGAGGCAGAGCGGCTCGTCGTGCACCATGCTGCCCAGGTTGGCGCAGCACGTGTTCGACGGCGCGGCGTTGTTGCCGCCGACGAAGCCGAGGCATGGGAGGAGCCGGATGAGGCCGGCGTTGCAGCCGGACCCGGACGACGCGCCGCCGGGCTGCGCCGCCGCGCCGGGGGCGGTGACCAGCAGCAGCGCAGCGGCGACGACGACGACGCAGGCGGCAACGACAGCTGAAGAAGCCATTGGTACTGGTACGTACTACGTATCCTCTCCTAGCTTAGCTACTCCTTTCTCGGCTGATTTCTATGTAGATTCATTAGTTGCTTTGAGATGCTAGGATTTATATAGGCATATAGCACTGGAGGAATCATTTAATCACAATGAAAACGCGTGGTTGCTATGCATGGCAGCATGGGAATGGTGTGCTTGATCTTCTTGGGGGCGCCGATTCGGTGATTCCTGTGAAGTTGAACGCGCCATGCATCGCATGCAGGATGTGCGTTCTGTGTGATCATATTGTAGCGTTTAGGATCGAGTTGGCATCGTGCATGGTGTGCATGTAGTACCATGTACTGATCCTCTCTAGGTCGGTGTGATTTCTATTGAAAATTTGGAATCAGCTGTTACAACTTACCAGCCGCTTGAAACTGCTACCTTGCATGCTGCTGATAGCTAAGCTAAGGTTAGCAGAGTTTAGTTTGATGCCAATTTTGGCGATGGCTACCTCTTATCAAGCTTTGATAGGAGTGAATTGATTTGTGGAGCATTTATTTTGCCGCTAAAATTTGGGAATATAGCTTCCTCACTTGGATCTATAGTTTGATTCATCCCCAAAGGTGAACCATTGTTGGGAGTAAATTAGTAAGCTTGGTTTGGCAGACTTGCCAATGCATTTCCCAATTGGTCAGTCGCTCTCCTCTAGCTCACTAACTAGTGAGAGGTACTGGGCCACGGGTTTTGCTGGGCCCTTTCCGATTGAATGCTATTATGAAGAAGGCCACATCTTCGCTTGTTGGGCTGTCGTAGGGATGGCAACAGGGCTGGGTTGGGCAGGAACGCCCCCAGCCCCGCTACCTTGTTCGGGGCAAAAAGCTCGAATTTTTTTCGTTTTTAGATTTTTTTTAATATTTACAGAAATAATCTATCAACCAAAAAAATTGCAGAAATAGCCCCTGCCGCCCACCTCTGGGACGGCAAGCTGACGTGGCAAACGGGGGAGGAACGGGCGGTGACGGAGGGAGGGTTTTTTTTGCAGGAAAACCCTTGCCGCCCTCTGGTGGGGCGGCAAGGGGCCCGAATGCAAAAAAGCCAGTCGGGGCCGGCTATTTTGCAGGCGGCCCCTTGCCACCCTCTGGCCGGGCGGCAGGCCTCGCTGCCTATAAAAGGCCTGCTGCCCAGCCCCCAGCCCTCATTCTTCTCTCCTCAATTCCAGTGAAAAAAAAAGAAGAGAGGGGAGGAGAAGAGAAGAAGGGGCGAAGCCCTGCCGGATTCAGACGCCGATTTCAGGTAATATTCATAGATCCTATATGTGACTATTGAGTTAAATAGTGTGTATTCTTTAAAAATTTGTTTGAATAAATGCATTATATTTTTAGGGTTTTAGTTGTACTAATCTAGAAGTGCGTATTGTAGATATCGGTAACTACGTAGATCTGCTAGTTTAGAATTAATACATTACCGTTGCATTGGCTTACACAAGAAGATATTACGTTGTAGATGTTTATTGCATGAAAGAGTAATATGATCTAGTTATTTCGTTGACAGATATGTCGAACAAACAAATATTCCAAGTTTACCATGGACCAAGAAACGTCCGTTACGGGCCAACTGGGGTAGATCTGTCAGATTTTATTGTATCAGAAAGGGGAATTGATAGACCGGCTGAGAGGAGTGTACCTTCTATAAAAGGATGGTTAATGAGGGGCTTGAGAGTTGATCCACAGACAAGTGACATAACAATCAATGTTATAGTAAGTCGGGCAACTGAGGGTTTTTATTGGGAACTAATGCCAGTTCAAAACTCTCGAGTGTGGAGATGGTATTTGGAAAATGCATTGCAACGCGGGTGGCCTCTAGCTTTGGTTCCGTTTGTTCACCCGAAGGATCCAGGTGTGCAGACGAACATGGATGATGGCGAGGAACCAAGTGTTGAAGTAAACGAGACTTCTGTGGAGGAGGTCAATGCACGAGAGGACGGGGGCGTAGTAGCTCCAGTGGGCATTCAACCAGGTGGAGTGGCCGACGAGGGGGAGACTGTCGGTGCCATTGTGGATGAAATGGAGAGGGAGGATTCTGACAACGAGCGTGTAAAGGAAGGTGATTCGTCAGATGATGAGACGGATATTAATCCAGCAGAATGGGCTAGTGAGGATTTTTCTGGGCTGATCGTCTCTGAAGAGGATAGTGTGAGATGGGAGTTCAAAGAAAATGAGGTTATCCAGGGAGCGATTTATAGTAGAGCAGAAGATATGAAGGAGGCGGTAAAACATTTTGCAGTGTCACTTCATAGAGAGTTTTGGGTTGCCAAGTCGAACCGGTCGCAATATGAAGTTCGGTGTGTTAAGGAAAAATATGGTTGTCCCTGGAGAGTGCACGTGTATAAGGGGAAATGGAAGGATTATTGGACAGTGTCAGTTGTTACCAAGCATACATGTTTTCTACCTGGTGTTCAGAAATACCACAGGAACATTACATGTGCATTTGTTGCATCTGAGATGTATGCGCATGTCATCGATAATCTCACATATGAACCAAGGTCAATAATCCGACACATTGAAGAGACATACAAGTATACTATTAGCTATGCTAAGGCCTGGAGGGCCAAACAGAAAATAATAGAGATGAGATTTGGAACTTACGAAGCCTCGTATGACAATTTGCCACGCCTGCTTGGTGTTATCGAGGAAAGAAACCCTGGGAGCTCTTACGAAGTGAAGAAATTCCCCTCAATTGAACATCCTGGCAAGAGTGTGCTGCAAAGGGCGTTCTTAGCTCTACATGCATGCAAGATGGCATTCGTGAACTGTCGTCCTGTTCTCTGCATTGATGGGACATTCTTGACAGGAAAGTATCGGGGCCAGATACTAACAGCAATAGGGGTAGATGGGAACAATCAGGTATTGCCCTTGGCATTTGCTTTTGTTGAGAGTGAGAATACCGACAGCTGGTACTGGTTCCTGAAATTGGTTAAAACAAAAGTTGTTGGTATGAAGCCAAATGTATGTCTGATACATGATAGGCACGCTGGCATTCTGCGAGCGATAGGAGAGTTGCAGTTTGGGAGTATGGAACGAGGATACCCCGGTGTTTGGGAAGATGTACAGAGTAGGTGGTGGATGCATCATATGGGAGCTAATTTCTTCAAGCAATTCAAGAACAAGGAGCTCATGAACATGTTCAAGAGGCTGTGCAATCAGAACCAGGAGAAAAAAATTCAATGAGCTTTGGAAGAGATTAGGTGAGTTGACAGCCAAATGCAGTGATCAGCGTGCAGCGGCTCCATCGACCGCCGTTGCTGACCCTCCTCAAGCTCTTGGACCTCTCCCAACGGATAGTCCAACATTAGTTAGAAGAATTGGATTGGAGATTCGGAAATTTTCTCAGTGGATTCTGCATGAACCAAAAGAGAAATGGGCCAAGGCTTATGACACAGGTGGTGCTAGATATGGAATAATGACAACAAATTTGGCAGAAGTTTACAACTGGGTGATGCGCGGTGTCCGTGGACTGCCACTAGTTGGCATAGTGGAGTTCATTTTACATGGGACATGCAGGTATTTTAGGGATCGGTTCCAGGCAGTTCTTCCCTCTATGCCGAACAACAGCATTTTGTTTGGAGCTTTCATGCAGAAAAAGCTAGAGGAGTTGCGTAAAAAGGCCATGAAACATCGAGCTCTAGTGCAAGGTACCCAACAGCACAGGTTTGAGATACTATGTCAAGATAAGGCAGGCAGGGGTATCTACCGCAAGAGAGTGAAGCAGGAGTGTGTTCTTAAAGCCGACGGCACATGTCATTGCTCTTGTGCAAAGCCGAAGCTGCTCCACAGGCCATGCACCCATGTCATTGCTGTCGCAGCGGAGTGTGGCATACCAGATGCAGTATATGTGTCACAGTACTTCAGTAAGCAAGCAATATATCATACATGGAGCGGCGAGATTTATGGGTTCGGCATAGCTGGGGAGTTCACAGAGACTAACGATGAAGTACTCAATATTCCTGACCCATCGAAGCTCCGAGGCAAGGCTGGAAGGAGGAGGACTCGTCGCATCCGCAACGATATGGACGAGTCGGAGGCTGGCAGGGTGAAGCGTTGCAGCAAATGCGATGAACATGGGCACACCTACAAGCATTGTCCTAAAGACAAGGAGAAACCAAGTGCGGCGGAGGCAGGACTATCAGGATCAGCAGCAGATGGAGCTCGCCCTACGGGTGAAGGCACTACCTCCACTCGACCACGTCCTAGGCGTCGTCGTGCCACGTCTAGCTACGTGGTGTAGTTCTTATGTTCTATGTCGGCATGTGGATTTGCTTGTAATTCGTTTCGAACTTATCGATGTGTTTATGTTTCGTCGTGTAATGTCAGACTTCGGCATGTCATGTCTTTAGGTCTCGTGATGTAACGTCGGACTAAGGCGCCTAACGTCTTTAGGTATGCTGATGTATGTCGGACTTCGACACGTAATGTTATGTTATATTATTGAACTCTACATATATGTTAAATTGCACGTCATCGTTATGTACCATTAGTAACGTTTGCTATATTTAAATAGCCTGTACTCTTGTTGTACATAATTAATCTCATGATTTTATTACTATTTCATAATTTTGCAAGTTATCTTTTGTTTTACAGTAATATTTTTTGAATTGTTCTAACACGAAACACTATATTTTTCAGAGATGGCACGTCAGGATACACCTTAGTTGTTGGACCCGGCGATAGATCACCGACACCGGTCTCACCTTACTGCGGTGGGTGCTCAGCTTGGGACGTTCCGGGCACGGACGTGCGGTGAGCTACTCACGGTTCACGACTCCTTTGTCGAGAGGTACGAACAGTGTTTTACTATAAGTTAGTTGCACTGTAGAGCAGTCTTCTCTTTGTTTACTTGCTTCACTTTCCAGTACTGTATGCTTGTGTAATGACTACGTTGTTGTTATATATGCACGATACCTTTTGGCGCATGCACGATACCTTTCGGCGCATGCACTACTTTCTGCCGCACCGATGCAGCCTCCTTTATTCGCGTGTGATACGAGTATTTGCCCGCCATTTGGCACATACGACCAATGTAACTTTCGGCGCCGATCATGCATGTATCTTTCGGCGCCAATCAGGCGTACCCACCATACCCCACCACGTTCACATGTCAGGGGTATCACTCGATTTTTTGCGCTTATATAAGTCGCCT